GTAGTAGTAGTAGTAGTAGTAGTAGTAGTAGTAGTAGTAGTAGTAGTAGTAGTAGTAGTAGTAGTAGTAGTGGTAGAAGTAGTAGTAGTAGTGGTAGCAGTAGTAGTAGTAGTAGTAGCAGTAGTACTAGTAATAGTAATAATAATAACAATGACAACAGCACACAAACTGTTAAAATTCATGATGTGCAATCCCATGCCTAAGTATAAGTAAAAAAAAAAAAGAAAAAATGATAAAAATGTGAACACACAAATGCGTACTTTATTTTGTTGCTATGTCACTTTATGTTACTCTAACTGGTAACATTTTTTTTTTTTTTAAATAAAAATATCTTCTCTATTTTTATATCATTACCAGATAATTATTCTCTAATATGAGCAATTAAATCTTTTTTATGTGAATATTATCATGATATATAGCAAATTCTAGCAATTGTTCATATTAAAGTTAAGTATATATAACTACAAACTATTTTATGTCAAAGTGGGTAAACATACTATGGTAATACATTCATAATAACATTCGTGTCAATTATACAAAACAATAAAATATGTCCATTTTAATTTGATATTTTTAGTACAGTACATATATGTAACACAAGCCACCTATAATTATTTTTGACAAATACATATCAAACTGTAAAAATTATATTTTTGATTATAATTTTCTAAGTATTTTAGCAATAGCCTATGTATATTCTGATGTTTCACCATAAAACAAATAAAAAAAATAATCACTAATAAAATGCATGATAAATTAAAATTATTAAATTTATTTCTAGTGACATAGTATTTGATGTATTTATATAATTTTCCGTAAATTTACCGAAATAATTGGAACTAAATTGTTTGTATAACTTTGCTTAGATACTAACAGAATAAATTTGTGAAGAGAAACTTAAAACAAGTATCGTCTACAACTATGAGCACCACATTTGCACAAGGTTTTATTCTTTGACAAATCAGATTCTGGCATCTCTGCGCATAGTTTTAACTCCTCTTGAAATTCTGAGTTAATGTTTATATCTAAATTCTCTTTCATTGACGCATCCTGTTTTATAGAATTTTCACTATTCTTTGATGATTGACATGTATAATCGAAAGTAATTTCCTCATTCTGTCTAATATCTTTTGTTGCAAATAACGCGAGCTTAGGAAGATTTGGGTCAAGACAATTGATCCAAACACCATAGACTGATAGATTTGGATCACATGAATGGTTAATGAAATGCGAAATATTACCATACATAGCAGCATCTACAGTGTATGGACATTGTTCTTCAAATTCATTGTAATCAAGATCAAATAGATATGTTCTACCAGCAGCATCATATTCTTTGCCACGCTTTTCAGCCTCCTCACTAGTTATCACTTCACCCACATATTGTGTGACGAAACTCCCTTTCTTAATAGCTTGTAAAGTCTTCACACCCCAACCTCGTCCATTAGCAGTTCTAAAAATGCAAAGCTTCATTTCAGTGCCACGTTGCACTACTCGATTAATGCAGTTGATATCGCAAATACATCGTTTGTTACATTCATATATTGGTGTTCCAGGTGGAACTCGAATTTTACATGTGAGGGTATATGGGCATAATCTGCCATCCTGAGCAAAACAACACTTTGTTTTGAAATTACAAGTTTTACATTCACAACCAATAGGTGGATCATTAGGTATTATAACTCCATTACCAGGAAGATAGTCTTCTATATAATAAAAGTCTTGAGGTGCTCCTTCCAAGTCTACCATATTCTCTACTTGTATTAGTGGTTTACCTTTAGTAATACTATTCATCTCATTTTCCCAGTCTTCTAAAGATTTTAACTGTTTCTTCCTTGACTCAACGACTAACATACGAAGAATGTTTTGTTTTACAACTTTCTCAAATTTATTATCTTTGACACACTTTTGTCTTAAAAATTTGTGTATGCTAGTGTACACTGCATTTGATTCTACTGAAATTGATGTTAATGTCTCTCCTGTATGCTTAAGGTAATTTAAGAATTCTTCAATATCTTTATCGTTTGGATAAAAATTTGTTTCCTTCTTGAAACGGTTAAACATTTGTAATCTATTTCTTTCAAATTCTCTATTTCTTTCAAATTCTTCTAGAATATCAGAGCAATTTACTAAATTTGACTCAGGTTCCCATGTATTATATTCCGAATCCCAATTTTTCCATTTGATTAGATAAGTTGGTATACCTTTTAACTCCTTCTTCGCGAGAATCTTTTCTACTTCCCAAAGATTAGTATCTAATATTAATGTTTTCAGTCCATTTTTGGTATCATGTTTTATATCCTCCAATATAACTCTAAGCTCTTTCAATTTAATATTTCCTAAATTGCAGTCTATTTGGTATTTTCCAGTATCAGTATTTGATTTGCTTAATCTTGCATTTCCCATGCTAGCTTCGTGACTATTAAAATAGTTCAAACTTTTCTTACTATTAACTGTTTGTTTCTCTTCTCTGTTCTGTTTGAAGAGAGCATTATTACTACTTAAATTATTGTTTCTTGATTTACCATCACGGTAATAACTATCATCATGATCAATTTTTCGAGGAAAAACAAATTTCTTATCAAGTTTCCGATGTTTGGTCGATGGTTGAACATACCCTGGAGAAGCTGGTCTTTTTTCTTGCATTGAAGACATTTTGCTTGTGTAACCAAGATTTTCTTCTTCTTCCCTTCTGGTACTGTCCACTGCATGAGGGTCTGTAATGCCAAACATTTAAAGGATGTCATTCTCTCTTGTCATACTTTTCCATATCTCATTTGTGTTAACTTGTATATCATTCCTCCCCTTTCTTTTAGTATTAATGTTATCACCTTGTACACCAAGAATTCCTTGAATCCTCTTCATTCTTCTCTCTCATTTATTAAAAAAGATGTTCAGTGCTATTATAAGAAAATTATAGGAAAATTATTAAGACAATTTGTACAAAAGAATGTGCCATACATATACAAAAATATTTTCTGCAAAATCATACATTACTGCTTTAAGTTTCTACTAAATTATTTAATTGAATATAAATAGGTTCATTTTTAATTTATATATTAAATATGAATAAAATACCATCAGCTGAATTTCTAAGACATATATAAACTGATTGACTAAAGCACACCTTAATACTAATTCTATATTTATAATTATAATTACACGTGGAAATATAATAGTTGCAAACAAAGCTTTAAATTTATAAATGTATTATTTTTAGAACTTTAATAAATAAAATAAATAACTACCTTATATTACAGAAATTATCATCTTCACTGTATTTGCAATATAAATAAGTTTATACATATTATTATAATAATTATTTTACATGTATAAATTTAACAATATAAGATATAATTTAAACATAGCATTAAAATATTTTGTTAACGAATATAAATATACTTACCTTAATGTTTTACATTATAATATAGAAGATATATTCACACACATTGTTCCTTGTTTAAAATTGTCACTGAACAAATTTTGATTTATAACAAAATTTATATTTCCAATTACCTTATTAAGGTATGCTTTAATCAATAATCATTTTAATCTTTTGTATACGATTATTTATTTTGAGATGTATAAAATACATTAATTAGTGCATATTTTATATTTTATAAGTAAAAATCACCATGAATAATAAGTGCATTAAAACCAACTGTGTATCAAATCACACATAAAATCTGTATCATAAAATTGTATCAATACATTAACATGCACTATTATTCTATGAATTTATCTTTAAATTTAACCTTACTTTATAAACGAAATAATTTTTTCTATTAACATACTCTTTAAAGTTCTTAAAAGATAAATTAATTATATCTTATTCAGAATCTTTACCCAATGGTTTAAATAAGAAATAGTTATATGAACATAAACAATTAAATAATTTGAAAAAGATAAAATAACTATATTATTATTATTACCTATAATTAAATAAAAAAAATTATTCTTTAAAATAACTATATAATACAATAAATAAATAGGCTTAAATTTTCAAACTTGTCAGTTAGAAAATATCTTCGATCCCGCGACTCGGAAATGAGTGTTTCAGAAAATGGCGACAACATCTTATATTTAGCGCCATCTACATATCTTAGTATAAAAACAATTTTTTATAAATTAAAAATTCTCTTCTTGGATATAGCAAAGATATTTTACTATTAAATAATTAAAATAATCCCATACAAATTACATTAAAAAATTTAATTATTAATGATCAATATATTAATGCCTTTTAAATAAAAATTATATTTTATTTTAAAAGTTCAATTTTTTTTACAAATTTATTTTAACCCCTCAATACAAAAATCTGAGTTTCATATAAACAATATTTATATGTTTTTAGGAGTGATCTATAGAATCTAACCTTTAAAATAATGTTTATTAAATTCTTTACACTTTTCATTGCATATATTGATATATAAAACAATAATAATCTAGACTTTCAACAATAGTATTTCTAACATATCTTCCAATAATCTATTTAACAGTAATAGTTATAGAAAATAATTTTCTCAAAGTGAATTATTAGTAAAACAATTAAATAATATAAACAGATAAAAAACATATGGATATAACAATTTGTTATAAACATATATATATAGCAATTTATTATAAACATATGTATAATAAATTATATTTTATATTTATCAGAAGAATTATATTGTTTTATGACTAATTAGTATGAGTTACATAGATATGAACATTATGAAATAAAGTAATCAAAAATAATAAATAAGAGGAAAAGCTTCCTTAATTTTAAGCATTGATTAAAAAAGTTGTTTATTTTATGTAAAAAATATTATAAAAATTGATCTATTTAACAACATGCATATCTTACAAAAATATGTTAACTTCTCATAAGACGTTTTACTTACCAAGTTTAATAGTAATATTCCTTTCTAATTCATTTTTAAAACGAACTGTTTGTACTCCTGATATAGCTTTTACAATTGTAGATTTTCCATGTGCTACATGGCCAATAGTACCTATATAAAATTTTAAATTTACATTCTGTAAGATACTATATTTCATCTGATACATTTTTGTACCCTTAAAGAATCAAACAAATTATATTTACCAATATTAATTGTTGCTTGTCTACTGATGACTTCACGGGATAATGCAGTTAATGTATTAACATCCTAAGTAACAAAAATTTTATGAATTTAAATATTAATTATTAATTATTAATGTTGAACGTTTACAAGAAAGTCAAAATGTTATAGTACAAAATATTTATGTTGTATTTTATCACAATAAATAAATTTATTTTGTAAATAAATGCTAAGCTATTATAAAGACAATTTTCTTATCAAAATGTATTAATAACAAAATAGCTTTATTAATATAAATATAATTCAGTAATAAACAAAAATATATAAACTGTTATATGACAGAGCAATGTGAATAAATCCAAATATGATCAAAATATTATAATAATGAAAGGAATTCTTAAAATAAAGTGGTTTTAGAAATTTATATTTTATTTTCCAATATTTATCACAGAAATTTTTCATTTTATTTAAGAGGAAATTATTACATTATGCTATCAACATAAATTGAGGTTATATGAAACATGATAATAGCTTGTCAGATTAGGAAAGTATATCGGCATATTTATTACTTACTAGCTTCGAAAGATTTTGTTTACAAAGATTTGGCTGACCCGTAGTTACTCCTAGACCTTCTTCACCACCCATAATCACTGGATCACCTTTTACTACACGTAAAACACACGAGGAACACTTCAAAAAAGGCTTAATTAAAATTAAAAGTACAGACGTATCTTAGTAAGTAAAATAGGTAAGAGAGCAGAAGCAGCGCCAAGTGGATGCATTTGGAATTAATGCAGAATACAGATTTTTTCTTAACTTTATAGGAATGTTAATTTCTAAATATTGACTTTAGAGTAAATAACACCTCACATTTTATATACCTTTCTCAAATATTTATTTATAATAATCACCAAATGTTAGAATTTAATATTATTTAAGTACATAAAATATTTAAGTGGCTAAAATAATAACTAGAAATGACAAGTAACAAAGTTTGAATAATTTTTGTATATAATTAATATAAATATTTTATTATTACAATTCTCTAATTATTAAAGTGAAAGAATAAAATCAAGGAAAATAATAATATTACAATTACAATCGATAAAATAGCAAGCCTACTAATCAAAGTTATATTTCGAATAATAATTTTTCGTATACTATACTTATAAATATTAGAAGAAGTAAAATATTATCGTAAAAGTACGTAAAAATAAGCAATAAAAGTACAATTTTTGAAAAAATGTAATTAATTGAATAAATCATATTGCAAGCTACAGTATATAGCGTATGTAAATAAATATAGCTATAGCGTAGTTAATAAATATAATTGAGGAAAATTCACTTGTCATTTGAATTGAAAATTAATTGAAATTGATTCTTGGACTTTAATTGAATTTTGTACTTTTGACGAAATATTTATAACGTAATACACAAATATAGAAAAGAATATAATTTTTACAGATATTTTATGGGCAAAATGGAACAATGTACAGAATTTGTGGATTTATTGCTTGCAAGACGAAAAGATTGTGATATCTTGTGGGTTTCTCGATCAATGAATCCATTATCACCACATAAACTTCCACCAGAATCTAAATATTCAAGAAATGAAATGATTCAAATGGTTTTGAATGATGAGAAAGTTAAATCAACAATTATTTCTTTGGCTGCAATGTATCAAACAGATATAAAAAATATCATCAAAGAAGCTCATAAGATAATAAATGAAATGGCTAGTAAAGCACATTTGACCACTGTTCGTTGGATAGGTGATATTGAAGTTTTTTATTTGAAATCATAATGTTTTAACAAAATCATAATGTTTTAATTTTAGGTTTGATTATTACAAAAGTTCTTAAAAGAATTTTTGTAAGTATTTATATTAATGAAAATGCAATATATAGGATGAAAAAGGAAATGCAGATTTCTCAAGTACAATATGTATATGCTCCTTCTCACAGAAGTTATTTAGATTTCATATTATTATCATATATTTTATTCTCCTATGATATGGCACTTCCAAATATTGCAAGTGGAATGGATTTTTATCAAATGAACATAATAGGAGAATTATTAAGAAAAACCGGAGCTTTTTATATGCGACGCAGTTTTTTGAATGATTTACTATATAAAAGAATATTTAGTAAATATGTAATGTCCTTGGTAAAGCATAGTGACAGAGCAATTGAATTTTTTATAGAAGGTACTCGAAGCAGAAGTTTGAAGAGTATAGTACCAAAATTTGGTGTGTTAAAATTAATAATTTCATCATAATGTAGATATAATATTTAGTAGGAATATTATATATGAAAATGACTTCACTTCAAGGTCTTTTGTCAACCATTCTGGAGAGTTTATTAGAAGGCAGTGTACCTGATATATATTTTGTACCAATTAGTATTAACTATGAGCGACCACCAGAAGAATTATTATTTGCATATGAGCTTTTGGGGATACCAAAACCAAAAGAATCTACTGCTGGTTTACTTCAATCTTTATCTATTTTACAAAAATCATATGCTTATGGATGTATTGTTTGTAATATTGGTGAACCTATTTCTGCATGTCAATTCTTAAGTATGGAACACCGTAAAGCAAAAGTATTGTCACCTTATGCAAAATTACCAACATCTGTTATTAAAAAATTGGCTTATTGCATAATAGACTCACATAAAAAGAATACAATACTTATGCCCTTTAATTTAGTTGCTTTATTATTTAATGAAAGGAGCCAAACATATCCAGATAATCCATATACATTAAATGATTTAGTCAGTGATTATTTGTGGTGCACAAATTTTTTACAAGTATTTAATGCCACAATACATACAAGAAAGTAAGTTTCAATATTTAGTAATAATATTTTAATGTTATATATATTATTAGTGTTATAGAAAGAACTTTGTTCAGGTCATTTGATAGACATGATCAAAATGTAAACAATGTGAAACAAGAAATATTAGATAGTTTAAAACCTCATGAAGAATTACTTGTATTTGATGCATCAAAAATTTTGCGACTCAAAGAGAGGCACAGAACAACAAAACTGAAAAGTAATATTCGTGTCAAAGGTCATACTTTATTGGAAAGAACTATGCGAGTAGCCATACCTGTCATTAATATTTCAATCTATCTAAATCCAACTTTATCCTTTTTAATAAAACCAGCCGTCGTTACTGTAGCAATAGGAATAGGTCAAATTGAGCTTGGTAATATTATTTTCTACATAAAACAATGTTACACATAAAAAAATCAAATTAAATTTTAATATTATATTATGCGCAGGAATTGCATTTAAACGATACATGCTATTAAGAATGTTACTGAGCACAGAATTTGCAATGCCTTTAACAGAAAATGAATCTGTAATAAAATCCGAATGGGAAGAAACGTTAAATTTGTTATTGAAACAAGATTATATAAGTATTCACAGTAACACATATGTACAAAGCAAAGATACTAAAGTATGTTCTCTTCTCTATAATGTAATATTACCATTTATAGATACAATATATGTTACGTGTCTTGTTCTATTTGAGGTAAAATTCAATATTTTTATGATATTTGATATTTATTATATGTTATAAATATTTATGTATATAACAATTTTATCAATTACAGTGGGATGAAACAAAATTAAATTACATAACAATACAAGCAGTTCTGATTGAAACACAGAAACAAATAGAAAAAGCATTTCTCGAAGAGAGTCAGTGGGGACAACATCCTTATTCTTTATCCATAGATTTGGTTAATACAACAATATGTAATCTTATAACACAAGGTATTCTAATACCATATGAGAAACAACATAAATACCAAGTTGATAAAGTTAAAATGACACAAATTCTTACACAGCTGCAAAGTCTTTCATTAAAACGACCATTAGGTTTATATCTTAATACAGTTTTACTGCCTATGTTACCAATTGTTTCTGCTAAATTATAAATGTAAGATACATAAAATAAAGCTTAGAAGGTAGATATTAAAACAGTTTAAATTATACAAAGAATTTATTTGGTTGTGAAGATTTTACTATAATTAGTGTAGATATAATGTAAATATTGGTTTAATTATTACTATTGATATGTGATTTCTTATTTATTAAAATTTGGAGGAAAAACTGTTTAGATTTTTAAGAATTATTGTTGCATCATCATCAAATTTGTTTATAGATCTTTTTCTTTTACCAAGAAGTAATGTAGCGCCAGTAGTAGTTGATGTAGAATTATTCATATTTCTGAATAAAAGCTAAAAAATAGATGATTACATAGCTGTTTAATCATTACTTATTATTTACAACAATAGATGTTAGAAATAAATTGATTAATTACCATCACCAATCTAACAAGATATACAGCAAACGTAAGAAATGAAATAGACATAAGTGCACCTTCTATGGAGGGAAATCCTGCAGCATATTCATGGTCATAATTATGATCGTAATGTTCAGTACCTCTTTTTTTTCGAGCAACTATTATATTCTCTGCTAGTTGAAATTCTGAAAATAGTACAAATAAGTACATAACTACTATTGATATATTACATGTATTGATTAATTTTTTATTTTTAGCTATTATTTTATTTTGATTTTTATTTACTACTACCTATTTCAGTAATTAATGAATTTTCAAATGTCTTTAAAAATTGAATTTTTCCATCACTCGATGTCGGTTGAGATTTCAAAGTACAATGAACGTTTTTAAGTATATCCACTGGAAGATATTTTAAAAGTCCTATGCTATTTGAGGTGAAAGATTCATTTAAGTATTGTGTATTTTGTTTTACCTGCAGAGTAAAAAAATAAAACATTAAATTGCAGTTATTTAAAGTAAAAAAAAAAAAAAAATGAGACATGTTAAATGTAATAATTTAATTACTTTGGGCATTAAAGGAAATGTTGTCTCATTATATTTTTCTGTATTGGTCACAACTATATTTTCCTTATTAGAAAGTTTAAGAATTGTTGATTCTTCTTTGATATTATTTTTCATTTTATAAAAATCATATTTTCTACTTTCATTAATTGCTGATTGCTTTGTTTTTTCATCCTTATAAATATCTTGATATGTATAAAGAGAATGGTTTTCAACATTTTCTTCACCAAATTTATAAAAACGATTTTGTTTTGTGGTAGGCATTCTATGAATAAGAAATACAAAATTTGTGAAAAAATATTAATATAGATTATAATTTTGATGTTGCTCAATACAACGGTTTTATACATACCTATATATTCTTTTTTCATCAGAAAATTGAGGCATATCTATCCATTCTGCTGAAGTATCATGCCATAACAATATCTTCAATACTAATGCACTAATTACCAACATTGTAATTATATAATTTTTATAATATCTGTGAATAATTACAAATAACGGAATTGTATATTAACTCATTTATTATACATATTTATGTGTTTTAAATAAAATAAATTAATAGATACTGTAGTTCAACTGTCAGTAATATAAAATCTAACTGTAGGTTCGTTTATATATATAGTGTGACAGGAATCAGGATGTTATTATTTCAAGTAGAGGTTCTGTTAGATTTAACGAGGACAAAAATTAGGCTTACGACGTAATGACATCAATTTACAAAATATTGCTTTATATATAGAGTTTTCATTTGAAATAGATCATTTGAAAAAGAAATACAAAATTATTATAATAAAGTATACGCAATATTACAAAATTTATTAGTATTAATAATTTATTTATTCACATTATTATATTAAGTACAATAATGATTTAACATTTGATAATTATTCATGAAAATTTGTTAATTTTACTTACAATATATTTATTATAATATGTTAGTGTCTTTTAAGTACTTTTATTTGCCAATTGAAAATAATATTATAAACTTAATTTGAATGAAATACATTACTAGTCTTTATAAAATTTAACACTTGTAAAAATTTTAAACTATTTTTCAAGTAATAGTAAATGTTTAAATATATTCAATATATACAAATAATTGATTTATATAATGTAGAAACATATTATAATTACATAATGTTATATATGTAACAATATCTATTGACATTGCACAAATTTTTCTATATATAATTCAAAAAATGTCTGAAAAATTTCTTATAAAATTATAACAACTGCTATGCTCATATCAAGATCTAAATTCATTATTACAATATTAACTACTTCTCTGTAATATTTTAATATTACTATGATAAATGCTTTGTAATAAAAATATGAACATAGTAATAAGTATATTGTATATATTGCATAATTAAAACAATTATTTAAAACAATTTTTCAAAAATATAGGCCATATATGATGTACAATGATACATTTAATACTATATTATTTAGACATAAAAATATAACTTGAAATAAAGTAATGAAGTACTTTGTAAATAAATTATACATGAGATTCGGTTATTGGATATATGATTAAAATAACATCTTTACTCATAATATAATCTCAGAAAATATAAAAGTATAGTAAAATATGTTTTGTTTCAAATATAATGTTCCACTTGAAAAATTTCTATGAAATTAAAATAAAATTTTTAAATAAATGACAAATAGTACTATGTAAAAGCAACTCAGTCTTTATAAAATATTTAACTAAAAAATAAAAGATTACGTTGTTCATATTTGATTTTTGAATTTAAAGAAAAATATATCTTTTAATTATGAATTTTCTGATTATTCCTTTTATCTCTATATTATTGTTAATAACTAAAAAAATTGTAAACACATTGTAATAAAAAATAAGAACAAAAAGTTGTGTTAGTAATATAATAAAGTACAAATTTTTAATGAATTATTTAATATCATATTTAATAGTATGTTATGCATTTATTAAGACTTTAATAAATTTTAATATAAGTTTTAATAAATCTTAATTTCATTGTTTTATAAATATTATAAACTTTATCTATTAATTATAGGAAACATGAAAGGAATGAACATAATACTTGAAAAGATAATATATATAGTTCAGCTTTTTTTGTATTTGGAATGTACTTTAATTTTAATGAAATAACAGAAAATGTAAAACAACTTTATGGAGTACTGAAACAGTACATACATTTTGAAAACTATATTTTCTCAATTATATGATAATCAGTAAATAGTTTTAATAAACTTTGTTTGCAATTTCCTAATACAAAATTTATTACAATGTAATAAAAAAAATATGTATATAAATATGGAATGCAATTATTCAATTGTGAATTTTTCTATGCTTTTATAATTAATAAAGAAGAGTGTTCACAAAATTTATTATGATATATAAGAACAGAAATTGAGAAAACTATATTTGCAATGATCTTACTTTTTATCACATAAGAAACAATTTGAAATTTTTTTCGTTAATGCTTTTTTCATGAATTTTTAGCTTCTCTTAAGAAATTTGGTATAAGTTATAAATATTCAAGCTTCTCATTTCTAACTTCAGATACTTTAAAGCAAAAGTACAAAATAGTAAATTTATTATGTATAGCACAACTTTGTATATATATTGATGTAATCCATGAAAAATTTGTGTTCTTAAGAAGTTTTTATCATAGTATTAACCCCACCATATTCCAAAGAATGCCAAAAAATTTATGTATATAAAAGAATTATATATGTTCTATAATTTATACATACTGCTATATATTATTTTAAATCTAATTACTCTATTTTAAGCATTTTTTGTGCAGTTATAAAACATGCTATGTACTTCTATATTAAGCTGAAAAATATGTTTAGATTGCATTCAACAAATAAAATAGTATGAAATAATTATTTATCTTATAAGTTAAATAAATGTTAAAAATATCATGATTATATTTTATCGTCTATTCGCTGAAATATTTTTCATAATTTACTAACTATGGAAAATTTTTATAACCAGTACCTTATAATATTGAAATACGTTCAACTTCATTATTAAAATCCTTCAAGAATTTTTATGTAAACATTGCTGTTGCTTTTTTTTTTTTGTTTTGTTGAGTATCTTATCTTACACAATGCAGTCTAATAAAAATGTTATTAAGTAATTTTCTAGGTAATAATCCTTATTTTCTATGTAAAATTGTTTGGAAGATATATAATGGAGTTTTCTTTAATATCAGTACACTAATATTTAAAATCAAATATAATTGTACTCCCTTTCATGAATGTATTCAACTCAGGCACGAATGAAACGTCGTAACGTAGCTCGAGCACTGCGAGCCCAGCCTTTATGTATAGACAAATTATTTGGCAATGTTTCGATGTTTAATATAGGCGAAGAGTTCTGTCATGTACGCTGATTGCTATATGCTAACCACCGGGCATCATCACTTTCGTGAGTTAAATAACGATATCCCACTTTTGCTTCTAATTCTCGTAAATCACACCATGTTTGATAATCCTTAGAAAAAATACAATTTATAATAGGTTTCTATCATGATGTTGTAGGAAAATATTTATGATTATAGAAATACTTACTTGAAGCCATACATGTTGTAAACTCTTATCTACAGTATAACGTTTTCTTTGCTTTACTTGTAACAAATTATTAATCAAATCAATTGCTACAAAAAGAAAATAAATTTTATTGATTCTTATTATTGGATAAGTGTTAAATAACATTATTTTATTTCAATAACTCACATACCATCAGATGAAATTTCCTGCCAAGGAATTGGTGGATACATGAAAGCAGCATTTTGAATTTGTTCATTAATATCTTCTTCTTCATTGAATGGAAATGTTCCACTTAAAGACACATAAATAATTACACCAACACTCCACATATCTAAAGAACGATTATAACCTTTATTTCTTAAAACTTCTGGTGCTAGATATGCTGGAGTACCAACAACACTTCTTCTGAAACTTTTTTCTCCTATAATTCTTGCAAAACCGAAATCACAAAGTTTTACTTGTGTAAATTCGCTATCACTGCTTAGCAATACATTTTCAGGTTTTAAATCACAATGTACTATATTCTTGCTATGTAAATGTTTTAATGCTATCAATATCTGTGTAATTAGGAATTTAGTTACTCTTTCACTAAGACGGCCACGTTCTGAACTTAGTATCATTTCTAGCATATCGCCTTTTAATTTTTCCATAACTACAAATATTCGTTCTGGAGTTTCAAACATTCGTTCTAAATTAACAACTCCGCTATGTGAAAGATTCTGCAGAATGGCAACTTCATTTTTAAGTTGTGCTTCTTGTTTTGTAGGAAAACGTAGTTTATCAATAACTTTGATAGCCACTGCTCGACCACTTTTACGGTGAATACCTCCATACACAGTACCAAATTGTCCAGAACCTAAAACTTCATCTGGAAAGATCTCATATAACTGAGACATATCTGTAATATTTTCTTCAGGTTCTGTAGACTGTTCTTGATCTAAAATCAAAATATCTTACATAAATATATATTTTTATTCTAATATACCTAGTGAGTGAAAGAATAAAATTTAAAAAACCATTACATACTGATTGATATAGTAGTTACAGGCATTAGTGCTTGTCTAATACCAGTCTCCCATGACCTAGCTATATGTGCTCCAATACCACTTTCTGGTGGAGGAACTTGGCTACAATTGTCCCCATATGAAGGATCTTCCCCAACATAATAATCGATATTGGCAGTTTTCAACTCAAAACAATGCATTGTGTCTAAAATATAATTCACGTTTCTCGTATCATTTATATAATAAATGAAATTTTAATAAAATAAAGTTTATATAATATAAAAGACGCACGTGAGCGGGATGTCTCAGCACTTTCAATAGACAATATTTCAACCAATGGAATTTCTTTATAATATTTTGAACTATTTTCACTTTGAAATAATGTTATAGCCTTAGTATCCAGTCGCCAATAATGTTTTTTTCTCTATAAATTTGCAAATATAACTTTAATAATATTTTCTACATGTAAGGTTATTTCTGTATATTACTTATTTACCATTGAATCACGACTTGTAAAATGTACCATCCAACCCTCTTTCAAAACTTTCGAACCACGTCTTTTCGTATGTTTCACACTTTGCACTATACGCATTAAAGGAATATTATTGCTTGGTGTAGAACTGCAACTATTATAGTAAAACAAAATACATGATAAAACAAAAGTTTCAATTCAATATATTTACATAAATAATTAAATTAAAAATATAATTTACCTTGAAGGTCTAGATTTTTGAAATTCATCATAAATAATATCATCATTGCTTGGAACTTGATCCTATAAAAATAATCTAAATAAATATTATTTATTATTAAATATTTTATACAATAATATTATTAACGAAAATATTAAAAATAATATTTCTATTTAACATTTTTTATCATAAAGGTATATTTACAGTATACTCATCAGATGTTTTTGTTTCATCTACTGTAAAAGATGAATGTTGAGGTGGTGAAGGAGATTCTGCATCACTATCTCCATCAGCTTCTTCATTTCTACCATCACATTTTCCCTCTGGCTCACTACCCACACCACTATCAGGGTACTCATTACCTATTGATATAAATATTGTTATTGAAATAATGTTTGTTTTAATTTTAATATTTCAAAATTCAATTTTATAAAAAATTAAATAATGAAATATAAATAAAAATACCTGTATTGTCGCGTGGATTTTCTCCAGTACAGTCTTTAGGTATTTTTTCTATACATTTCTTGTGTGCATTATACTGACAATCTTTGCACTGTAGGCCTTGCTTAAATAAACCTCGTAATAATTTTTTACAGTATCCACATACAGTTGGTCTGGTATAGGTATGTACCACAAATGTATGTGGAATTTTTATACGTGTTGCAAGTTCTCGTTCAATCCATACTGGTCTTCCACCCAATGAAGGGGAGCGAGATTGTTTTGGTGCCATTATACTTGGTATTGTCTAAATTTATAATATAATAAATCAAAATAACATGTATAAAAGTATGTAAATTATTTTACATTTACATTTTAGATAAAATCATACCAAAGTACTATTATTTTGACTTGCATTCGGTGTATTATTTGTACTATGATTATCATCACTAATGCTGGTCAAACTACTAGTAGATCCTTGACTTGGAGATCTTGGTACATTTAACATTGCAGAACTACGCCGTCTTTGACTGGCATCATGTGAGCAATTATTAGGTATTTTTATAACACATCTCTTATGATAATTCATTCCACAACCTATTAAATGCATTAATTGTACAAATTAATTAATTATATTATTAAAAATTTCTGAAATATTAATAATAAAATATTATACTTACCTTCACATTTTAGTCCTTGTCGAACAAGACCAAATAACATTTCTCCACAAAAATCACAAAATGTTGGAACTTTATATGAATGAACAATCAAAGCATGAGGACGAATGGGAATTTCTTCATTTGGCACTTGTGCTGAAAAAAATTAAGTAATTACCTACTCCTTAATTTTTTCATTCTTACATTTTATTTATCATTATATATATGAGAAAATATATAAACTCAAAATTTACCAGTCAAAACAATTTCTACTAATGTTTCATCAACTACTTCAGTTGCATTTGTAATAAGTTGTAAGATATTAGTAGAATTATAATCATGTTTAAATAAAAGTAATCGTTCAAATAAGTGATTTAAACCATGTTCTGGACACTTGGTATTAATAAAGTCACAGGCAAATTCTTTAAGTGTTTTAAGAGTTAATGCGCTGCTTTCTACTGTAACAGTATCACGAGTTAAACCAAACTGAAATAAAAATGTTACTTCTGGTCCCTCCATATTGATTGTTTATCTGAAATACAAAAATAGATTGATAAATATTTAAATTAGAATTAAATGATATAATATAAAATTTATCTGTACTATTGAAATAAAAAAGGAATATAAAAATCAATATTTAACATTAATCTTTACATTTATACATAATATTCATAAATATTTTTTGTAGAAGTAAAATCAAGTATATGCATAAAATATATTTTCTTTTTATTTGAAACAATTAAAGAATTATTATATAATAAATACCAAAAAATGCATAGAATTAAAACATTTAAGAAATGATTAATTAATATTTAATATCATTAAGTTATTCTTAATAATAAATAATTTTAAGATTTAAAATATATTTTGACCATATGATTTTCCAGCACACAGGAAAAGAAAAATATGTATTCTGATTAATAAAGCATAAATATTTTATTTAAAGAAGGATTATTTTACGTACATTTAAATGAATCAACAGAAGATTCTATACCAAGGTAACTGTTTCCTCTTTGATCAAATTAATATTGATGAAACATAATTATTATGACAACAGATCCCACGAGTGTCACCGAACAGCGTCAAATCCATGCCTGACATACATTCGTTGATGACATTTTACAGTTATCTCCAGGTGACCGACCCACCTTTGCGTATACTTCTATCTGTTATATTTTGTTATTCACCGAGTTCTTACATAGGTTCAAATTAATAAACGACTGAAAAATTTACAATACTTGAAATATTGTTCAAAATTCATTAAAAACTATTATATACTATGCACAAATTGTAAACTAATCAATGAATCTATCCTTTCATACACGTATCCACGCATCTACATACGCAAAAATCTAGTGCCATATAGTTGTTACCAAAGATTATTAAGAACAGGAGCAACATAATGTTATGACTAATATAATCAAAGTCGAATAAAGATAACTATATAAAGAAAAATGAAATAGAAGGCGAAAGAAAAAAGAAAAATTAGATAATGAACATTTTTTTTAATAAAAATATAATTTCCTTTACTTAATTTTCCTTATATTTTCGAACAAGCAATAATCCATTACAATTATCTTATTTTTATAAGAATATATATGTATATATAATTAAAATTACAAATTTTTAATTGCATATTTTAATACATTTACATTGATAAATCATTTATATACATATAAATATATTATAATTTTTAAATAAAATTCAAATTTGAATTGCGTCATAAAAGACTGATTTATCGTATTATGTTTATATTTGATTCGAATTATTTCTTTAGCATATTTTTACTCTATGATTATAATATACATATATATATATAAGAGAAAGCGTGCGAAGTAGCCATACGTGAGGATCATTGAACACGTGGAAAGATTCTAACCCATTGAATACATCAAACTAAACTTGAACGTATAAAAATGACTTATAAGCTTTTGGTTGATTCCAAAAATCCACCAACGGGTATATTGAACCATAATACAATTTTAATAAGTCTAATAACTTAACTACATCAAATATAATTTATAAAATAGATGTTGAAAATATTTACTAAATGAAATTTTAGTATTCTATCTCTAAACAGTATTAGTAAAAAATTGTATTTTATTTAATAGTTTAATATTGTTATATATAAAATAACACATACATTACACGCACAGCAATGTTTGATAAATCAATACTATTATATACCTTATTCAAATTTTTAAATTGTCAAACTAGTAACTAATATTTTAATTTATATAGATGCCTTAATTGTAGTAGAGGTAATCAATTGTCAAAATAAAGAAAAGATTGAAGTAGTTTGGTGCAATGATTGGAAAGGTGATGGACATATACAATTAACAGATAGTCAAAATAAAATATTAGGAGAAAGAAGCAGTGATGTTAGTCGCTACTTTGCTAGAACTACATATACAGATCTTTATGGTACGTACATGCATATATATTTTATTTTTCTTATGATATATGTACACATATATTTCAATCATTTGTTTGTGTTAATTAATTTAGGTGGTATTAGTCCTCGTGTAAAGACTGAAGTTGATCATTGGTTATCATTTGCAATTGGACCTCTAGGGTCTTATCCACTTAAAGAAGATGCACTCTGTTATTTAGATAATGTACTGATGACAAATACTTGGTTGGTTGCCAAAAAATTAACATTAGCTGATATCTACATATTTTGTATTCTTTTAAATAAGAAATTTTTAGCGAAGTTTGAAAAGCAATATATTAATATCAGTAGATGGTATAAACAAATACTTTCACTACCTGCTGTTACAGAGGTATTGCTTTCAATAAAAAAAAATGTTAAATTATCTTCTCCTAATAATATACAATGTGAGAAAGTTATTAATAAACAAATAGGACAAAGAAAGCAAGAAGGTAAATTTATTGATTTGCCAGGAGCAGAAATAGGTAAAGTAAGTAATTTATATTTATGATAATACATATTTTGTAAAGTACATCTTTATAAGATCATTTATTACTATAATAGGTCATAGTACGTTTTCCACCAGAGGCAAGTGGCTATTTACATATTGGCCATGCTAAGGCTGCTTTATTAAATCAATATTATGCAGAAATATTTCAAGGACAACTCATTATGAGATTTGATGATACAAATCCTGCAAAAGAAAATGTAGAATTTGAGAAAGCTATTCTAGAAGATTTAAAATTATTGCAAATCAAACCAGATCGATTTACACATTCGTCTGATTATTTTGATTTAATGTTAGAATATTGTACTAAACTAATAAAAGAAGGTAAAGCATATGTAGATGATACACCAGTTGATGTAATGAAAGAACAACGTGATCAGAAATTGATGTCATCAAATAGGAATAATAGTAAGTATAAAAAATTAAAAATTTAACTAAATATAGCATATTATTGAAATTATTTAAATAAAAAAAAAAGTTAACAAACATATTATTTTTATTTACTTTGTTAGCTATTGAAAAGAATCTAGAATTATGGAACGAAATGCAACAGGCTACCGTTAGAGGTCAAGAATGTTGTGTTAGAGCAAAAATTGATTATCAGTCAACAAATGGATGTTTACGGGATCCAACAATTTATAGATGTAAACCAGAATCACATCCTCGAACTGGAACAAAGTATAAGTGTGTATTAGATATTAAATAGTAATGTGCGGGCATCTGAAAATACAGGGTCCTTGTCCGACTCATATTTTCAGATGCCTGACACCCTTAATATTAAAACATTTAAAAAAATTAATAAATTCTTTTTGTTATACTCTATTTCCATTTTTTTATTAGAGTCTATCCAACATATGATTTTGCTTGTCCTATCGTTGATGCCATCGAAAACGTTACACATACTTTACGTACAACGGAATATCATGATAGAGATGTTCAATTTTATTGGATAATTGATGCCCTAGGACTAAGACGTCCTTATATATGGGAATATTCGCGTTTAAATATGACACATACAGTTTTATCAAAAAGAAAATTAACTTGGTTTGTTGACCAAGGCTTAGTTGATGGTTGGGATGATCCACGTTTTCCAACAGTAAGAGGTATTTTGAGAAGAGGAATGACAGTTGAAGGATTAAAACAATTTATAATTGCTCAAGGTAGTTCAAAGGCTGTAGTCTTTATGGAGTGGGATAAAATATGGGCATTTAACAAAAAAGTTATTGATCCAATTGCAACTAGGTATATTAATAATATAAGTACATTTTTTATAAAGAAGAATCATAAAAATGATTCATATAATACTATTTTTTAGATATACTGCTTTGGAGTATGATAAAATTGTACCAGTACATATAGATGGTGCAAAAGAAGATTGGTTACTTGTTCAAAATCATCCAAAAGATTTATCAAAAGGAACTAAACAAATGTTAATAGGGCCACAGGTGTACATTGAAAGAGATGATGCAAATGTCTTAACTGAAGGTCAAAATGCTACATTTATTAATTGGGGTAATATACTAATTAAAAAAATTGAAAAAAAGAATGGTGTTATTACACAGATAATAGCACAATTAAATTTAGAAAATAAAGATTATAAAAATACATTAAAAATTACATGGTTATCAGTACCTTCTAATAAAAATGATGATGATATTAATAAAACTAATCTAATTCCATGTTATGCTGTTTATTTTGACCATATTATAAGTAAACCAGTATTGGGAAAGGATGCTGATTACAAAGATTTTGTTGCAAAACATACAAGAGTAAGTTTTATTATTTTTATAGTTATAAATATAATTGTCAATTTTAAGATCAAAACAAAAATTACACTATATTTCAGACTGAGGTACAAATGCTTGGAGAAGTAGGACTGAAACGTGTGAAAAAAGGAGAAATAATTCAATTACAAAGAAAAGGATTTTTTCGATGCGATATACCTTATGCTCCAGTTAGTTCATTTTCATCTAGAGAACAACCTGTAATCTTGTTTCATATTCCGGATGGGCATATTACAAACACAACAAAATCAATATCTAGTAGTACTACATCAACTTCTGATAAAAAAATTATTCATGAAAATGTATTTACCATTTTATTTTCATAATCATAAATTAATAATATGTATATTTTAAATCAATTTTTTTTTTGTTTTAGAATATAAGACTTACTCATAATACAGCAAACTTAATCAGTAACAAAATTATTGTGCAATTACAAAAAATATTACATAAAGTTACTACAGAAAGAGCAGATAAAGCTATGATTGATGCAGAAGTTAGAACTTATCTAGCTTTAAAAGCTAAATATAAAACATGTACTGGAATAGAGTGGACATTAGATACTATGTTGAGGAAATCACAGCAAATGATGTCTAATGAAAATAACTTAACCGAAAGTAAATTAACCGAAAATGAATTATCTGCAAATATTAGACAACAAGAAAACAAAATTAAAGAACTACAATTAAAATTGAATCAAGAAATGGAACGATTTTCAAATTTAAAAACTGAATATAAAAATAAAACTGGTATTGATTGGACTGAAGTAAAAGATCAAAATACTGTACTAATAGATTCATATGCTGTGAAATTATCAAATGAAATTCAAACACAAGGAGATAAAATAAGACAGTTAAAAAGCTCGAAAGGTGACAAAAGTGTTATTGATCAAGAAGTAAAGAAACTTTTGGCTTTAAAGTCAGATTATAAATTTACTACTGGTCAAGATTGGAAAGCATCTATTAATCTATCAACTAATTTAACAAATAAAAATGAAACTTCCGTTGATCAAATTTTAAACAGTATAAAAAAACAAGGAGATAAAGTGAGACAATTAAAGGAAGCTAAAGCGAATAAAAATGTTATTGATCAAGAAGTAAAAATTCTGTTAGATTTAAAGAATAATTATAAAATATTAACTGGTCAAGAATGGAAACTAGTGGAGTCTCTAAAGAAAAAGAAAGAAGATACTTCTAAATACGAAAAACTAAGAAATGCATCAAATAAAGAAATAAATAAAAATGAATGTATGAAAGATATAGATGCAGGTAAAACGAGATTAGGATTGGAAGTAAAGAAAGAAGAAAATTTCTTTGAATGGTATTCTCAAATTATTACTAAGAGTGGTATGATTGAATATTATGATGTGTCCGGTTGTTATATTTTTCGTCCGTGGAGTTTTGCCGTTTGGAAAATAATAAAAGAGTACATTGATAAAGAAATAACACAAATGGGAGTACAAGAATGTTACTTTCCTATTTTTGTGACACGAACAGTGTTGGAGAAAGAAAAAACACACATAGCAGATTTTGCCCCTGAAGTTGCGTGGGTAACAAAATGTGGAAAATCAGATTTAGCAGAACCGATCGCTATACGACCAACGTCAGAAACTGTAATGTATCCTGCTTATGCCAAATGGTTAAAATCAGATACTGAACTTCCTTTAAAACTTAATCAATGGAACAATGTAGTAGTAAGTATAAACTGTAGTTTATTAATTATTATATAAAAAATCATTTTCTAATTGTATTTAAAATATTACTATAACGAAAAAATTGTTTTCATTTCAGAGATGGGAATTTAAAGATCCCAAACCTTTCTTGCGTACAAGAGAGTTTTTATGGCAAGAAGGTCACACTGCTTTTGCTACTAAAGCTGAGGCTGATGAGGAAGTCATGATAATTTTAGATATGTATGCAAGAGTATATGAAGATTTATTAGCAGTACCTGTTGTCAAAGGTCGTAAAACTGAGAAGGAGAAATTTGCTGGTGGCGATTACACTACTACAGTTGAAGTTTTCATCCCCACAAGTGGTCGCGCAATACAAGGAGCGACAAGTCATCATCTAGGACAAAATTTTTCTAAAATGTTTAATATTCAAGTAGAAGGTGCTGTAGGACGAGATGAAAAGACATTTGTCTATCAGAACTCATGGGGCCTAACAACTCGAGCAATTGGAGTTATGATAATGGTGTGTATTTTTTGTTTTATTAAAAAAATACTTTTTAATTACTTAGTTTTATATTTTATTTGTAGGTTCATGGAGATGATAAAGGTTTAGTATTACCACCAAATGTAGCTGGTATTCAAGCTATTATAGTACCTTGTGGTATCACAGCAAATACAACACCTAAACAAAGAGAAATACTATTTTCTGAATGTAACAAATTATTAGAAGAATTATCAAAGGATAAAACACTTAGAATTAAAGCAGATTATCGTAATAACCGAACACCAGGTTGGAAATTTAATCACTGGGAATTAAGAGGTGTGCCTGTAAGAATTGAATTAGGTCTTAAAGACTTGGAAAAAAATCAGGTTACTTTCGTACGCAGAGATATTTCTGAAAGAATATTTACAAATAGACTTGAAGTGGTTAGTGTTTTACATACATTATTAATTGATATACAAGCAAATATGCTCTCCAAGTAAGTGTTATTAGAAAATAAATTCATTATATAATATCATAAGTACTACTGTTATAAATAACTATTATTATGATTATGTTATTGTATATTATATTATTATACGAATATTGTTATTATATTATAAATAGCTATCTGTTTTTAATAGAGCAAGAAACAATTTGAATGAGCATATTAAACGTGCAGACAATTGGAATGAATTTTGTTCTTATCTTGATAAAAAAAATATATTATTGTCACCATTTTGTGGAGAGTCATCTTGTGAAGATAACATTAAAGATGATAGTGCAAGGTAAATATTACAAAAACTTTTTTAATGATTGATGTTCGATTATTTGACTACATACATTCTATTTTTTCTCACAGAGAAGATACAGGTGAACTTGGAACATTATCAATGGGTGCAAAAAGTCTTTGTATACCATTTGAACAACCATTATTATCAGTATCCTTTGACAAACAGACATGTATCCACCCTAATTGTCAGAACAAACCAAAGTTTTATACACTTTTTGGTCGTAGTTATTAAACAAGTTAATATTAAGTTACAAATTAATAAATATTTTAATACAATAATAATTTCAGAGTAACATTTATATATATTATACTGTTTGTTTCTAAATTTGATATAATAGACTTTATTTCATGATTAATATAGCTTATAATTGTATTTACAATTTTATATTGTACGCATCAATAAATTGTAGGAAAAATGTTACACCATCTAAAATGAAATTAAATAAAATACAACAAATTTTAAAAGTACTCAAATATTTTTATTTATCTACTTTCTTTTGAATAAACGATTAAAGATAACAAAGGAAATAAAGATATTTAAGTTTTGAAAATATATGGTAAATAAATTAAAATACCTGAATATACAAAATTTAATATTATTTATATTTAATTAAAAATAAAAATAATACTTATTATAAGTACATTATTAAGCTAAAATGTTATATATACAGAATTGAAATTTATTTTATCAGCATATACATATAATACTTCTCATTTACAATTGAAATAAAACAATAAATATTGTACTTCATTAATATGTATAATATTATATTTTTATCATTATATGTATGAGCATATATTGTATTTTTACAAAACTTACAAATTATTCTTATGTTATTGTTAAATTTTTAAATATTACATATAAAAATGATATATATTGATATTAATAAATGTACCATATATAAACACGTTTTTTAGCATTTCTTAAACAAATATTTTTTAAGCTTTAAAATATTATTTTTCTATTTACATATTTATATCGTAATATCTATCGAAAATATATTATTTTAAAAATTTTTTGCTAGTGCACTTTAGATCACGTTCCAAATTAAAGGAAATACTAATATACGTTGTTTAGTGTATCGAATTTTTTTCAGTAATTTCAATATTTTTGATAGTTTTAGTATTATGATTTATCAATTCTGTTATTCAATATTTAAGTATAAATAATGTTCTCAATATGTTTTGATTTATCTATATCCGAATTTTTTATATGTTCTGATAAATTAAATCTTTCTTGTATATTATTTCGTTTTCTTAAAAAATTTGTTTGTTCAATGCACCATTCATTACTTTCCTTTTTATATTTTGAAAACAAATCTGGATTATTATCAACAAAACTTTTTATTTTCTTTAAGTCAATACTTACTTTAAAATCTGTTTCATTTATATTTTCGGGTTTGTTATTAATACGATTTTCAGGAAATAATACACGTCGAACTAATTCTGTTGAATTATAAGAATCATTTTCTAAACCTTTTTCTATGCAATGTATTTCACGTGTACTGTTTGTATCAAAATTTAAATTTTGTATATTTGGTTTTATATTACTAACGCTTTTATTATAATAATCGTTATGACTTGTGGTGGCATCGAAACTAGTTTCAATATTGTCAACCAAATTGATATTTTCATGACTTCGTCCTCCATCATTGTTTTCAATTGTTTTAGATACAGATACCGTCAAATTTCTATTCTCATTTTGATTATTGTTACTTATAGAAACATTTATATTATTTGTAATTAATGTCGTGTTCATTAATAAATTATCTGATATATTTTTGCAAGGAATTGTTGTTACTGGATCTAGATTCTCCTTTGTATCATCATGATAATTTTTAGATTGTTCATTAACAAAGATGCATGTGCTTTTATCTTTATTACAATCAGATGAAATATTTTGTAAAATGTTTCCAGATCTAAAATTTGGAAAAGTTTCATTTTGTGGTTTAAAAATATTTTGCTGTACAGTTTTTTTCATTGACGCATTAAATGTAGTATTCTTCTCTATAGAAGTTACACATTCCATATTAATATTTACAGAAAATTTATCATATAAGATCATCTGTGTGAAAAGAATTGTAACCATGTAGGCATTTTATACAGTACTTAAACATATAATAATATTAATAATATATTATTATTATTTGAAAAATATTTACCTGTAGATTATTTATATTATGTACACGAAATTTAAGATCACGTAAGCATACATATTCTGGTATCAATCGAGAGTAATTACAATCTGTGGTTTTACTTTTTTCTTGCCAGCATATATTGTTGAATTTGTTATTTGATGTCCTATATTTTGACATGGCCCTATAATTTACAAAACATTATATCTCCTTAATATAAAAATACAATGACATTACTTACCAAATATTTTATCCATATGGAGTATAAACAATAACATTTAATTCTGATAAATTTTTATTATACAAAAATATAAGAATTGAGGATAATTTATAATACTTACATTTCAACATCATTTTGACATTTCCATTGCTCTGATATTTGTAATTTTTTTGATTTTGAATGGTTTGTTCTGATAGATTTTTCAACATAATTGCTTTTTGTCTCATTTGTGGTACTTCTATTCCTTGAGTCAACAATAGGAATGGTGCCTGTATCCCCATCACACTGTTAGAATTGCAAATGATATATTGAAGAAAAGGTACAGGGAAATTTTTGTCAATACACACAATCCCCATACCCTACTTCTCCTTAAAATTAATCCTTAAATTGAAACATGTAACACTAACATTATAAATAATTATTTTTTAGTAACTATTATTTCTTTAATGATAGAGTATTTAAAAATGCATTGTAAACAAAAGAACAATTTAAGAATTATTAATCTCACTTTTTTTTCAATATTTGATTATATTCAATATTAATATGAATTATGCTGTACAGGGTATAGAGATTATAAAAAATATACAATTTAACTATATTTTTACTTACATTTTTTATCTTATTATCAATTTTTAAATTTTCAAATATTTTGTTTGTGCCATTTGTGATATTCATATTTGAGCAAGTTTGTTCTTCATTTGTTAAAATTGTAAGTGTTTCAGTTTTATTATTTACTACATTATTTGATACATTCATTTGTAATGAACATTTTGTACTAGGTATATACTGTATGTTTTTATCAATATTGCAATTTTGTTTAACTTGAATATGCAATTCTTTATTCTGTAAATTAAATTCATTTACAGAAGTATTGTCCTCATTGTTATTACTAATTTGTAAATTATTTTTATTAGATGATTTTGATGTTTCTTCCGATACACTATTATTCTTTTTCATTTTTTTAGATTCATTTATGAATGAAATAACCGGGTCCAACGTAGTCTTATCGTGTTTTCTTTTTAAATTTGATTCTAAAATATCATGTTCATAACATAAAGGTTGCGGTATTGCGTTACTATTTATTAATTCCTTGTTGCTTTGTAACATTTGTTTGTTAATTTTTTGCTCTTTTTCAACAGGTAATACATTCTCAAATTCTTTTGGTGCCAATGAAACTACATTTGTAATTTTAATATTTGAAACAAAATCATTACAAGAGTATTCAGTTTTTTGGTTCAATTTTATTATATCATCCGAAACATTGGACTTTATTTCATTTTGTAAACTGTATTTCTTTAAGTTATCAAATTCAGTTACATTTAAATTATTTATCAAACAATGATTACTATCATTCTGACTTAAATAATTTTCTTGTAACAATTTTCCTATTTCTGACGGGCTAGAATTATGTATAATACTGCTTTTATGTTGAGATAAATTATCTTTTTTGTTTTTATTATCTTCAGTATCATTTAATGGAGTACAATTAGTTACCTGTAAAATATATATAGTTTATAAATTTATAAAAAAATTTTTTTAATATTCTTAAAATTCATTTAATTCGAATTTATAGATTTTAATATTTGCCTCTATAGTATTATCATCTCTATCAAGCATAATAATGTTATTCGCTTCTTTATCCAATCGTGATTTGAAATGTCGAATTGAAGAATTGAAACTATTTGCATCATTATATAATATTGGATCTGTTACCGAACTTGATATATTCATAAAAACTTCTTTGTTACTTGCAGACAAGTTATGCTGCTCCATATTTGCTGAATTTAATGTCATATTTACACTTTCACTAGTTTGTTGCTTGTTGTTGCTATATCATTTTTAATATTAAAACACTTTTATTAGAATAAATAAATCAGATATGATATACTTATATTTTAATATTTTATAGTTTTTAAATACTGACTTTTGCATTTCTCTAGTTTCTTGAAGTTGTTTTAATTTCAAAGTTCGAGGACCAGAATGTTCTTTACTCATTGACATCTGAGGTGTAGAGCTTATAAATGGTAAGTTTGATGTGAATGGTATAGGTGAATCTTTACCAACAGAAATATCACTATCAGAATCTTCAGAATCAGAAACATTCCTAAAGCAAGTTATTACATTTATAATAATTTTATATTAATTTTAACTTTATAAAATTGTACTAAATTTAACAAAAAATACATACTGTAAATTATCTCTTATTGTACTTGAACTAGCAATTTCTTTAGATTTACCTATATAAAAACATAAATTAAAATTTAATAAAAGGTTCCTTTCTTATAAACTTCAATCAAAAAATTTTTAATTGTTTACCTAGAATAGAAATGCACTCTACACATTCCCAAACAGAATTAGGCCATTTTAACTCTCCACAAGCCACATGAATTCCTTGAGAACCACAAGTTCGACAAAGAGCTAATTTCCATTTTCTATGAAATAATAAAATTACAATAAAAAAAAAAAAATAAAAAATTTTATCACATTTTGTAAATAGAAATAAAATATTGTTTTACTTACGCATGAGAACCTGTATATTTTCTACCTTTGGGACAAAGACATATTGGAGCATCACATTGATCATGTCTATATAAAAGTTCTTGAAATGCATTAGGTACAAGTTCCCAAGAAGCATCTCTAAAAAAAAAAAAGAATATTGAAATAATCAGCTTTTTTTATCTAATATTTTATTACAAAGTACACAAATTGTATTTTTTACTTACTGACTTGGAATAAAAATACCAAATTCCAACATTGCTTTTTGAAATAATTTCTTATCATTACATAAAGGGCATTTAAAAAAATATCCAGCACTCATAGCAAGTTCCTAAAATAAATTTTTTGAAAATTCAGTGTATATTCTTATACAATGAAAAATGTAAGAACTTCCTTATGAATTATTAATTATCTTACTTGAACACATTTTCTATGAAACCATGCATTTTTTTTACAGCACGGAGCCCACATTGTACTAACTATATCACGTGGATCCACTTGATCATAACATATATAACATACTACTTCGTTAGTTTTTGCTAATTTATCTTTTACCGCAGTATCTATTTTCTGCTTTGGTCTGTGACGTTTACAATATGACCTAATAATGTATTACAATGAATAATTTGTTCTTTAAAAAGTTAAAACTGACAAAATTAATATAAATATAATATAATATATAAATATAATATACCTAAATTCACCAAAAAACTGATTTAAGGTTCCAGCCCTTAGCCCACATGGATAATGAAATATTTTTTTACATTTTACATTACAACACCCCAAAGTGGCACCAGTTTTCTTACAATATGAACATACCTTTGAATTAAAACCATAAGGTAATAACTTTCTGAATACTTTCTTCTATTATTTATATATAATTATTTACCAATTTTTTCCCTCTACGAATTTCCTTTTGCATATCTTTTTTTAGAAATCCTAAAATACCTTGATCATCCTTTCCCCTTTGTTGCATATTTGATGATAAAAGCTATAAGATATTATGTTGAACTATTAAACATATATATATATATATGTATATATATGTATGTATATTATATATACATTATTTATTATTTATGTACCAAACAATAATAATGTGTAACAATTTCACCATGTTCATAAAATCTTCCAAATTCCAATTCATTATTCTGTGATAACCCGCAGAAGCAGCAAATCTTAAGTTGAGATGACTTATTGCGCTTTGATGACATGATGTATACTACAATTTAATAAACTGATTTTTAATGCATAATAAATAAACAACTAATATCTAATAATACTTTTACATATAAATAATACAAAAAATGATAAAATTTATACTATCTTTTAATATAAATTTATATAAGTATAAAATTTAACAAAGTAAATTTATGTATGCGTAATAATTATAATAAATATATGTAAAATACAATCAATGGAATATACGTAATTTAGTTAACTAATTTGTACGTATATTCCATTGACTGTATTTAATATATATATATGTATAAAATGAAATATATCTTAAAGTTAAAGGTACCGTATGAACTTCGTTTTCTTACAAATACATATTTGAAAACTACTTCCACCTCAGTTTATACCTATTTTATAATCAAAACGATCGACAGAATGAGAAATTGTAGTGTTAATACATGACAATGTAATTAAAAAATTCCATTTCAAATAACACAATATATATTTTCTTTTGCATAGTATAGATAAAAGTGTACAAAAAAATAACAAATTTTTTTAATTCGATAGGTTATTGTTTAATCACAAAACTACTTATTTTTAAAGTAACACTGCGCGGGAGAAACTCCATATAATTAACATAACACTAAACCAAATTTTCAATAAGAATTCATATTTCGATAGTCATATAAATTTTATATTAATATATCTGTCAAAATTGAAAAGTATAACTTATCGTAATTCAATAAATTAATTGTACGTTTTAATGAAATATGCAGTACAGTACTCTTTCTTCACAAAAAATCACAAACCATCGAATATGAACACATAATATAGTTAGACAAATAATGATATTAACCAATCACTACGCTATCTGGTGACATACTAAGTAAGTTTTTGTTCAAATCATATTTTGTAGATATTTGGATATTATGTATGATTACTTTTATTACTCTTTAAGATATTACAGTAATTAACATACGCGATGAATTAAAAAGAAAATGCTATTTAATTTATGCTCTATCTTATAGATAATTTTATAATAATGTATATTAATATGATGTATATTTCATTTATCTAATAAAATACAAATTGTTTTCCTATATTTCTCCTTTCGATAGAGAAATTATCGTCATTGTTAATAATATCATGTAAATAAGGTATTTGGACAAGATCTCTCCTAGCTTCCATTAAGCGATATAAAACTGGACAATCTAGAGATTCACATTTTGGTTCATCTAAATAACCAGTACAACACTGACACATCTGAAAGAAAAATATATATTTTTATTTTACTAAAACAGTAGAATAATACAGTAGAAAAAATAAAATATGGAAACTTTATATACACCATAGTAAGTTCATGATGAGTACGTTCCAACCATCGTAATTTTTCATGTAAAATAGTAACTGTTTGACTTGGCTTTGCTACACAATTAATACAGATATCTCTTTGCGTTTGATTTCCACAAGCAGCACATACAACAGTACTAAAAAACTGCCGAATAGTCTGTTTCTGATTGTTCATGCACAAAGTAACTACTTTATCAGGTGTTTCACGATGGATCATTTCTCTATACCTAAAAATAAGAAAACATTAATGTTTTGGAACAAAAATTACGAGTATAATATTTAAATATAAAATATAATATTCGTTATACCATGCATTAGTATCAATATTAATTAAATTTAAACATCGATTAAGAGGTGGTATAATAACTTTTGTTATGTAATATATTGAATTTGGAGTTAAGCCTTCATCTGAAATGACTTCAATTGGAGTTCGTACACATTGAATTAATGGCTGATTTGGTGCTCCAGCTACTATAATATATCGGACTCTTTCACCAGTACGGGGGATTTCCCTTGGATCTTTGCGCATCAACCTTCGTGTTAATTCTAAAGCAGGTACACAAGCACTAGTTTTATAACCATGCAAGCCACGAAATTCTTTTGCAAAGGTTAAATCTTGAAGTGATATTTTTTTACGTAAAATTTTATCAAATTGTCTAGTGACATATAGTTTAACTAAGGAGAGATCCTTTGTATCAAATAAGATTTTTAATGTTTTTTCAAGTATCTGAAATTTAAAATTAGTATTTGATATTTTGCTCAGCATTTTAGAAATAATTTGATTTTATTCACCTTAGCTACAGCTGGACAACCATCTCTACGAACAGTTTCAATACCCTTTGCTAAATATTCAGGTTCTTTTTGGTCTGGAGATTCATACATATAACCACAATATCTCTTTTTAGTCTAAACATGATAAAATTTGATGTTATTTTATTCATTAAATATTAATAAAACATTACCTGTAATATTGATGGTTGTAAAACTTTTTCAAATTTAAGTTTTATAGGTGGAGGATTAGCTGCAGTAATGGTATTAGCAATTTCAGCTCCAATTGCAAATGCATCTTTTCTTGTTTTTCCACGTAAAAGAATGAATAATGAATCTGTATCACCATAAACAACTTCAGCTCCCCATTTAGGTGTAGATTCTATTATTTTAATTGCTTGTTCTAATGTTTCCCTTCCTTTACTAACAACACTGTCTCCTATCTTAATTTATGATAACTATAAATATATCTTGTAAAAAAATTAATATAGATATTATATAATATACGTCTACCATACCTCAATACAAGGCATTCTGCCACTAAAATTAGCAGCTGTATAACCATAAGTCACATTTGCAATTAATTTAAGACCTAATTGCTGTGAATGAAGAATACGTTGTAATGTGTGATTTTTATTTCCATGAAGTTTCATAGACTCCTTCACCATAATGCGGGTATTTAAAATTTCTGTAAGCATACGTGGTAATATTCCCATACGTATTTCTGGTTTTACAAATGCTACACCACAAGGTGCAAAATTTATTTTCCCCAATAATTTTTTAACAGTATCCTTTTTTATTTTTAATGTTGTTGCACCAAATTCATATGGCTCATAACTAAGAGTAATCAAAATGACATATTTATACATTGTACTTCTTATTATAAATATATAAATATATAAATATTGATGCTATTCTTACTGGCCAATATGCTCTACACGACCTAAACATGTAGAAAAGCAATAATTATAAGCAATAATAATGCTTGGATATAAACTTTGAAAATCCAAAACAATTAATGGATCAGTATAGAATGCAGATTGTGGTTCCATAATAAGTGGTAAAGATTCTGGAGCGCGCATTCGTGCTCTCTGTTGTATAGAGGGTGAAACTGCAATATAATTCAGAGGTTTTGCCAGTCTTAACATCATTGACTCTACTCGAAACTGAGAACCTCTTGAGAAAACTTCATAAAATTGTATTCCAAAAAGTCGTGCGTGCTCACATGTTCGACCTAAAATATTAATAAATTATGATGTAGAAAATGATGGTACTTTATGCAACAGAGTGAAAAAATAATAAGTAATGCAAACCAATGATATCAAGATGAATTAATATTCTCAATGTACCCACAACTCTTATGATGTAATGAGTAACAATTCTCCATTGTATTGTTACATTTTTACAATTCCACCAAGCTGTTAAAATTTTAAAAGTAGGACATGAAATTCTTTCATGCATGACATTATACATAACATTTTCAAATGTATAACTTAATAATGCTACTTCGTGACGCATTATTCTCCAAACATCAAGAATAATTCGACCTGGTATTTTTACATCATTAAAATTATTTTTATCAGATATCTGCTTTTTGGATGTTGGAACAGTATTTAAAATTCTTGAAATTTGTTGCGTAAAATCGTGTAAACCAATAACAGAAGCTCTATGAAAAATATATCCCCATGAAAGAGATTCTATTTCCCAACCAATTAAAATATCTGGATCACAATGTCTAACTAATATTATAAGGCTATTCAGCAAATCCTCTTCACTCGATACATATGATGTAATACATGTACTAGTTGAATGTATATCTTTTACTTTTGAATTTTGTATAGATGAATTTACAAGTATAGCACCTAAAATAATGTTATATTTATCTTTATCCGTTATTATTTTAAAAAATTATGGTAAAGAAACAATGATTTTAATCCATACCATGTTCTATTTGTTCAATTTTTTGAGACAGTGGAACATCATTATAAATAGCATAAAATATTCCTTCAATTGGATCATGATCTGGATCAGGAAGTAATTTATCACGTGTAATAATATGTATTTCTACTGCTAATATTGTCAAATATTGATGCTGTAATCGTTTAAATAAAAAAATTTAAATAATTGATATGATAATATTACTTTATAAACAAATTGAAATTTTCAGAGTAAAATAGTTACCACAGTTAGACCCTTGGCATTTTGAACATTTTCATTTTCTATACCACCACTATATTCTTTTAGAGAATATTCAATTTGTCCACATGAAATGCCTGGATGTTGTGTATCATTATTTTTGTATAACAGCGGATTTTCCAGTATTTTTCGTAAAGAAAAGTTGAAACTATTACATCTATTTGAATACTCTAAATTATTAGAATACTGTGAATGATTATCAGTAGGTGTCTTTCTAAATATATCATCTTCTTTTGCGTTTTTTAGAATATCAATATTGTCTTTTATTCCTTTCTGTAAACTGTTTTTTTTTAATAAATACTTTTTGGTTTGTAACCAAATTTTAACATTTTTTAATGTTGGTGGCTGAATAATAGAATGAATTATTAAGACATTGAACCCAGCTAAAACTTTTTTTATATTGCAAGATTTTATGCTTGAACCAGAAGGATAAAATTCGTTTATTTTCACCCGACGCCAGAGGTTAATACCTGTAATTCTATCCAAGCTACATTTAAATGGAGTTATATTGTAAATGCTATTACTTAAATTTCCACCTTGCTTGAACTTTATAAAATCAACTTTATTACTGAAGAATGGTATACTATATTTTGATGTTAAAATATTGTATGTTTTCATTGAGTTTATAATTCTTTCTTTACTTGGTGGATTAAATTTAGTTGTAATAATAATTAATTTAGTTTTTATAACACCACTTGTACTTTCTAATGATGTAATATTTGAAGTATTTAATTCAAATTCTAATTTTCTATTAAGATATTGTGTATATGTCATGTTATAAATATTGCCTTCATCTGTATTTCTGTTCATTAGTGATATTTTATTTGAAACATTATCTACATACAAATGTACATTAGTCTTTGATGTACTTGGTAAATCATGTTTATAATTCACTTTCTCATCTTCTTTCATATCTGACTGTATAGAATTTTTATTATCAATAGAGTTCATTATAAAACTAATTGCAGAATCATTGCTTTTGTCAGTATCATTTAATATTTTTTCTCTCAAAGATAATTTGTTAAAACAATATTTATCTGTGTTATCCTTTAAAGGACTAATTTCTTCTATATTGGTATTCACAAAACTTAATCTCTTACGTACATCTTTGTTATTTTTACAGATAACTTGTGTTTTAATATCTGTTCTTAATGCATTATCCTTCTTTTCTAGATCAATTAACTTTTCTTCTGTGTTTGTACTGTTAATATTGAAAATTTTAAGTATTATATTTTTCATAAAACAAAAATATAGTTAGGTTTATTACATTTACCTGTCTTTATGCTTATTATAAATAATTGTATGTGTACTGTTAGTATTTAAAGTTTTGTTTTCTATAAAGAGTGCTGAAAAAGACATGATAAAGTATTTGATATATCTTTAATAATTTATAATAATAGTTTACTACTTACTCTGATTTGCCTCTAAAATAAAATTATTTATTTTCTCGTGAAATGAATTCATTTTCAAATGTTGGTTGCTCCATTTCAAAGTGGTACTACTAACTTTCGAACTACAAGATTCATTATTTTCAGTACTTTTATCCTTTTTTGGAGATATTATTTTTATATTGAGTGGAGAATATTTTTTTGAAACAGGGCATGAATTGTGTACAGTTTTTAGTTTAGTTGGAGTATGATATGGTTCATTTTGTGAATAATTTGGAATAATATTACGTCGTTTGCACAAAGATTGTAAATTTGGATTTTCTGATTCATGCTTTCGTTTATTCAATGAAATATTAATAACATTATTGTCACTTTTTGATTTCATACATGATTTAAGAACACAAATGCATCTCTCTTCCTTATTAACAGTAATATCTTGATCTAAATCAGAATCACTAGAGCTATCAATAATATTACCATCAAGTGCTGGTGTATTTAATTTGTTTAAAATACTATTAATCATATAAAATGATTTATTATATTTCATTTGATTAAAATCGCTTCCAAAATCTGTTGTATGTTTTAAATGTTTATAATTATTTATTGTTAATGTATTTTCAATTTCATCAACGTCATAAACATCTAAATCTTGATGGTCTAATTTATATAAATTCATATTGTTGTAACATGATAGCTGCCTTCTATTAATTTGTACTATTTTGCTATGTTTGCTTTTAAATTGTGGAATTTGTGTTTGGTAAGATGTGAAATATTTAGGTAATATGATATCAGACATAATTGTTTTTAAAAGTACTAACTCATTTTGCAAATGGTTAAAATTTATTTGAATGCTTATAAACTTTATTTCATTCAATGTCCTACTTCTGTTATTAAAGAAATGCAACATATATTTTTTTAATTTTGTATATACTTTTTTCTTCTTCCTCATTTCATTTTTAGTATGCCACTTTGACAATTGCTTTTCACATTTCAAAATCATATCATTGGAACCATCATACTGAGGAAAATCCATTAAAGAAGTACTTTCAGTATTATGTTCAGTTTTGCAATCTGTTTTTTTATAATCTTCATTTTCTTTAGTTTCATTTTCAGTAATAATTGAATTCCATGAACTAAGACTATCTAAATCCAAACTAGTAATGTTCAAATCTTCAATTTCATCATCTTCATTATCCTCCTTGATTTGATCATTCAACATGGAGAACTGAGAGCCTAACATACTATCATTATCTACAATTTTGTTTTCTTCAGTTTCTTCTACTAAGTCAGCTAATATTTCGACTAAATACATATCTTCTGAATCCACTAGAAATATTTATATGAGTTATTATACATGTATAACAAAAGAAAATAACATTTAAAAAATTTGTTTATGATATTTATATTTGTAATATATTGTTACTTACAAATACTATTTTCTATCGTTTTATCTTGATGTAAACTTTCATTTATCACAGATTTCTCAAACTCTAACAAATCATTATTTAGCGATGTTTCATTTTTATTTTGTTTATTTAACTCTGAAGATTTAAAATGATTTGAAACACGTAAAGCACCAAATGAATTATCTTCATTTTCTACTTCTAGGGGGTAATTTGATGTTTTTGATATTAGTGGTGTTACATTTTCATTTATCTAGAGAATAAATTAATTTAAATTATCCTATTTTAATGAAAAAATTTACACAGTAATCTTATATTAATAAACTATATCAGTGTTAATATTATCTAATACTATACCTGTGACGCAGATTTTAATCTTTCTATTAATCTTTTTTCTTGATAAATATCATTCTCTGTTAAATCATAAATTCTATCTTCAATATTAGTATATAACAACTGTGATTCAACACTCTGTAAACATTTTGCTTTTCTTCTGTATTTTTCTTCATTCCAAATGGTTGCAATACCAGGATTTAAATCTATACCATTGTGAATTTCTTGTTTATTAAGTATTTCATATGCTTGTGCATCTACTTCCAATTTGCAGATACTTTGATTAAGAATAGATGCAGGAAGGAAATTTTGTGAATCAAATAAATTTAATAAGCTTTCATTTTGAAAATTTTCTTTTGATTTTGTATGTATGCACTGCCTGAATTTAACATTTTTCAAGTTTATTAGACTCATACCATAAAGATTGTAATCAATCATAAATTGCAAAATAAAAGGTATATGTGCTTCATGTGGTTGTAAGCTCTGATTCAGTATTGTACCATTCTAGAACAGAATGTTCACATTTATTTCTCCATTCTTTGATCAAAGAATAAAAACAATTATAAATACAAATATATACTTGTAATAAATCCGCTGCGCGTTTGATCATAACTGGGTTATAAAAATATATTTTAAAAAACAAATGTTCCTTTTCATGATATCCATAAAGTGGACTGAAACAAATACTTTATTCCATCAAATTTATTAATATGAATTAGTGTGTGTAATATATTTAATTCTCTTACATTCCAGAAACCTGTTGAATTTTGTAAATATGTTGAGTATTAGACACTGCGGATCCCAAAGATACATTTATCGCAGAATCTATTGCTGCTGCCAATTTATACATAAAGCTATCAGTATTGTTATTTACTATACATGGTATATACAGATATGGAAATACTCCATGAATGTGTACACATGTTTTTATTCCTTAACATAATTAAAAGAAAACTAATTATTACTTAGATATTTATCAATAAATTAAATAAATAAATTATGGTATACCAGAAATAGTAGATCCAAATATTCTAATAACTGGAACTTGTTTGATTTCATTTCCTCGGAAGTTTGAAAATGTCACATCCAATTCTGGAATTGGAATTGATTGATAACTATCCAAAGTTACTAAATTAATTGAAAACATATTTGATATCTACAAGTAAAGATATAAATAAAAATATTATATATTTTTATATGTTGTTATCTAAATAATCATAACATATAAGTGAATATAATTTAAATTTACCTGAATGTTTATATAATTAACACTTTTTATTAATTTCCTGTCAAATTATCTACATATAATCACAAGTTATAAAGTGGTAAGGTTACATTTTATTTCAGGTTACATTTATAACTTTTATTTTAATAGCATTAATTTTCAAACTTAATACACATATAATTTCTCATAAAATTAAACTATTTTGAAATATTATTTGATCATTATTTAAAAATGTTAAACATTTAATATTGTTTTACAAAAAGTCAAATAATCCTTACATACACACACGAATATTATGCTATCTCTATATATATTGTTCTAATATATATTAATATAAATATAATAAAGTTATAATAAAAACTAAAATTTTTATTTTTTATAACATCTGTTTATTTCTCAATTAAAAATTTATAAGTGCATTTTTCTGTAAGCATGTTTATGTAAGAATAGTTAGCAAAATAAATTATATAAAAATACAATGGATATACATAGGCATTTAAAATATCTAATTCCAACTCTAATTATAGGGATTTAATGAAAAATAGACTATATGTTTTATTTGTTGAATAACATGTTCTCATGATATCATTTAAAAAATCTTACAATATTTTATAAGACCAACAGTATACAAAATAACATTTCACTTTCATGTATACATATAATATCAGTACATATTAAAAGATATTTGTGCGTATATATTTTGTGGTATATTTATAAATCAATAAAATCATTATAATAAAACATTAGAAAATTTATGTAATTTCTCAAATATAAGCTGTGAATGTGTAAATAATACTTGGTTGATGTTTACATAAAATAAATATCAAAGTATACCTTTTATACATAAAAACAATACAGCAATGATAACTTGAATTAAGATAAATTAGGTAAATAAAACTTTGAATATTAAGAATATAGTAGACATAATATTCTACTCTAATAATATAATAAGTTAAACATATAAAAATTCGAATACTTAGTGACAAAATTAAAATAATTTGTTTTTTATTTTAAACATGCAAGTTTAAAAAATGGTACAGTAACTTCTTTCACGAAAGGGATTAGATTTTTGTGATGAAAAACCAACCAATAGATAATCTTCTTGTTCGTGTTCTGTAATATATTTCATGATATCTTCAACAGCTTTGCTAACCGTAATTCGTTTTAAAGCAGCTTCGCGACGTAGCTGCTCTGTGATTTGCCGTTGTTGTTGTAAATTTGTGGTCACCATATCCATAACAGATGAAGATGATAGAATTTTCTAAAAAATGTTTATAAAATATAATACACAATAGTTTTTTCAATTATTTACTTATAATTTTGAGAAGAATTAAAATTATAGAATTTAATTTACCAATTTTTAATAACAATTTCCGTCACGGTACTACGTTTTATGATACTGCACGAATTATTTTTCTTTCTTACGTACCTCTAAATTTTATCTGTTTTATACTTCTAGCCTATCCCTTAAGGCTGGTTTTCGTAAAAAAATGTGACGACAGATAACACTAAGATTTCTGTGATAATATTTAATAAATATCTTTTTAAGTTTAAATAAATCGTGATTTGTTCACAAAATATTTCATTTAATATCTTTATTAAAAAAGGGTATTCATTCACTAAAGTTTTTATGATTGTAAAATTATAATTATTGCTAACAGATGTCGCTGTAATAATAACTGTGAAGAAAGATCTAGATTCTTTATAATGTTTGCCGGAAAGTTGAAAGTAATCTTGAATTACACGTGAAATATAACAATCCTCTGATTTTTCTGAAAAACCATGGCTTTACACGTACCAAAGGCACCGGGCATGGCCCAAATGCTCAAAGAAGGAGCTCGTGTAAGCGCAAAATGTTTTTATAAGATACTGATACAGGGTGTGGCACATAATTTTATATATTGTTACACGTAAGATAAAATAGAGAAAAATACATTTTTAATTTCCGAAAATATTCAGGCACATTGCAAATTTAAATTATTAAACTAAGCTAATGATTTTGGCAGAACTTTATGATCATTCAAATGCAAAATATTGAACCATCCAAGATGATATATAAATAGAAAAAAGTACATACTAGAAAAAAATAATAAATTTGTCTAAAATATGAATTAAACCTAGAATCAAGTTTGTATCATTAGTAAAAAGTATTTTTTAATATATTAATCAGCTTAAAACGTATAGTTAAACAAAGAATCTACTAAATCTATTAATTTTTACAGAAAATTATTATTTTAGTTATTTTAATTTAAAATTTATGTTCTAGCATTTGTGTACTATATTTTAATATATTATTAAATATTTTTGTTGATTTAGATATATTTATTTTAGATACAAAATATAAAAGTTAAAATTATACTAGTTTTGTGACCAATTATATTTTGATATTTTAAACAACAAATTATAATTGTTACTCTAAATCCTAATATATTTATTTTTAAATTTATTTTAATTCATTAGAAGTTAATATCAATATATAATTCTTTTTTTCTCCTTTTAGTATTTCTCAGGTTTGGAAGAAGCAGTATATGGAAATATAAATGCATGTAAGCAACTTGCACAAACTGTAAGGACTGCTTATGGTCCAAATGGCATGAATAAAATGATAATTAATCACATTGAAAAATTGGTTATTACTAATGATGCTGCAACAATTATTAATGAATTAGAAGTTGAACATCCAGCTGCTAAGTTATTGGTTTTGGTATCAAAAATACAAGAAGCAGAAGTTGGTGATGGTACTAATTTTGTGATGATTTTTGCTGGAGCACTTCTTGAGGCTGCAGAGGAATTGCTTCGTTTGGTAAAATTTTAACATTATTTGTTAATTTTACAAATTGTATATGTAATAAAAGAATATATGCATTCTATACACCAGGGAATTACTCCATCTGAGATAGTTGAAGGTTATGAAGCTTCCTTGGAGAAAGTTTTGGAAATACTACCATCATTAGTTTGTTATGAAGTAAAAGATTATCGAGATGAGAAACAAATAAATGTAGGGATTAAAACAGCTATTATGAGTAAACAATATGGAAATGAGAAATTTCTTACTTCTCTTGTTACACAAGCTTGTGTATCTATTCTACCAGAAAAGACTACTTTTAATGTAGATAATGTACGTGTTTGTAAAATACTTGGTAGTGGAATATCTAGCTCAGAAGTTGTACAGGGAATGGTATTTAAAAGACAAGTTGAAGGAGATGTTACAAGAAAGGATAATGCTAAAATTGCTGTCTATACATGTGCTGTAGACATTATGCAAACTGAGACAAAGGGAACTGTATTAATAAAGACAGCAGATGAATTGATGAAATTTTCTAGAGGAGAAGAATCTTTATTAGAATCTCAGATAAAAGCAATTGCTGATAGTGGAGCAACTGTAATTGTTTCAGGAGGAAGATTTGGAGATATGGCTTTACATTACATGAATAAATATAATTTAATGGCTGTTCGTATACCGAGTAAATTTGATGTTAGAAGATTATGCAAAACTGTTGGTGCTATTGCACTTTCAAAACTGGTAAATAATTTCATCTCCTAATTGTATTTTTTTTAGAATGTTACAAGGACATAACTAATAATTTTCATCCTAAGACTCCACCATCGAAAGAAGAACTGGGATATGCAGATTCAGTATATATCGACGAAGTTGGAGACACTATAGTGGTAAAGTTTACAATAAGTGGCAAAGATAGCCGTGTTAGTACCATAATTATTCGGGGATCTACCGAAAATTACATGGATGATATTGAACGGGCTATTGATGATGGAGTTAATACGTTCAAAGGAATAACAAGAGATGGAAAATTTGTTCCTGGAGCAGGTGCTACTGAAATTAAACTTGCTGCAAAACTTAGTAAATATGCAGATACTTTACCAGGTTTAGAACAATATGCAGTTCGTAAATTTGCAACAGCTCTGGAAGTTTTTCCAAAAACATTAGCAGAAAACAGTGGAAGTCATGCTTCAGAAAAAATTCTGTTTAAACTTTATGCTGTACAAAGCAAAGATAATTATGGTTTTGATATTAATGTACATATTTATTAAATTTTTAATCAAATTTCATAATACAAATGCCATGTATTAAGAAACATATATATTTGTTTATAGCAAAAAACAGGTATCATTGACACAGTGTCAGCTGGAATTTTGGATTTGTTCTTAACAAAACAATGGGGTTTAAAATATGCTGTTGGTGTTGCATGTACTATACTTAAAATCAATCAAATTATTATGGCAAAACGAGCTGGAGGACCAAAAGTACCAGGTGGTGGAGTTCGTGATGATGACGAGTGATAACATACAAAGCATCATATATGCATATATAAAATATTTAATTACTCATTAATTCTTATGTTTAACTTATAATCATAATATTACACTGACTTAGTATTAAACTTCAAAAAAGAACATTTGTAAAGAAATGACATTAACACTTAACCTATTTACACATTACATACATAATTTTATACAGCTATTTTTAATGAAAACATATGAGAATTAAATTAAATATAATTTTATATTTTGCCCCCAAAATTAACAGATACATTTAATAAAGTTCTAAATATTATGAGTATTCATTTACCATTCATTTCACTAGAAAGGACTAAGTAAATATGAAGATTAAATTGTATTATTTACAACCTTCATTTATCCAATAAATTTTACTATAAATAATCGTAAATAACTAATTAAAATTATTTAAAACTTTAACTTTCCTTTCCTTATATGATGTTATTATTGAGGTTAGTATTATAATTAGTATGATAATAAATTATTATAATTAATCAACAACACATTTTTTTTTTAAGCAATATAAAACAGAAAAGTAAATATTTGTAAAATATTAAACATATTTAACTGGATCTTAATTAATAAAAATTAAGTTTAAGTTATATGTATATATAATAATATATAAAATATTTCTTAGCATTATATGAATAGTGATAATAGTCTTTTCTCATAAAGATAAGGAGAGTTATATAATATTAAGTGGTTAACAGTGTCTTTTCTATCAGTTATAAGAGAAAATCTTTTTTCAAAAGAAAATTAAGCAATATGAGCCTAAAATTTGCCACCAATTTATCATTTATGTTTACAGAGGCACCATCTATTATTGACAGATATAAATTAGCAAAAGAAGCTGGTTTTAAAGCAGTAGAAAGTGGATTTCCTTTTGGTTTATGTATTGAAGATATATTGAAAGCTAAAAAAAATGCAAATGTTGAACAGATTCTTATAAACGTATTTACAGGTACTTAACAATTATATTATTGTATAAATAATAAGAAACATGATTATTTTATATTAGGATATATTGCAAATAGGTGATGTTTCAAAAGGAGAATTAGGGTTTGCAGCGATACCAGGAGAAGAAGAAAACTTTAAGAAAAGTATTGATTTAACAATAGAATATGCAAAAGCTCTAAATTGTAAACGGTAAAAGAAATTTGATTGAATTAATCATGTTATTAATGAACATCTTTTTAACTATCTTTCGATTTCTTTTGTACTTTTTATAGAATTCACGTAATGTCAGGCAAAGTAAATGAAGTAACAATTACTAATGATGATGTTTATATAAAAAATCTTTTATATGCAGTAGAGAAATTTCAAAAAGAAGAAATTGTGGCTCTTATAGAACCTATTAATAATATTACTGTACCAAATTATTATATGAATAGTTTCCAAAAAGGTAATTGTTCAATATAAAAAAAAATTTGTAATGAAATAAATAATTATCTTTTTTAATATAATTAAAAATAATTTTTATGCAGGTTTGAATGTAGTAAAGAACATAAGCAGCCCTAATTTAAAACTACTACTTGATATCTTTCACTTGCAGCATATTTGTGGCAACATTACAAAAAATATCAAAGAACTTTTACCATATACAGGTATATGATTTATTTTAAATATATAATAACTCAAAAACTTAAAAATATTTTTTTTTTTTATTTTGTAGGTCATGTACAAATTGCCCAAGTTCCATATAGACATGAACCTGACACTTCTGGGGAAATAAATTATAAATATGTTCTCTCTATTTTAGAAAAGGAAGGGTATAATGGATATGTTGGTTTGGAATATTTTCCTAAATTATCTTCAGTAGATGGATTAAGTTGGATACAAAAATATGGTTACAAATTATAATGTTACTTTATTTCTTACCATCATTTAACTAAAAATTTTCTATAATAATTCCATACATTTTACATTACAATGTATTTTTCATGTTTATCTGTATTACTTATATATTTTTCATTTTTTCGCTATTGCAATATATGTTTATTATACACTTTATATACATACAAAAAATAAAGCAAATTTTATATTAATATACTTCTTGATGCAAAATTATGTTTTTCCAAAAGTTATTGATTTATCAGTGTAAATTTATATTATTTGGTAAAGCACTGACAATAAAAAGGAAACAATATAAAATTGTAAACCCCAAAATCCTATTAAAATGTAATGAATAATTCTTCTGAACAATAACCATAGTACTTAACAATAAATTTAATAATTTATACTTTTTTTCATACAGTCTGAAATTTGTTACAATCAGCTCGAAAAATAAAGAAATTACTGATTGTGAAAATGTTAATATTTTCTATTAAATTAAAGAAATTTCTTTACACATTAGTCTTACAATTAAATTGAATATAACAATCATTTCTAACAATATTACATATCAATCAATTTTTAACATTTAGCATCTATCTATTGATTTTAAATAATCATGTCATTAGAGTTATTACTTTATGTATCAAATAATATTAAATTACAGTACTTTATTTATCCTGTATCATATTGAAATTATATGATACATTATGTTCCAATAAAAAGAACAATATATAATATAAAGAATGTGAAAACAAATTTTAACAAAACATATAAATTTGTCATGCTTATGTAAATAATATTATTTATCAGTCATAAAATATTCATCACAAAGATATTAAAATATATCAATGTTGCTGTTAATCTTATTATTATATAAGCATAATATAAATTTAGTAGAGACATATTAATTGCAGTCCTAATTAACTACATCAAGCAACATACTTGAAAAAAATATATTCATACATATTATATAAATATAAATTCAATGTTAAATTTATTTATAAAAGCAATTATTACAACGAAACAATATTTTTAAACATACAAAAAGTAAAATATTTTAAAAATGATTTTTATCTATTTTAATATAAGATAAACACTTTTGAAATAAACAATTGTACCAACCTTTTTTATTACATAACATAATTAATTGGTTTTAACATATATAAAAGAAAAAACTATTATACATAATTTATACAAAATTTTGTTAAAATATATCTTATACAGTGCAAACAAAATTTATTTCAATATTTCATTTCCTGGCCATTATATTAAAATATTAATCATTGTTAAATATTTTTAATTCAAAAATAATAATAGAATATTTTATAGTATCTTTAATTCATAATTTTTTATAAAGTCATTAAATTCGTGGCAACAGTTTTTTTTTAGTTATAAATATTTATAAGTATTATTAAATCAATCTCCTATTCTTTACATCTCAATGGCATCAATTATTAACAGCAACTTAATATTTATAAAATTATCACTGTAAATTATAATCATAATCACATATGTATCATATGTAATAACTGTAGTAGTAACAATGTTACATATACATACCTAAAATTTTACAAATTTTCTGTACTTTATTTTATATTCTAATTCTTGTCAATAATATTCATAATACATATTATATATATAGAACTACAAAAATTCTAATATATGATATTAAATCTAGTCTAGATATTAATCCTTTGCATTTGTGCAAAGCAAGAAACAGCAAATATATAAATGTATATATAATGAGAAAAATTTACTATAAAATATTTAACTCGAAAGTTCTTAAAAATTTATTTCAACTGAAAGATAAAATAGCAAGTGCAAAGAACTTACATAAAGACTTTGAAATCAGATTGTGTTAGTTAGCAAGAAATATTTTGTATAATGGAGATGAATCAATTTAAAATGCTTCCTCAAACAACTTCAGCTGTATCCACCAATGGTTGATTGGCATCTGTTGCACGACCTATCACAGCAGTGCTGTAAAATATGTAATATAATATTCAATATATTTAACAATCATATATATAAATGAATTAAGAATTATTTGTTATGTTAATAAATTTTTATTAGCCGTTTATATGAAGTTTATAGCAGCAGTTTATTATTAGCAGTTAATATAATACAAGTACAATATTAAATGTATATTAAGCTGTAATATATAATTTTACAAAAAAAGCCACTAAATTACAACATTTAAATTGCACATTCACAAAAAGAAGCATCAAATGTTAGTGTTTTGAACAAAAACTCTTACACGTGCAATAATACAAAACTCAATTATGCCATACATAATTTTTAAATTAAGTAAATTTGTATCTTAAATTATTTTTCAGTATATTTTGTTATAAATATTATTATATTACATGACAAATTAATGTTGCATGTTAGTTTCGTTACAAATAAAATTCACATATTTGAAATATAAATAAAATGATTAAAAAATGTTTTTAAAGATTAATATGTATAAAAATAAAAATTTGTGTTTAAATAATTATTACTATTTAACGTCTAAACATTTCATGAAGTAAATGTTTAAACATTTACTTTTTATTTTAATAAATAAATATATATCAATATTAGAAATTAAAAAAATTAAATATATCTTCATTCAAACAGTTTGATATTACCCAGTGCCAAGTGCCAAAAGCGTAGCTTCTTCTACCAATGTCATTTGATCAATGATGGACCTGTGGTCAAAAACTCAACCTAAATATTATACTAATTGTAAGTTCATGTATGATGATATATATACATTTACATACATATGAGACTCTAAAATAAGTCAATTAAAGACTTTATATATTATTAACAAAAATAAATATATTAATAATTGAGCAAAGAATTGTAAATACATTCCAAAATATTAAACAATATAATAAATCAACCAACATGCCTTTTTTCAATCTTAAAAATTAGTACATTATTTAAACTACAATAAGTGAGTAGTTTTAATATAATTTATTATGAAAATGCACATACAATTACAAAATGACAAAAAATAAAACTTTTATATAATTTATATATAAGATTGTTTATATAAATTATAAAATTTGAAAACTAATTTTTAGTATGCAATGGAGCATGCATGCGTACAAAGATTATTCTACATTCATATACAATAATGAATTTAAATATAATAAAAATTAAAGATAATAGATCATGTATAAATATATTGAATATTTCAACTTCATCAATTTATTTTTCTCTTTTTCTTACAGTATTTTTTGATTAGTAACAGACAATAAATTTTATATACGTATATATCTCATAAGTAGTATTTTACACATATCCTATAAATTATTAAATGTATAAATAATTTAATAACATAAAATTAATATACAATTCATATATTCCTCATATATCCTTTTAGACTTAATTCTTTGTTTTATTCATTGTACAAATTGTATGTTTGTACTGATTATTATAAAAAATGTATACTATGTACTACATGCTTGATTTTTTGGGGCATGTAGTCATATCTAGACTGTTATAATTAAACTATTAACTAAATTTCCTTTAGAAAATACTACACAATATAATATATGTTGTACTTACATAAAGTACGAGTTCACAGTAAACTCTTTATTAGTTGATATTCTGATGATTTGATGCTAGTAAAAAGAAAAAAAAGAGTTGAGGTGTAAGTTCTGATCTTTATAATTTATTAAACCATCTTTAAACTATCTTTTTGTAATAATATATTAGTAGAAATAAAGAGTTTACAATAAATACAATTAATTCTCTCAATCAATCCCTATGCATAATATTTCAAAATATTTCAAAATAAGTGTTCTACTTTTTCTTTGGTGAGACAACGATAGTAACTTAATTGTAACAAAAACAAGAAAAATGATTGAAAATATAAGCTATTAGCATGGAGAGTTACTTAAATGATTAAATGATTAAATAATTGTAGAACACTTGTGGCTAATATGAGTTTTGTACTAAACATATCATATACTTGGACAATGCATATAAACTAATGCACTGTCTTAACATAGGGATTCACAGACTACACAATACCTGATTGTGACCCATAAGGAGGTGGAGAGTCAAGCTCGGTCTCATCACCCCACTGTTGGGAAGTATGTCCCAACAAAGTATGTGTATCTTCATTGCACAGCCGTTCAGGAAAGTTTACCCCATCGCCAAAACTGTAACCCACACCCTACCTTCTACTTTATGTAATCCCATTTATATTTAGAGGTAGCGTATCTACTTCTATCTGATAAATAGATAAAAGTTATTTCAAATTTATTTATATAGCTTCTAATATTTTCAACATATTTTTTTTCTCCTCAAGTTCATTCCTGATTCGTTATTTATAAAAAAAAAAATATACAAAATGTAATATTAAACATAGTTACGCCACTTCTAATAATCAAATAAATATCAATCTGTAGGAACCAAATGCACAATACTTTTTACGATAGTAAGAAAATTATGCTGATAATTTTTATTAACACACCATAAAATTTATCTACAAAAAAACATGCATTTTCAAATATGCATTCGAAATAAAACTAATACCTATGCCAAAGTCCATCTCAATGTTTATCTGCAGATTAAATACAAGATACAAATTTAATCTTACTGTAAATAGTCATATAAATGCCACCAACTTCAATACAATGTACAATCACCATCATCTTAAAACAAAAATAACAATTTTCACAAAGACCATGGAAATGATATTTTCTAATGTATGATAAGAAATTAATGTTATATTGATTAGAATTTATAATTATCTCAAAACAAATGTTAACAAATCACGAAACACGCACCTTTTCAATCAATAGTTAATAAAAGGCATTAGATACACATAGCTATAACATCATATATATAACTTTGTTACTCTGGAACTCTGTACAAAATAAATAATAAATGAAAAAATGTTACTTCAAAAAAATAAATGCAGGAATCTACAAAAAGAAATATGAAGAAAATGTTTTGATTTTTATGCAGAAAAGTACTTAAACATGTTTCAAATGTAGCAATATTATTATAATAATTTATTTTGATATTAACTGCCTTTTAATCAATTATATTAAGGAGTTCCATAGTAAGGTTTATATGAAATTATTATTATATTGGCACTGTAGATTTCTATAATGCTGACCTGTTTCGAGTACTGCCCATGGAGTCATAAGTATTGGATGTGCCTTGATGTTGCGCACGTACTGGATAGGTGACCCCATTTCCAAGACTAGAACACATTTAACGCACCCATCGCGTTTTAACCGTAATGCAATTACTATTGTATTTATGTACTTATGTATGAAAAATATAAATTAATGTAATTGACATACTGAGAAAATAAGTAGTATCAAAACTCAATATATTTTTAAATAATATTAAAATCATACTTGATGAAATTTCTTTAATTTGTTGCTGAATATAAAGAAAGATTATTTTACCTAATTCTGATTTTTAAGGCAGTTTATATAATCTACAATATATATTTTATTTTTTTACCATTTTCTTCACTTTTATATCTTATTTTGGAAATAATAATATACTTCATGTAAAACAATGTTATTATGTTTACTTAACACAAAAGCATACAATATAACAAATAGTGCTATAGGTGAAAATATCTTTATAACATTTCTAGATACTATCCACTGTAATTACATGTATTAGAAAGAATTAAATGTCCTAAAATACGCGATATTAACACTTATTAATTTTAAATATTATATTGTATATACATACATGTATATCAGCATACACATGCTTTTTTATAAGATTTATAAATATAAACTGTTATTACTACAAAATTGCAAACTTATACTAAATTTATCAGATTATATATTGTGCAAATGGTTCACAGTCTTATTATAAAATTATCATTATTATATCATTAAAATAGAAGTACTTTTTATATCAAAAAGGTGTGAAGTATTAAATTCTGTTAGACTTACCTAGTAAAAACAGGAAGGAACCATAGTTTAGGATTATCACCAAAAACTTCTTGGAAGTTATTGTATTTTCCAAGACTAAAACCATCTTTATCCCTCCCTGTGCGGAACATAGGTGGTGTAAATGCCTCTACAAATAAGTTATAAAATATAGTGCATGTTGCATATAGTTTATAAAATTACATAATATTTGTGTAACATGCTTTTAATTACCTAATGTAGATCTATTATATAGAACAAGATAGCAATGATAAAAGAAAAGGGAATCTAAGCTAACTGCAAACATTAATGCAACAAAGAATAAGAATAGTAGATGAAATCTACCCATTCCATCCAATTCCCCCTATAAAATAAATATTTGTATTATCATAATTAATTTTGCACAGATATTTAAAAAGTCATACTCACTTTCCAAAAACGTATAAAGTATTGCAAGGATGTAGCAGTAATGAATATACAATAAAGAAGGGCATATGCCAGGAACAACATGAAGAATTTATAATTGTGGAAACCTACACAGTTATTCACCCAAGGACAATGATGATCCATTTTTAATACACATGTACTACACACACTACAATGATGTGCTCGGTCTGGCTTAATTAATTGACATTTTTCACAGAAACGTATTGCTAGAAAACATTTTATGTTAAATATATGTATTTTCTAATATAAATATCAAGAAACAAATATTATACCTCCTTCTATAGTGCGATTTGTGACTGGAAGATCTTGTGCAAATCTTTCTAAGATCCGTCTTCGTGCTTCTTCTGTTTCAGCTTGTTGAAATTTTTCTATTTCTACATCTGGTATTTTAAACTACATAAAACATCATTTTATTAATATATCATATTTATTTTATAACAATTATTATGTAAATAAAATTTTACCTTGTCTGGTATTTTTATTAAGTCTGTAAATACAGTCTGCCAATAAGACCATAAAAATAATAAAAACAAGATATGATAAAAAAATAAATAAAAAGCTGTAAATAAAGAAAAGATAATAAAATCAGTAAATTATTAATGTAACTATCTTTTTATTAAAGGTATTCTATTGACAACTATACAAACCTCTTTGAACATTGTTATCTACAGTATCTAAAATGCAAAAAATAGAATTATTAAAACACACGATTAAGATAAAAAGATTTTATATATATTAGAACGATAAGGTATTGAAAATAATAATTTTGTTTTTATTAGAAAATTTTCGTTATTCAAAATTAAATGAAAAGTCTGTAAAAACACTTACAAAAACATAACTGCACCACAAAAGCATAATACGACCATAAGACAATCGTTAAAATGAAAATAACTGGTATCCATTTTACGGCTTTCATAAACCACCAACAAGATCCGTTTTGCTTTCCCATTCTATTCACTGTATTACATGTACATGTATGCACAATTATATCATTCATGTAAACATTATTTTTACCATTATCAAACCGATGCACCATTGCAGACACTTTGCATAAAGCATATATAGGGAGCCAAGGGCTCCTTTATTATAAGAAACCATATTACAATAAACAGTCGAATATTATTTTATTTTTGTTACTTTTTTTCTGTCATCGACATCATAAATGTCGATATCTAATAAAATATACAAAATAAGAATTATTTTTTTAAATAAAAACGATACTTTAATTTTGTTGTCTATTCCATACCACTCTTAGTTAAAACAGACACAAACAAGCATCTTTGTTCGGTTAACAAATCTATACTATACGATTCCCTTGAAATAAAATCCGCACAAAATGTAAGTTCATCAGTTCTCAAACTATAGCATTTCGAAAATGTGACTAGCAAATGTGTACGATTTTCATTGACAATATTTTTCAATAAAAATTAATTATATGATAAAATTAATAATATATTTTTATTTTTATTATCACTATAAAACTCAATAGAATGAAGCTTTCTAAATCCATTAATTTTTAAATCCAATAATCATATATATTTAATATATAAGAAATGTATTAATTGCACAATTAAGGATATAGTTTGTAATAGAGAAGTTGATGTGAACTCCCATTATTGTTGTATAGGGATATTAAGTATATAAAGTTGATCAATTGGAAATCATAATCAAATATAAAATTTTGCCTTAAATGATTTTGGAGTCTGATTTTTATGGTAAAACATCAATTAATATATAATTATCAAAGTACAAAAAAATGTTAATAAGAAAGTCTCACAATAATGATTATATCAATATTTATTTAAATATAAACTTTTAACATAAAAATACTGTAACATGTATATAATTTTTTATCAGATGTTTACATAATTAAAATATTATTGTTCAAAATATAAAATTAATTTATTAGGACTAGATTACAAAATCATGAAATTTTATTTGTATGAGTAACTGCTTAAAAAAATATCATAGTAGTATCTTTAATCATTTGCTATTACATCTAGATATCCAGTACACTTTATTACACTTTATTAAAGTTATTTACAGACATTAGAAAATAGAAAATTGTTTATAGTTTAGCATCGTTCACTTATATGATTATATAATTTTATAAATCTTCCAATCAAACATGCAAATATATTAAAAAATATTAATAATTTAATATTTCTTCCAAAATATATTCCTAATATCATAGAACAAATATGCATTTTTGATTAATACTGAATATATATACAACACAATAAATTAATAATAATATTTTTACTTTAAGTATGCATGCAGTATTAAGTTGCAGATGCTAATCACAAGATTACTTATTGAAAAATTGAAAAATATCTAAATTTTATGAAGCAAATCCCTTATGTTTCCTTTTCATTCTTGCATATGGCCCTATATCAGGATCCATAACGAAATCATATAAAACAGAAACCCAAGAGTTATGTTGTGGTAAGTTATCATAAAATTCTGAAGCTATTCGTTTGACCTATAAAAAAAATTATATATTTTTAGAATATTTACTTTTCATAAAAATAAGTAATCAAAACTTAAATCTTGTTCTTTGTTACTTCCTTAAAATGAATTATATTTACCTCTGGTAATCTTGAACCTGGAACAGCAGGAAAATCATGATGTTCATTATGATATCCAACATTGAATGTGATCCAATTTAGTGGGCCATAATAACTATAAGTTTCAAAACCTTTTCTATACATATAATGTTCTGATACAAAATGTCCAGCTACAGGATGTAAACCCATTGCCATTGCTGAACCAAGAAGTAAATAAATTAAAACTTTTCCACCTATAATGTAATATATCCATGTAATACAATATTAATTTGATATGGTACTGTAACCATTACAGGAAGCTTACCTAAAAAATACCATATTAACCCATCAAAAGTAAATTGTATTACTAAATTTATATATTCCAATAATGTAGGTGCCATTGGATAAACAATAAGTGGTCTAAATGCATAAAAAAAAGGTTGTAAACACAACCAACAAAATTTTCCAAATGTTGTGCAAAATAATTTTGCTTCTAGTAATGTTGGTAAATCCGTATCTAATTTTTCATCACCTTGATACTATAATTTGTTTGTTAAAATGCATTAAACATTAAATTTATGTTTAATAATATATTTTATTTATACTTACACGATGATGTATAAGATGATACTTTTTAAAGCTGATGGATACTGGTATACCTATAGGTAAATTAGCAAAATATCCAAATAATTTGTTAACTCTAGGTCTAGCATGTCCAAAAGCAAGATTATGTGCTATTTCATGTATTGCTAAAAATAAAATACTTAATTAAATTTAATATATAATATTAAGAACAAGCATATATAGATAAATAATGTTTAAGTGAAAATAAAGGAATAATAATTATGTGATATCACATAAGTATAATAGATCTATCAGATAAGATTTTAAATGAATCATTACTCTTGAAGTGATATTAAACTTTTATGAGAATTTTCATAGCTAAAAGTAATCTTTTATAGTAATATATCATTTTTCTTTTTACTTCATATGATATTGGAAATAATTACAATATTATGATAAATGTTTTATATTTTATGCAAAGTATTTACAAAATACTTCTTTTTACATACCTAACATAAGAGAATGATTAATTACACCTCCAAAACAATATGCTAAAATGAAAAGCACTGGATAACTTAAGTCTTTCACAAAGAACAAAGATATAAATTGAATTAAAACCATTCCTGTTACTATCCATTTAAAGTTTGGATCATATCCAAATAATTTTTTTATTTGTGGATATTTTTCTGAAAACAAAGAGAAACTTTAATACTATAATTTTTATAAGCAGAAATATCTGTTATAAAATTATCAAAATAAATATTTGATATCAATCTGTACAAAATTATAATTGACAATTGAATTTTTAAACACTAATATTGTTCAATATTGTTAGTTATGTTTATGAGATTTCGTTAGCCATTAATAAACTAAATTTTTATTTAAAAGTTAATTCCAGAAGTAATCAAATTTGACACGTTTTATATATTTTACATTCATACCTAAAATTATTTTACGTCGTGAAGCGTGTGGTTCCTCTGTATAAATCCACTCAAAATCAGTTCTTGAAACGTGTTGACCCATCTCTACATAAAAAATTTTTAATTATTTCTATTAATTAAGTATTTAGTAATTTCCAATCAACCGACATACGAGAGTTAAATGTTTACTTCAATAAATGTGCAAAGCATGTGAAATTTCATACCCGGCGTTATCATCAATAAATCGTATTAATCATTTAAGTACTGATTACAGCGCAATCTATTACAAGTAAGAAAACCAAACACGCAATTGAAGTGATTCATATACAATGAACGTATTTTACAGTTATTACAATTATATAGATTATTAATTAGATTATATCATATATTTGTAAATCATATAAATACTGATCAAAGTTTTAACTTATTATATAATTTTAATATAATTTGTGACTTATTTGGCTAAAAACACGTTTTCCTATATTACGTTAAATTACATTGCCTCTTTATTATAAATAAAAATAATTTGATCTTTTTATTTCTATTATACAAAGTGATCGAATCATATTACATTAACGATAACATAATATTTTTGCATTTATATATTTATCAAAATTATGTGCCCTTATAATAAATTACAGTTATTTATTAAATAATATATATTTTATTAATTCTGAGAAATAATCAATTATTTTTATATAAAAATTAATATATAGAAGATTAAGAATAATATAAATTACATGTATAAGATTCAAATTTTTATATTATTATATAAATCTATATAAGTACAATGCTAATATAGAATTTTTTGTATAAATGTATAAAACAATAATATTAATGTTTATAGTTTAAATTAATTTTATATAAAAGAATTAATTCAATAACTTTGTATTATTAAAAGAGATTTTAAATTGATTTAATTTCTTAACGTATAAATGTAGTAATATAATTTTAATAAATCGATCAAAGGTATTTATTATTAATTAAAATTAAATTACTCATTTATAATAAATAATTTTATGAAACAACATTAAGTTTGATCATCTGGTTTGATTCACGAGTGTCCGCTCTAAAGATTACAAATCGATGGTAGAACTTTTAGTGCTTTCAGTTTTTTTGTTTTGTGTGAAGTGAATATGTCAAAAACTGGCGATGTATAGTTAGCATTAAGTTGAAAGTAATTGTAATTGCATATTATAAGTGCGAACATCAATGAAGCGTTATGAATTATTAATAACCAGTTGGTCATAGTTGGAATTACAACATGGCATCTCGCAGGTGAGGCACGTTTTTATACTTGCATAAAAAATATATAATTATCATAATTCACGGACGATCGGTGAACAAGTCTACTTATTTATTGGGTTAGCCATGGATTAGTCAAACAAATTCAGAGGTAAAGTATGGGCACTTAAATTAATTAACATCGTTGAATTCCTCATGTCCAAAAATGGGTACAATAATTTTATTTTATGTATACATTGATTATAGATATTTATATTCTGTACTGTTACTTAGTACCACATATTTTGACATTTTAAAATGAAAGTTATCACATATTTATATACAATTATTAATAATATTACAGTATCACTACTCACTTATATTAGTGGTATTGTTGAATAAAAAGTAAACATGTTATAATAGATAAATTGAATAAGTTATGTATAATCATAATGAAAAATTTTTATATTTTGTTAAAGTAATGAATATTTTCCTTTCTATTTTATGTAATATATGATGTATTTTTTAATTTTGAACAATGTATTTATTATCGTTAATCTAAACAATCTAACCTTTTACAGGTTTTTAAAATACATTTAAATTAACTATCATTTTAAAATACATATAACATAATTGTGTTTCTTGCAGATGGTTTCATCCGAATATATCGGGTTTAGAAGCAGAACGTTTATTAATGGAACGGGGTTATGATAGTTCATTTTTAGCACGTCCAAGTTCATCTAATCCTGGTGATTTTACATTATCTGTTAGGTGTGTAAATAATATGTTTTACAGATTATTTATTTATATAATTGTATTTGATTTATTAAAGATTATAATCATAAAGAATTTATTATCTTTGTTATTCTTAGGCGGAATGGTGAAGTAACTCATATTAAAATACAAAATACAGGGGATTTTTATGATCTTTATGCTGGGGAAAAATTTGCAACGTTATCAGAACTTGTACAATTTTATATGGAAAATGGAGGACAGTTGCGTGAAAAGAATGGGGAAATTATTGAACTGAAGTATCCATTGAATTGTGCAGATCCAACAACTGAAAGGTATTTGTTTAATTAAAATGGAATATACACGTAATATTTTGCATAATAAACATTACAGCAAAGTTTGTTATGTATTGGAACACTTTCTTGTTATTGTTACTTCAAATGCACGCATATAGCATGGTATGTGTTAATAGTAAAATATGGGTAAAGGTGGTTCCATGGCCATTTATCAGCTAAAGAAGCAGAACGTTTAATGCTGGAGCGAGGTAAAAATGGATCTTTTCTGGTTCGTGAATCCCAGAGTAAACCTGGTGACTTTGTATTATCTGTACGCACAGATGATCGTGTTACACATGTAATAATACGATCTCAGGTTAATTACATTTTGTAATTTGTACTATATATCTTTATTATTTTTAATATTATTATTTGTATTACCAATTTAATTTTTTGGCATTTCATTATTGGAAACAATAAATATTACAGGATAATAAATATGATGTTGGAGGAGGTGATAAATTTGATAGCTTAAGTGATCTAATAGAGCATTATAAACGTAATCCAATGGTTGAAACAAGTGGAAGCGTTGTCCATTTACGGTAAAAAATATAAAAAGCTGTTAATTTTTATATTCATGTATAAAAATATATATTTCATTATGCTTAGATTATTATTTTTTAGACAACCTTTTAATGCTACTCGTATAAATGCCAGTGGCATTGAAAGTAGAGTAAGGCAACTACATAAAGAAAACGGTTGTTCAAATGGCTGGTTATGGAATGGAGCTACAGGTAGTAATGAAAGTGCAGCAGGACGTGGAAAAGGAAAAGCAGGATTTTGGGAAGAATTTGAGTCACTGCAACAGTTAGAATGTCGTCATTTGTTTTCCAGGAAAGAAGGTTTACGTCCCGAAAATCGAGCAAAAAATCGATATAAAAACATTTTACCATGTAAGTTTTTTTTTTTTTTTTTTTTTTTTTTTTTTTTTTTTTTTTTTTTTTTTTAAGTTAATTTCTCTCATATATAAACTTTATTAATTGTTCTATAGTTGATCATACAAGAGTACGTTTGAAGGACGTTGACCCAAATATTCCCGGATCTGATTACATTAATGCTAACTATATTAGGGTAAATTTATTTGATGCTTCAGTATTCATTTTATATATACGTATTAAAATCTATAAATTAAAATGTAAATATTTGTTTTTATATTTATATTTATATTTATATATTTATAGAATGAAGATGGAGATGGACAAACTAGTGGAATTAATACTTGTAGTGATGGTGGTTCTTTTAATAAATGTTATATTGCAACACAAGGTTGCCTTCCAAATACAATCCAAGATTTTTGGCATATGGTGTATCAAGAAAATACACGAGTAATAGTTATGACGACTAAAGAAATGGAAAGAGGAAAAGTACGTCATGTAACAGTATTTAAATTTAAATTTTATTTAAAAAATGGATATGTTTTTTAGAATAAATGCGCTCGGTATTGGCCAGAAGAAGGTGAAGTTACAGAATATGGAGGTGAATGGAAAGTGCGCGCTTTGTCTCGTACTTCAACAGCAGATTATACATTACGGGAATTTTTATTACATGGGAGCAAACCAGGTTTTACAGAATCCAGATTAATTTACCATTACCATTTTCAAGTACTTTATCATCATTTATGATAATTTTTATGTACATTTCAAAGAATAAATTGATTACTTTCTATTAACATTTTAGGCATGGCCTGATCATGGTGTTCCATCTGATCCTGGATGTGTATTAAATTTTCTTCACGATGTGAATGCGAGACAAGAATCAATTGCTGCTTCTCTTACTTCAACTGGCCAAACTGTACTAAACATAGGGCCAATTCTTGTACATTGCAGCGCTGGAATTGGTAGAACTGGAACATTTATTGTTATCGATATGATTCTGGATCAAATCAAGCGTCATGGTAATCATACTTTTATTTTAATAACTAATTTTATTTAAAATGCATATTTTCAGTAGCATGCTCAATATTTTTTATATATTGCATTTGTAGGGTTGGATTGTGAAATTGATATTCAAAGAACAATTCAAAGAGTACGTTCACAAAGATCAGGAATGGTTCAAACAGAAGCACAATATAAATTCGTTTATCTCGCTGTATTACATTATATCGAAACTGTATCTCAACGAATAGAAGCAGAGCAAGTAATACTACTTTTATAAAAATAATTAACAATTAAAATTCTATGCCTTCTATATATCGATTTACTCTTTCTTTACTATTGTTTTTACAGAAATCTCTTCATTTAGGTCGAGAATATACTAATATCCGTTATAAAAGCGAAACAAATGTCACGAATATGGGCGAAATTCCGGTCCCTACATGTACTGCGACAACTCTTTCAACGTCAGCACATTTTACATTACCCACAGCTATCAATAGTTTGAGGCCAAAGTAATTAACACTAATTTCATCAAATAATGAGATTTTTGAAAAGCAAAGAAGAGGCTTTGTTACTCTTACCATTTGTGGTTTTGAGCTTTCGATATTATCGTAACGTATTTTATAAAAAAATTTATTTCCAGATTAATTGATTATTTTAAATATTTTTCAAAATATGTGTTATTATAATGTCCAGTGCATGTATTCATTTAGTGTATACATACATGAAGGTAAACAATATGTAGAAATTATAATATCATCACTTTGCACTTAAATTGTTGATTATTTAAAAGTAATCAACAGCATGCTACAATATTATATAAAAATGATATTTTTTTGCAATTTAACCCAAGTACTGAATTATAAAAAAAAAAAGAAAAAAAACATTAGTATGCAAAGTCTCAATAGTAATTATGTTAAGTGTAATCAAAGTATATAATTGCTTTCATATTATTTTGCTATCTATATTTCATAAAATATTAATTAGATAACAGATTTATCTCGTTACATTTATCTTCCATGCTTATCTTCAAGAATTACTAATGAATTTTTTTTTTTTCAAATTTAATCTTTTCGAATATACAACGAAGTTTTAAACATTTCTCTAGATTTCAAGTGTAGTATTATATATTGTGCCTCGAGATATATTAATATTTGTTTTTATTGTGAGTATATAACTGTACAAATTATCTAATAATATTTAGGACTGACTTTTATATAGAATTTTCTTTTTAATATTTTTTCAAAGATCGTAAATAAAAAACATTTATTATTTGTAAATTTTATCATGTTATAAGACAGAATACGCAAAGATATGATACATTCAGTTTCATGCATAATAAGAAATATATGGGTGATTTTTTCATTACAATTGACATTCGTTATTTTTAATATTTGTACTTAATTATGTATATTATATATATACTTATACACATATACATACATACGCACACGCGCGCGCGCGCGCGCCCACACACACACACACACACACACATATATGGTGTGTGTATATATGTGTATAAGTATTGAAGTTCATTTATTGAATTGTAAAAAAGTTTTATATTGAATGTTAAGATTAAAAAACATGACAATGATAAATGTGAGAATCAAAGTTAAAATTTATATACTTAGACATACATTCATTTAAATATCTTTGTGTTTTAATTCCTCTTGATTATTTATGCACAAATTTTATAATGTTTTGTCATCCTGAAGTATTCCGTTATGTTCATTCTAAAAATTAGGTAGGGCTACAGAAAAAGTAAAACTTTTGCTGTTCCAGACTTACTATGATACTTGTACTTTGTATGTATCTTTTAAAATTTTTATACGAACTTATACTACATACATATTAAATTATACATGCTTCAATATTATTAGTGCCAATTTTATATATTTTTTGTATTTATTTCTAATAATTGAAATACATAGGTAATCAATGTTTGCATTAGAACATTAGTTGTGAAGTATACATCTGAGTAAGTCCTACCTTATGTTTCAATCATTTAATATTTTTAAAAATACTTTGTTGTACTATGTTGAAACTAAAACAATAACTATTTTACCATTTCTGTATTTTAAACATCAAAATCTATTACAAAATTAAGCTAAATTTTTTTATATATTTTATAAAATTTCAATATTTAAAAATTAATTTTAATAAAATAATAGAAAGAATAAAAGTTTTTATTTACAAACAAATAAAACAATCTAACATACCATAATTTCCAGTATCATAATTTATTTGTATTTATGTAACAGAAAAACAATGATTTTCATTCTTTAATAAATAGTTTATATTTTCGTTGCGTAGGTTTTTAAAAATGAAATAGCATTGCATTTCTTATAAATTTGATCTGATTCAATGTACCTTGGTTTTGGAGAAATATTATATCTTAATTTTAAATGTTATTATATCTTTTTAAAAATATACATGATATTGGTTATGACATTATAAAACTTTATGTTTACAATGTTATATAAAGTTTGTTAGTTACATTTATCGTTACCAAATTTACAAGGAGCTTAATATAAATTTTGTCAGTAAAATGTTAATAAATTTGACATAGAATCTGATTAACAAGTTATGCGAATTGGTAATAAAAATTTACTACGGTTTGTGCCAACATTTATATCAAAAACACACCAAGCATACATCATAAATGACACCAAATTGGTTAGAATACGATACAAAATATATACGAATAATATATCACAACATAGTAAAAATAGTGACAAAAATTTGCAGTCATCTTCACGAATATTTCAATTCTTGTCTAAATTTCTATGTAAAACTATTTCTTACAATGGCATAAAAATAGTGACAAAAATTTGCAGTCATCTTCACGAATATTTCAATTCTTGTCTAAATTTCTATGTAAAACTATTTCTTACAATGGCATAAAAATAGTGACAAAAATTGGTTATATTCTGTTCTGATTCAAAAATTCTAAACATATGTTTTATTTTCAATTTCTACATGTACTTATGTATTTATATAATAAAAAATATACGTAGATTATCAAATTTTTCCACAATTGCGTATATTTTTTTTACAAACATGTTAATTTATTATTATTTGTATTTTTTAATTGTTTCGATTGAACTTAATAGAGAGATATAGAAAATAATAAAATATATTATCGATATTTTGTTTATTATAAAATATTTATATTTTCTTAGATATTAAATAAGAATTAGCATTTTAATTCCAATTTTGATATTAAACATTAAACAAAGATTACAGTTAATTTGTCTAGTTTACTTGTAATTTAATTTTGTTATTACTCCAAAAATAGGATTTAATATTAAGTAAAATCAATTACTCAAGTTTCATCACAGGTTGTAGAAATTCGAAAAAAGATAGATGGAATTATAGTAAAAAAAAATAAGCTATCAAAATAACTGTTAAAAGTTTTTATCAATTTTCCCTTTCCTTCATCTTAATAATAAAAATAAATATTATATATTAAATTACTAAAAATAACAAACGAAAACATTTTTTAATGTTTAATTAAAACTTATTGGACCATTTTTATAACCATTTACGTACTATTTTCAAAATTACTACACGTAAATTTATGAAAATTTTTTTCTGCAAGCATTTTTCTAAGATAGAAATATATGTGCAAATACATCAGTGTTTTTATAAAAAATTATTTGTATAAAATGATAAAAAGTTATTCATATTATATATTGCCTGTATAATCTACATTTTATATAAATCAAGTTTTTCTTTTAAACTGTGAGTTGGGTAGCATAAATTAATACATAATCCTTAATGAATTCTTTTAGACATGGATTCATGGTTCCTTTTAAATTGAAGCTGTCAATATACTAACAATATGTAATCTAAACAAAGTAAATATCAAAATAAAATTTAGAAACCTGACTACATTACATAAAAATTATATGAAAATCAAAACAAGTATAATTTTTATTAATTTACATTCCACTTGATGTGATATATTTTTAAATTTTTCTAACTCTGCCAGTGATATAATAAACAGGCAATCTCTCTGTTTATTTTTTGTCATTTTCAATTTTTTATCAACATTTTTTAAAATTTGGTTTAAGGTGTAATTTATGTTGCTGTAAACAGTAGAATTGTATTAAGTAATATAAATACATTTTTATTCAAAACGTTAATGTTTTTGGTAGGGTATAGAAGTTACATATTAAAAAACTTTTAACTTAGTAGTTAATTATGAAAATAGTTATTATGTAATTATAATATTATTATGTAATAGTTAATTACGAAAGTAAACTTTAATTACATTCAAACATATTATAAACTGGTTTTATAATTTCCTAATGTTTATAAATTTTGAAGTACAATTACAATTGTTATTGAATAAATATAAACATATTAAATACAATTTTTTTTATTATTATTCTATCATATAATATTTTATTACTAATACAATGTATTAGTAAAATTTTATGGAAATCATTTAGTATAAAAAAAATTATATTTAAATATTTTCATAGTATATTATGTAAACTTTATATATTATTTTCTATTTACTTAATATAATAATTGAATTCAATTTGACTAAAGCTACATTAGAATAGGTTATGTCTATCCAAAACTTAGGTATACAAGTATTGAGATTATTGGAAATAATAAAATTTCAATAAAAAATATATATTTATAAAATATTATAAAAGATTTATAAAATATTATAAAAGTATATTTATATACACATCACTATTAATGTTAAAATTATATAATTGTTCAGACTGACATATATACGTATGAAAATTAATTTATCAAATATTAAATTTTCAAGAACAAAGAATGTATATTTTATTTGAACGTTGTTTATCTTTATTTGCATTTAATATTCGTTGTATTCGTAATATAAATTCTAGTGTGACAAACTTTGCTTTACCAACGAGTAATGTGATGTACATTTTTGATAGACATACAAAATTGCTTCAGAAAGAACGTGCTGCTCAAGCTGCTGATGTAAAATTATATGATTACATTAAAGATGAAGTAGGGTACAGACTTGCAGATAGAATATTAGATATAAAGAGAAATTTCAAAAAAGCGCTTGATTTAGGATGTGGTCGTGGTTATGTGTCAAAACACATTTTGGCAGAGCATGTAGAAGAATTAATCTTAATTGACATGTCAACTAGTTTCATACATCAGGCAGAAGTTAATGAAGGAATTAAAGTATCACGAATAATTATGGATGAAGAAAATTTTTCACTCGAACCAAACAGTCTAGATTTAGTAATAAGTTCATTAAGTTTGCATTGGATAAATGATTTACCTGGATGTTTTATGAATATTAATAAAAGTTTAAAAAATGATGGAGTTTTCATAGGAGCTATGTTTGGAGGAGAAACATTATATGAATTAAGGTAATTTTAAAAATAAATTAAATGTATACAAAATATTTGAGTATGGTAGTTTATATTTTCAGAAGTTCCTTGCAATTGGCAGAATTAGAAAGAGATGGTGGAATTTCAGCGCACATTTCTCCATTTACAGATATTAGAGACGTTGGAAGCTTATTGACAAGGGCTAATTTTACCATGCTAACAATTGATGTAGATGAAATTGTTATTGGATATCCAAGTATGTTTGAATTAATGTGGGATTTGAAAGGTAATATTTGAAGTTCTTACACAATAATAATTTAATAAATGTTTTATACATTTCTTTATTAATTAAGTTTCTTATTTTATAGGAATGGCAGAGAATAATGCAATAAGAAATCGAAAATTGCGTTTAAATAAAGATACTGTTCTTGCTGCTGCTACAATATATAAAGAGCTATATGGAAAAATCAAAGATGATGGTAGTCCATATGTACCTGCTACATTTCAAGTAATATATTTATTAGGTTGGAAGCCAGATGCATCACAACCAAAACCCTTAAAAAGAGGTAGTGGACAGGTTTCACTTAAAGATTTACATAAATTAGATGAAATTATAAAAGATACAAAAAAAATTAAAATAGATGAAGACAAATAATTGCTGTATAAAGTATATTTAAAAGTTATAAAAATTTGTATTGAATATAAAATTTAATGTCTTCATGAGATAAATCTTTCTGAAATTTATTAAAGGAGGTTAATAAGTAATTCATCTCAATTAACAATTAAAGAACATATTTTCATTTGTATCATATAATACATTCCTTTATATCTTTTTGTCCTTTTTATGTTTGTGATTTATGTTCATTAATTCTATCTTTATGAATTATACTACCTTTTTCTATGAGATCTGGAATTTCAACTGCTAACCATGGCCCAAGCTAAAAAAAATAGTACATTATTGCAATAATAGGAAGCGATGATTTAGAGATCTATTTATAACTAAAAAACATACTCCAAGTGCCATAGTATGTGCAATTCCAAATTTTGGTACATTACGTGCCCATAAAGGTTTAAAGTGGTCTGTAAGACAAATCTTTCCACCTCTGTACATTTTTGCTGTTTTACCATCGAGTTCTGGTAAAGCAATTTCAGGTGCTGTTGTAGGATATGTAACAGGTATCTAAATGTGTTATAAAATTGTAATATATTAGATAATTAATTTCCTTAATTTCCTTTGTACATTTAATATGTACAAGAAAAAGGAATTACTTACATCAAATTCAATTTCAAATTCATATTTTAAGAAATTGTGTATGTACCAGCATTTACCAAACCACTTTGTTCCCTCTTTATTCGATTCTAAACGAAACCAATCATTGTCAGATTCTTTATTATTTTTCACATACTGGAAAATAAAGTCAAAATTATTTTATATTAATGCCAAGTGCACTAAAAATGTATTATACTCAATATGACATTTAAATATAATTAGTTACTTCGATAATTACGGTCTCAACTTTTTATTTTTGGTTTTAAACCATATGGTAAGAAATAATAATCAAAATAAAATTTACTTTAATTAATGCTTGATATTCTTCTTTTAATCTTAGTACCCATAATTCTTTATCCCTAGGGCCCGCTTTTGTTTGTAACAATGGAATGTTACTTAATGTCTTCTTCGTTGATTCATCTACCATCATAAATTATGATAATTATTATTGCACTACACAGACATCTGTGTTTCCTAAGTCACTTCAAACGCAAATCCATAAACGTGTTCAAGTTAAGTTTTGCATTTATGTTGCGATGTAGACAAGTAATAGTATAATCGATATATCGAAAAGATCTATATATAGAGATATTTGAAACAGTCACAAATAAATGTACATATAGATTTAACAAACTAAATTAATATATTTTTTTAAAGTAACATTTCAAATATATTACATGAAGTTTTATTTATTAGAAAAAAAATGTCAGTGGTACATTTTAAAGTATTCACAGATGATTAAACTCTATTATACTCAGCCATTAAGTATGATTATAAAAATAGTAATATTAATTTTTTTTGTGTTGTATGCACTTCAATTTGATTGAGCTCTACTTTCTTGAAAGTATTTTGTGAAAAACTGTGACATGTTAATCAGGATTCAAAAAGTGATATCGTTTGAAAGAAAATAATACTGATGCATTATGGCTGATTCATCTTACGAGAAAGGACTTACGGAACTTTCAAAAATGAAGGTAATTTAAAATTATTTTGTTTCTGTGATCCTACATCCGGGAAGCTAACCTCAAAATTAATAGAAATTTTTTTCGATATGACATAAAAGAACCTTCTTTATTACTAATTTTTATTGAGTCCATATAATAGTTCTGGGATAAATACAATTTATATTGACATTTTAAAATTATTTACTTCGATTTTGTTGGACACGAAATAGGTGTATAGATTGTAAGAAAGAATGATATATAATTATAAATGAATATTACTGAACAGGTTGCAGATTTGAAAATTGAATTGAAACAAAGAGGACTCCTTACTACTGGTAGTAAAAATGAATTGGTTGAAAGGCTCCAATTAGCAATTCATGGTGGTATACGCTTTTGAATAATTTAAAAATTTTATTTTGGTGTTTGTGAACATATTGATAAAACAATGTTTTTATGGTCAGATTCTGCATTATCTTTGGATGAGGCTACAGAAGAAATTTTAGATGAAGATGCAGTCCTTGGTGTAAGTAAAAGATGAGAGAATATTACTATTAAATTTGAACATATTGTTGACAATATGATTAAGACATGTATCTATTTAAATAAGGATGAAGAAATTGAAGAACTCTCAAGTAAACCTGACTCACAGGAAGGTAGTGGAAGAAGAAAATTGTCTACAGAGAGTAATATAAGTGCAAAAAAGATAGTTCTAAACCGAAAACCAGTAATTGAGGAAATTAAGAATGAACAATCTGAAGAAATTGAAACTGACACAAAAACTATTGAGATTGCACCTCCAGAAAGAAAAATTATTAAATTATCAGAACTTGGTATTAAAGAGGTAATACTTTCCTTCTATTACACTTTACAAAATTATAAAAGTTAAAAATCAAATGTAATATAATTTATCTTATTAAACAGAGATTAGAAATGAGGGCTAAGAAATTTGGATTACCATTATCAGAAGCTGCGAAAAAGGAAGCTAGATCTGAAAGATTCAGTATTGATAATCAAAATAATAAATCAGCTGCATCTGTAAAAACACCTGTGGTATATTCTTATCTAAACAGATATATAATATTTTTCGTGTTTTTTATAATACATAATTTATTTTCTGCATTTGCAGCATACAACATATGAAGTTTTAAAGAAACGGGCAGAAAGGTTTGGTACATCTGTTTCTAGTTTAATGGAGAAGGTAATAGATTAAATAAATTAAAAATTTACCACAATAAGTTTAAGTGTTAAATGTATTATATAATATATAATTTTTATAATCATATTTTTTTTCAGGCTGAATTAGAAGCTAGAATAGAGAAAAGAAAAGCCAGATTTGGTGAAGTCAAACCTGCAAATAAGAAAGTATTTTATAATAAAGTTAAAATTGTTAAATGATATTCAGTGTTATACACCAAACAGCAACTTAGATTGTAAACTTTACTTTAAGTTTTCTTATTTCTAATATAACTATTGTATACAAAATAAAAAATCATTGTATTTGTTATAAAATGCATGACAAATTTAAGAGACTTTTTTAATGTAGTATTATTTTATCTTGTTATCTTTTTAGAAGTATACGAAAATTACTTTAAATTTATATTTCTATTTAATTAAAACAATTATAGAAATGAATACATACGCGACATGCACACACACGCACACAAGAGTATTGTATAGAATAGAAAGATTATATGTAGTGTTGTAATATTATTTTTTTCATTTTAAATTAAGGAAATGTGCATATTTTCAATATTAAAATTCTTTGTAGTATTAACATAGAATAATATAATTGAAAGCACGTAAATAAATTGTTTTTTTACAATTGTCATGTATTAAAATTTAACGATTAGAAAAAAAGAAGAAACATTCTATGATATTCAATATATTGAATTTTATTACAAAATGTATTTAGGCTACAACATGTAATATAATAATTGCGTTTGGTCTAGACCCTTACGAAAAAGAAAAGCTAAACTGCACCACATTTACTGTTGTCTCAATAAGACACTTCGTTCGTTTACGTTTCAAGGAAACACTTATAAATGCGAACAAGTTCGGTACCTATATGAAAATGAAATAACTCATTTTAAATTGTATAAACAATGTTAAATAGATTTATCCAGTTTTGAGATCGAATTACTCATGTGATATCACAAATATATTTTGTACGAGCTATATGAATTTCTTTAAATGCAGATATGCCATACATAAAAATAATACAAATATACGAATATATTATATATACATGTCATTTGAAAAGATTCATTTTATATTTTGGTTTTTTATTTCTTGTTTATAGGAATTCAAAGATCAGATAAAAACGAGTCTTCGGACATATCGTAAAATTTCAATTTTTTTCTTTTGTTTAATATAAACACGCACAATTATTGTATTATAAAAGATTAGATTTTTAACTTGTGGTTAATGATATAATAATACATTAGATGTAATAATAGGAAAAATACGTTACATGGTTTTAATAACCACGTAAATATTCATAAGAAAATGTAGATTACAAATTCGCATTTTCCTTGAAGCGCACTCTAAGAACGAATGGTCCGAAGACACATGTTATATTTAAAGAAGACAATAGATTGTACATTAAACAATATACAACTGAAATATATTGTATAGATGTAAAAATAATAAAATTATCGGTAGTAAACTCTCTATTACATTATACGGCGTGTTGTAATGTGTGTATATAATCGTTCAAATTCGGTCGTTAAACATTCGACGAAGTAAAGGAAACTATCCCAAGCAGCTAATCCTAAGATAATGTATTTCCTTTTTTTTTATTTATATAACTTCTATTTATATTAGGTATGCATGTACTTGTGATAACTAAACAGATACATGATTTTTTGTGATGCAAAGACACTACCAGCTTTGCGAATTGATCAAAGAGCAGGAGGCTGTTACATATAAAATAAAAAGTACACATTGAAAAAACATTTTTTGTCTTAATTATTTTTTTCGTAATTTTTTTGCACGTAATTGTATCTGTTCAGTGAATCACTCAATCCAATTAATTTTCTTTGTATCCACTTATTGATTAAAAAAACATTTTTTGAATAATTAGTCAAAAAGTGGATTCAACAAATAAATTTCTCAAAATTGTGCCGTAGGCACAAGCAACTTTGACCTTAGGTCAAGTTTATAATGATTTTTAATAATACGAAACATTTGTATGTTTTAGTTAATTTTTTACACATTGTTATTATTATTATTATATATTATTATTATTATTATTATTATTATTATTGTTGTTGTTCTTCTTGTATATATATATTTTTCTTTTTTTTTAAAAGCTTGAAAAGCGTCTTAAAAAGATCTCCCAAACAAAAGAATGGATATAGAAAAAATAAGAAACCAGAAAACTTTTTAGTCTTTGCTAACATTGTTGCACATATCTAAAAAAAAATCATATACATTCACACATATATAGTTACATATAAACTATGTATTTGCAATTGCACACCACAATAGAATAAAATTTTTTCCGTTTAAGCTATTTCCCGATTATCTACACACGCTTAACATCAGTTTCTCACTTTCTTAGAAATGGACTTAGCAGCCTCCTGTTCTCTAATATAACTATATCCAAATGTTTTATTTTTTTTTAATATAATTACCAAGTAAAATTTGTAAAATACAATATATACTACCTATCATAAATTCTTAATTTTTCTTTATAAATAATTATAGTAATAGTCTTCACACCATCTGTTTATTATAATCGGATGCCGTTCTTTTCGTTTTAATTTAAATATTACATTTGTGCCCTTTGCACTAATTCATTTTATAGTGTTTTGCGTGACTGTGTATATATAATACATGTAATATAATCTAAAAGACTTATTGTATTTACATATATACATGTAACAACGGCGCATAGTCCGAATTTGTTAATTTTTTTCTGATTACTACTAAGATCGACTTTTCAACAGCAAATGTTTATTTGGGAGAGGACATCTACACACCTACAATGGATTTGGAAGTAATTGTGCACGAATTTCATGTGTGAATACTAATGAATGATTAGTTAAAATTCTGGTCAGATCTTTGTGTAATCCTTTTTCTAGTAACACGCAACTTATGTTGTTACTAGCAGCTGGTCATTTGCTTCATATAAATTTAATCAAACTCGAACTAATTACAAAAAGCTTACAACTCTTAGGAAATAGGCTCCATTGTTAGTGATTATATATTTTTATATAATATTTTTTCCTTATTTTCACTTGGCCAACCTTGGATTTGGTTTTGGCGGCTTTTCTTTCTTCTATTTTGAAAGTACAAAGGTTTGAACAACTGTTTGCTTAAGAGGTCAAAGAGGAAGACAATTCTAATTCTACACTTTTTTCTTACCTTTTAAAACAGTACAATACGCGTATAAAATAACGCTAGAACATTATCGTATGTTATGCAAATATTCTTTTTTTCATCGTTATTTCAAACATTCCAATGCCCCGACACATATATTTATAATATATATAAAGTAGATATAAATATATATCTACTTTCTTTTATTTACGATTACATTACATGTTATGAACTTCTTTTTTATGTTTCTCTTGTACTTATCACTCTCGAGCAAAAGTTGTAATCTTACCTGACCGTTAAAATACCACTGTTAATACATCCTACATAATGATTCAGGGTTGGCCAAGATCTCACTCATGCTACGAATCAAGATCATCTTCTCTCTGGCTACTGAAGTATGATACTAAACCGCCAAATTCTCCAGAACCTTCTTCATCGTACTGCTTACTTCCAGCACCAGCATCATTTGAATGTGCTTGCTGTTGTGGTGGGGGTTGAGGGGGAGGTGGTGGTTGAATGGGTGGTTGATTATCCGCAGGAGATGAAAAGTGATCCGCAGGATACGGAGAACCTTGATATGCGGCTGCATCATCTGCCGTGGACATCGGTGGTGGAGGTGGATAGGCACCATAGTGATAATTAGGAGGAGGTGGAGGATGATACGGTGAAAAATTACCAGGTGGACGATTAGGTGGCGGCGATGGTTGCTGCATATTATGATTAACCGCTGAAGCATTCGTAAAAGGTGGCATTTGATGCCTGGGACCCATTGGATTATCTGTAAACCTTGACATGGGAGGCGCTCCTCTAACATAGGGAGGAGGTGGTGGAGGTGTAGGACCACTTTTCGCTAGAGGGCTTCCTGCAGCTGGCGGAATCATCGCAGGTCCAGGGCCAAGTGGAGAACTACGATCTCGATTATTAATTGATATCGGTCCACCACCTGAAGGAGAAGGATCCATTGGATGATGTGGCGTGTGATACATCTGTGGACCAGGTACTCTCATTCTCATTGGAGGTGTTCCTGATCTTACAGCTGAAAAATGAGGTGGGATGGAGGATTGTCCTGCTTGTCTATACGGAGAAGGAATTCTTCCACGTGGTTGCATTTCATAACCTGTCCTAGGTCCGCCCATTATTTGACTGCCAGCATTAGGTCCTCCAAAATATTTGTGTCCCATCGCTGCAGCTGCAGCGGAGAACGACTGTGGACTACTTGATACGGGTTGAGACTGAAGCATCCTGGTGATAACGGAAGACTGTTGATTAGGTGGTAATGACGGATAAACAGACTGTGAAGTTGGAGTTTGTGAAGATGGTGGTCCTTGTGTTGTAACAACGCCAGCAGGTGGTGTGGACGGAGCCGAACCAGAGGTGCTACTACCTGGTGTAGGAAGTACATTTGGAATTTCAGTAGGTTTTATCTCTGAATTCGAATCAGTGCCCATTCCAATTAAACCAGCCTCAGCAGCAGCTTTCGCTGCTGCTTCTGCAGCTCTAGCTGCTTCCAGTGCAAGAGTCTTTTTACCTTTGCCACGCCCTCTTCTTTTAGGTTTCATTGGTGATCCATCAGGGTTAAAAAGTTGTCCATCTGGTCCTGCTATCATAGGAATGTGACCTTCGACTGTTCTTTCAGCATCAGGTGTCATAACAGTTGATATATTGGGATTAATGTTCGATGATATACTAGTTGCTAAGTTTTGCGGCACGCTGGTAGCTAAACCTGTAGGATTCAAATTTGGAGCTCCATCCCTGCGCATCTGTTCTGCTAAAATTTCAGCTTTACTGCGACGACCTCTTTTCTTTTTTTTTGGTACATCTCCGTCAGTTCCGTCTGGCGCATTAGGATCTCTCTGCCTCTCAGCTGCCAATATCTCTAACGCTTTCAATCGTGCTTTTTCTAATTTTTTTGCTTCCCGTTCTTCTTTTTTTTTCTTTTTTGCTATTTCAATAGCTGCAAGTTCTAACTGTCGCCTACCATATTCTTCATCTTCCATCATCATTTGCTCTAATTGTTCGTCATCTAACTCAGCTAGTTCACCGGCTCCAAGTCCAGTTAAGGAGCCTTCTGGAACGTCGCCAGTAAAGGAACCTGCTACTGACATAGCTGTACTAGTCAATCCAACATTTTCTGAAAGATTGTCATCAATTTTTGTATCTATATCTCCCATAGGATTGTCTATGACATTTGCCATGATATCCTTATCGCCATCTTGATCGTCTCTTCTTTGAATTACAGAACTAAGTAAAAAGTTTTGTTTACGTGACTTGTTTTTGCTTCCAGGTTTTGGACCAGGTTTTTTTCTTTGTTTCGGTGTCCCATCGTTTAGCATTTTTCGTTTACCACCGGGACTCTTACTTTTTCTAGGTTTCCTATTTTTTGGCGATTTATTTTTAAATTTATGACCATCTTTTTTTGGATTATAAATATCACCTATAAGGTGATAATATTATATGTTAATTCACGATATTGCTATGGTTAACATTAATATGCTTTCTTTTTTTTCAAATTACCTGAATCTGAATCTTTCTCAGCATCTTCGTTTAAATCTTCACCCTCATTTACCACAAACTCATCTTCACTTTCTCCCGTTTTTCTTAATGCTTTTTTTAATTCCTATAATATCACAGGAAATATTTTTTATTTTTAAATCCCTATATTATGTATCATTGGATGTGTTACCTCTTCGCTATCAGATGCCATTTCTTCTTGATAATTAATTTTTCTGCCACGAGTTCGCCTACTTAATATTTCCTCTTCTTCTGGTTTATTTTCATCTGGAAGACCACCATATATAATCTGCAAGTATAATTAAATTTAAATGAGAATCGTATATATTACAGTAAATAAAAGAATATAAAATTAACATACTTTTCTTCGAATTGTTGGTGTCTTCTTTGTTTTTAATGCATGTTCCTACAATAAAATGAAAAAAATAAAATAAAAATTAAAAAATAAATATAAATATTGTAAAATAAATGATAGATATAAACTTACCTTCTTTTTCTTTTGTTGTGTTATTTCTTCTAATGGTAAAGCCACAGGTATATCAGACATTTCTGGATTTACTTCTTGTAATTTTACATCTTTTATCTGCCCAATATGTTTTCCTTCGTTATTTTCATTTATGTTATCCAGTTTAATATCTAACACATTAGGGATTATGGATTCGTTGTTTTCTATTTGTGATTGAATCTCATTCGATATATTAATTTTTGGTTCCTCGTTTGACTCATCATTTTCGCTTTGATTATCAGATTCGATAATACGTTTTCTCTTTTTTTTCTTTCTGCTCTTTGTTTTCGGTAATGTTTTATACCTAGACGTTGATATTGTTCGGCTTCTTAAATAAAATTTAAGAATGATATCATTTAAAAATGATAATTAAATTATAAATTAATCATATATTAATATCTTACTTTTTCTTTTTCTGTCGCCACGAATTATCACTATCCTCATTATCTGAATCCCATGCAGATCGGGATTTCTTCCTTTTTGGCCTATCACTTTCTTCACTATCATCATTTACTGTAAAATATTTATTATTAATTATCTTTTGTCTCATCCAATACAATTTATCATAATACCAAGGTAAGAATGTATTCATTATACTTACTAAAATCTTCGTCGTAGCGTGTAGTTCTAGCCCTAGTACTTCTTCGTACTGATCGTGAATCTCCTTTTTTACTACGTCGTTTTACATCAGCAAACGTGCTTTCATCAGAAGATGTTATATGATCATCAAAATCTTCTTCCTCTTCAGAACTAGTGCCTTTAAAGTCTTCATCGCTTTCAGGATCATCTTCGCTGCTTATATCAAGACTATTCAATTTACGATGTTTCTTACGCGACAAAAATTTTTTTACTACTCTTTTATGTTCTTCTTCTTCCTCATCGATACCATCCTCACCATCGACTTTATACTCTTCGTCGCTTTCTTTTTCTGATTTTCTATCAATGTCATCTTTATTCTCTGGAGCTTCTTCCATGCTTAGTACCTCATTCTTAAAATGAAGCTAAAAGCAAATTTTGATATTAAAAGAAAGAAAGAAAAGAAAAGGAAAAAAACGAAAAGAAAAAATTTTTAAATACAAACAATCTAAAAGTCAAGTAAAAATATGTAAAAATAATTTTACCTGTGCTTCTTCTTTTTCTGCATTCACTATAGTTGCGATATCTTTTCCTCTTCCTTGATTTCCAGCTCCTTGAACTGCTTCTACTTCATCTTGAATTGCAGCATTGATCATGGCATCATAATCATTGAATTTATATTTGTTAGCACATCGTCTTTCGCGTAATTGATACACAGGTTCACTTTCTTCACTGCTAGATGTTTCTGTACTCGAAGAAGATGAGGCACATGATGATTCTATAAGAAATGTAAAAAATTGATTTAAAATGAGAAAATAAACAGTGTATCATAAAAGTATATCATGGAAGATGAAAGTCACCATTATCAGAATCTTGGCTAGATGCCTTGGATCCCTTCTGATGTCGCTGCGATTCATTTTTATGAAGAACGTTATCTAAACTTATACCAACAAATGCTAGTCTCTTCTTTCTTAAAACTTCATTTTCGTGTCTTTTCGTTAATTGATCATACATTTTCAAGCTCTCTCTTAATTTAGTTACCAATAAATTCTAAAATTAAATATTAATTTATTATAAGGAGTGTTTAAGCAAATTAAACAAGTGTATTAAAAACTAAAAATTTACATGTTGACATGGAGGACAAAACCAATCACCCTCTGGTATTAGCATAAGTGCTGGTCTAAGACAAGAACAATGCCAGCCTTTGTCACAAGAATCACATAGAAGTATCCATTCTGGATGATCCGCTTTACCACATTTCTGACAAGCATACTCATCATCTGCTTCTTCAACATCACTTTGAGCTGTAAATAAACAATGTTAATGTATTGCGACATATTCCAATAAAATATAAAGTTTGTAAATAGTTATATACTACCTTTTTGTGCAGTTCTTGCTCTTCTTAATGGTTCAGATTCTTGATCTTTTTCAAGATCACTTTCTGGTGAAAATTCATGATCGCTTTTAAAAAGCAAAGATCCTTCACTTTCTATTTCTTCTTCTTCATCCTCTTCTTCATCATTTTCATTTTCATCATCGCTACTAGAACCTGAAGAACTTTGCCATGGATTTGCTTCATTAAATTTAGCTAACATTTTCTTCTTTTTTCTTTTCCTACGTTTCTTTTTGGATTTTTTTTCTTTTTCCGTTTCTTTTATTATAATTTCCTCTTCGCTTTCAGGCTAAAAAAATTATAATATTTATATAATGCATTAATATTAACTAAAAAATGATGCGAAATAAAAATATACTTTTTGTTTCTTTCGTTTCTTCTTTTCTGTAGAATCTTTCTTTTCTTTTCTTTCATTTGATGTCTCTTCCTCAATTCTTCGTCTGTCTGCTTCTTCTTTAATTTTTAATTGTGCTATTCTTCTAGATTGTCTTACAGGTGTTTCATCTTGAATTAAACCTGTCTGTGTTTCAGGAACAATATCTCTTCCTACTTCTAGACCCAAAACCATTTTTCCTATAAATAATATATTTTCCATAAATTACATCACATGATTTTCAAAATATGTATAAAAATAAAAAAAGGAATAAAAGCTTACTTTTCTTTCGTTTCTTTTGTGATATTGGTGTCATACTTAAAGAATCATTATTACTTGGTGTTCCATCAAGAATCTCGGGTGATACTTCAGAAACTTGAATGTTCTGAAATTCAGAATGTTTCGGTCGAGTTGAACGTCCACTTCCTCTATAACCACGTCTTCGTCTTCCTCTAGGGCGTCCTCTTGTTTTTCTTTCGATTGCAACTGAATGAACAGTACTTTGATCATCACTAGCATCTTTAACTTCTTGATCTTCTAATTTTTCTGGACTACATTTCACAGCCTCATCTTCTGAACTTATTGTTACAACACGACTTTCTTCCACAGACTTTCGTAATTGCTTATCAGGTATACGTTTTGCACGTAATTTTATTCTTTTACCTCCCATCATTTCTTCATCATTTTGTTTTGTAATCATATCTTCGGAATTTGACTCATGGGAACTATTACGTCGCTTGCGGGATACTTTTGGAGATTCAGTGGAATCTAATTTCCATCCATCATAAACGAGTTCAGATACTGGTTTAACTCGTAAACCTATTTTTGGCGTAGAGATATCATTCTGTTCATTATCACCCAGTTTTTTAAATGTATCATCATCAGTACACGCTAAAGGATCTATTTCTTCGGGAACGGTACTGAATAAATTTTCATTGTCTACTTCCATAGAATCATCAGATGTTAAAGAAACTGTTTTTACTTCAATACTTTGAATTTCAGAGGTTTCTTTCTGTTCGCCAGATTCATTAGTTTCTTCAGTATGTTTCTGTTGTACTACATTTAATACATTGTCTGTTGTATTAACTATTGCATTATATTCATGTTTTGTTAAATGTTCTATGGTACTATCAGATACCATGTCCTCACTTACTTTAATTTCTCCAACATCTACTTGTTTAAAACTATCAAACTTTTGATCCAACTGTATTTTAGGTTTTGTTAAAACTTCTAATACTTGTTCATTGGATTCTATACATGGAGGTTTAGATCTTAATGGAGGAACATCTTGAATATCAGAAACGTCGCTTAATCTCTTACTACCTTCTTTTTTGAAATCGTTTACAACAGTTGTTGATTCTGATGTTACTTCTTGTGTATTAAAAATTGCTGATTTATCATTTAGGCTAGAGAAAGCATCTTCGAGAAGAGATTCTATTGCTCTTCTCATAACACGAAGTGATTCATTATGTTTCTCATGAAGATCTGTCACATTTAAATTTTCTGACTTTTCAGATATAGAATTTACAAATTGTAAATTATCGATAGATTTGAAATTTTCTGGCACAGTTGAAATATTATTTTTATATACTTCTGATTTATCTATACCTGAGGATGTATTGTCAAATTTATCAAGTGGCAAAATATTTCGTACAGAATGAATGGTTGTACCACTGTCAGATAAATCTTTATTTAAATCTCCTTCATGTAAATCTGTATCAAATTTATTTTCTTTCTCACCAAATCCTGAAAATTCTGATACTTTATTGTATGACTCCATAATTGGATGTTCTTTTTCAACATCTTTACTTTTAATGAATTTGATATCATTATCAAAATTCGTTATTAATTTTTCTTCCATAGGTTTCATAGTCTGTTCTTTTAAATTTTCACATGTTACTTCTTTCTTAATATCATTAAATTCAATGCTTTCAGTTGTTTGTTTATGAATTTTAATTATATTTATAGAATTTACTGGTTGGGGATCATTTTTTTGTTCAGAAACTGTATTCGCGATTTTATCTGAAACTAGAACATTATCCTCTTCGCTTATTTCATCTATTAAATTATTTGCTTTGGTTAATGTTGAAATTATATTTTCTTTATTTACTGCATCTGTATCAGAGAAATTTGATAACATTTCTGCTTTAACCAATTCTGTAGTATTATTTTCCTCAGTGCTATTAGTACCTTTTTTCTCATTTATAATTGATTTTTCATTCAAATTATATTCATTAACAATACAATTATATTCTTCTTCAATGATTTGTTTGTTAATCACTTTTTCCTGTTTATGTTCAGTTCCTTCATTTAGAAGTTTTTTAATATTGTTTTCTGGTATTAATTCTCTTTGATTATTATCAGTCATTACATTCTGTAATTCATTAGATAGCATTTCATCCTTCGTAGTTGGTTTTTCAACTCTTTGTTTCATTTTTTGTTCATTACTAGTTATTGTTTCTCCTGAACCTGTAAATAAATTATTTTTATTTTCAATTGACTCTCTTTGAAGGGTTTCAGAAACATCACTATCATTGGAATCACTACTTTCATAATTTGCAACTAAAGACTGCTTAATTTTGTTTGTCTCCTGTATATCTACAGGGTTTATATCCATTTGATTCAGTTTTGGTTCCTCTATCTTCGATTTTTCAATAATATTTTCTTGTTGATTTGCATTTTCTACAATGTTACTTATAGAATTTTGCTTTTCATCTTTCATGTTATTTTCTTCAATAAATTTTGTCATACATTTACATTGATTCATACTATTTTTTTCATCCCATTGAATTTTTTTCTCACTTTCTGAAATTGCATGTTCTATTGTGGTAACACATTTTTTCTGAATGTTTACGTAATTGACGTCCTCGATTTTTTCTTTTTCAATAACAGCACCAAATTTATTTATTTCGTTAGAAGATGAACATGAATCCATTGCAATTCTATGTATATCCTCATTATATGACAAATTTCTATCAGAATATGCTTTTTCTTCATCTAGTTTAGGAGGTTCATTAGGCTTTGACAATTTATCATGAATATTCACATCTTTATTCAAATCTTGATTAACACAGGAACTTTGGTCTTCTAATGTTGCAGTCTGAACTATATTAGATATATTAATTTCTTTTTTAGTTTCAACTGCGTCAGATTTGGATGGTCTAAAGTTATTTGTATCAGGTACTGTCTCTGATAATACACTGTAAATAGGACAATCATCTTTAAAGGACAATTTCTCAGAATTTGGATGCACTTTAATACTTTCTTGAATGCAGATATCTTGAGTGCAAGTATCATCTGAGCTACTTATTGTAGGAACTAGCGCATCTTTGTTACATTGTCCGATTGATTCTGAACTAGTAACGATAGAATTATCTGTCAAATCTAATTCAGTATTAACATCAGGCACAGAACTTTTGATGAATGAACCTACAAATGTCTTTACTTTTGTCTCTTTAGAATCATCTGAAATTTCATTTTGTTGTGAAATTTCTATCCTTTTAAAGTTTTTATCATAATTATGTGCCAAATTTACATCAGTTAAAACTTTCATGTTCTCGTTATTAGGATTTATTACTTGCTTCTCTTGATTATGAAATTCCGGTATATTATCATTTTTATCATTTTGTTTGTAATTTTCAATAGATAAATCAAATTCTTTCTCAGAAACATGTTTTTCTGCTGAACTATCTACTTCTTGATAAGTAGAAAATTCTGCTCTACTTGTACATCCTGATTCTGGATTTTGAACAAAAGGTAATGAACATGAATTATTAACCGATGTTGAATTCATTTCTAATTCACTTTTCCTGAGTGTCAACATATCAGATGGATTACAATCAGCTTCATCTTTAGAATGAGCAACTGGCATTTCTACAGTTTTAGCAACCTTATTTTGTAGATCTGATATTTTATTCTGATTTTTTAATTGTTCTTCTAATATGTTACTTTCTGCTTTTGCTATTTCAGGTTGTATAGATTCAGAATTAAATTGCATTGTAGAAGGTGTCACAATTGTATTATCTGATTTTACATCTGTATCTTCTTTATTCATATCATTCGTACTGTGAGGTTGTGAAATTATATCCAACATCCCTATTTCTTCAGATTTTATATATTTATTTTTTGTATTTTCACTACTAGAAATAGAATCTTGTGGAGTATCAGTAGTGTGAGAGTTGAAGTTTTCTTCTTTTGTTTCGGAGTTTGAAGAATTTATTTCTGTTTTTTGCATTGTACAATGTTGTTCATGTATAGAATATTTTAAAGGAACTGTTTGTTCCCATGTATTACTTGGTCCTTCAACTTTTTCTATTTTATTTTTATTATCATCTTCACAGAGGGAATTATTACTTTCAGATGTATAGGAGTTGACTTTTAATAAGTTATTATTCATTTGAGTTATGCCGAATTCGTGTGATTTATAAGGAGTTATTATATCTTCTGTTGGTTTGGAAGAAGAAACACATTCATATTGCAAAGTGTCAGTTTTAGATTCTATAGTTGTTGAAACTGTGTGATCAGATGGTGATTCAAATATTTCTGCTTTGGAAGTATATGAAATACAATTAGGTCCAAAAAAAAATCTTGGTGGAGATGCAGCCACTGGTTTACATTCATTATCTACTTTTTCTGAAATATTTGTCTCGTGTGAAGTTATACTATCAGAATCACAAATATTTTCGACGGTATTTTTATTATTTACTGATTGTGTTGTGGGTACAGTTTCTCTATAAAATTCAAGTGCTTCTGATGTATCTGCTTGGCATAAAGATATAGATGAGTCACACTGCATGGAATCTTGAGTAATAAAATTTTGCTTTTGTCTTAAGGAGTTTCCGTCTGCTAGCTCTTGTAAATTTTCTATTTCTATATTCCTTTCTTGTATAGTTGAATTTTCAGTGCGTACAGAATTGCCGTCTATCTTAACGTCTTGATTTGCGGTAGAGGAATCTTCAGTTTCATTTTTCTTCTGTGATATGTTTTCTTCGTTTGATATGATACTGCTGTCACATTCTGGTTTTTCTTCTGGTTTTCCAACATCCCATCTCGATAATCTTTTTACAGAACTGTTAGAATTTTTTGGTATAATCTGAATGCCCAATGATGGTTTGAACTTTGATTTTTCTTGTGTTGAACCTATAATTTGACAATTACTTCTTACACTAACACTTGATTGTGGATAATTTCTGTTTAATTTTATGGTATTTTTACTTGTTACTAACGATCCAGCAGATACTTCATTCATAAGGCTATCTTCGCTTAAATTCTTATTTGATGATAAAGAAGAAGTAGCAGAGTCAGCTTCGTTTTTTGATTCCTTACTTTCTTTATTGTCAGCTGATGTTTCCTCACCAGGATTACCTGTCTGACATTCCTCGCCAGATCCTTCACCATAAAAAAAAATTATGGGTTCTTCTATAGCTTCTCCAAGTCCAGGATTGACTCCATCACAATCACTACCAGATCCTTCACCTTGAATCATCATCATTGGTTCCACAATAGCTTCACCAACTTCATCTCGCCAATTACTACTCATTATTGGCCTTTTATCTATGGAACCTCTAATTGGTATTACATCTGCTCTTATTCTTTTTAACATGTCTTGTTGCATATCATCTCCTTCTAATGGCCGTTTCACTGGTGTTGGGTTCATTCTTAAAGTTGTAATTTTACTTGGATCTGGTAGTATTGTATAGTTTGGTAATCTATGATCTTCTTTATTAGATATTCTTGTAGTATTATGATATGGAGTAGCAGACATTTCGTAAGTAGGAAACGACATTTGCCTTTTGCTTAAATCTGCTACCATAGCATGATTACGCATCATCACAGTTCGAGCATCATATGCTACATTTGTAACTTCTGGTTTGTTTAATTTTTTCGTACTAAGATCCATTTCTCTATGTTGAAAATCTTGTGTTCTGTATCCAGGAGAAGCTAAATCCATAGTTTTATTAAATTTTCGACTAGATAAATCGATTCCAGAGAAATCCATTGGTCTGTTTTGCTCATTCGTGTTTTCCCACCCTCTAGGTGATGTAGACAAATCCATTCCTCTATGCTCTCTAAGCACATTAACTTTCTCTATTTGACTTCTTGCACAAAAATCTTGTGGTATTCTATCATCATCTCCGTTTATTACATTTCCCACAATACTTCCTGACCTAGCTAGATTTTCTGCAATTTTCTCTAACGATTTTGCTCCACTCGGTTTTTCAAGTTTCTCAGATTGCATTCTCACGAGAGTTGCAGCTAACTGATCTATTGGTTTCACAGATAATTTACTATGAGCCATTGGCATGTCCGTGGGTGTAAAGGGAAAATTATTTTTACCAGATAATTTATCAAGTGGTTTCATGATTTGATCTGCTGCATCTTCATATTTTTTAGCTATATTCAATGTACTTCCAACTGGTATTATCCCACTAATAATTTTTTCTTCATGTATTTGTTTTATTTCAGAAACATTTACTAGCTTAAGAGGAGATGTAATAACAGGTGTTTCAATTGATTTAAGAGGTACTGATTCTTCAGAACCAATTTTTAAATTATTCACTGTTGTATGTTCTTCACATTTATATGTTTCTGCAGGTTTAATATCATTAGATATAATAGTAGTAACCATGGTTTTTTTAATAATGCTTAGTTCTTTCTCCTGAGATGAAACTGTTCCTTTTCCTGATAATGTATCAACTTTACCATTCAAAATTTTAAGAGGACATGTTGATACTAAAGAGAGTGTTTCAGTAGAATGTGGTTCTATTACTTCATTTTGTATTGTCTGCTGAGAATCATCTTCTTCAGTATTTTGTTTAGAACTTTCATCATTTGTCATCTCATCTTCACCCTCCATGTCTTCCTCAGCGTTAATACACTCATTAATGTCATCTTGTTCTCGTTCATCCTCGAAATCTTCACCTCCACTCTTATCTAATTCTTTTTCATCAACTCCAATGTGAATGCCATTTTCTTGAACACCTTCATCTTCTAAACTTGGTGATGTTGATATTTGTCCCGTATCAATAATAGGTTTCTCAGAAATTTCTAAACTATTGCTATCTTCATTAATTGGAATAGCTCCAACTTCTCCATTTGATAAAGTATTTATAAGATTAACTACACCTTCTCTGTCCCTAAGAATACAATATCAATTAAATATTTATACTGTAAAGTATGTGAAATAAATAATAATTAAAATATTCACATATATGTTAAACACTTACTTAGCTACAAGTTCCCAATTTTCTTCATCTAAATCTTCTCTGTAAACTCTTATATTGCACTCTTCATCAAATTGACACCAATAAGCTAAACCAGATTTGTCTCTTCCTAAAGGTTCTACCCGTAATTCCTTAGCAGCTAATTTATTTACTTCATTTTTAAACTTTTGATTTAGATCAAATTGTGTTTCTAAAAGAATCTGTAATGAAAAGAACTTTTATAAAGTACATTGATTTATATGATTATATATAATGTTGGAAATATGAGCACAAGCTTTTTTAAGATCTTTATTTTTAAAGAATCATAATCAGAATATTTTGTAAAATATAGTACAATAATTATATTTATACTTTAAGTAAACGTAGTTTGACAGCAATACGAGCTTTCTTGTAACCAAAACGTTCAAGTTCCCATCCATCTTGATTAGAATATGTATGGCAGAATTTAACCAGTGCACGTTCCCATTTTTCTGGTGATACTGTTTTACGTGTTTTTCGTAATAATTTGATGTGTAGATCTATTAACTGTTGTGGTACTAAAAAGAGAAAAGATTATTAAAGAGAAAAGAATAAAAGCATGCTTAAAAGGTACAAAATATTTATATACAAAATGAAATATATATAAAAAACATCTTTAGAATACCTTTGATATAAAATACAATAATAAATTACATATACAATAATAAATTAAAATACATTAATAAATAAAAGGTCAATAATAATTCGTAAATTATTTTTATTATAAAATATCAAAGAAATTAAAGCCCGTGTTTACAAATCATTAACTGGACGCGCGATTCATAACTTGTAATCACGTGTAACCAACGTTGACAACAAGGGAGGTGGCAGCACGGGAGAAAATAACAACAGTAGATAGTAAATTGAACTAAGCTGTCAATAATAGAATTATTTAAATTAAACGATGAATTTAATATAAGTTATCATTAATTATTATTCATTAACTCGTAATTTTTGTTACTGTTAATTCCTGCTAATCCAAAGCAAACAAATAAAAGACAAAGGTTTGTAAGAATGATGTGCTCAATTCCGATGAAAAAAGGGGATGAAAACAACTGTAAATACAGTATCACATTTATTCACATAAAATAATTACTTTAAACTAAATTAAGGATGATCAAAAACAATAAGTAACATAAAATATGTAAACAAAAATGTATGAAAACGCAAAAGATAACTTATAGTACACGCGAGATTTTTGGCCTCGCGGGGGCGGGTCAATCATTCTCTCTCTCTTTCCTACACATACACGTATGCATACAGGTTTACTTACCCTCTTGTGTGTTTTCAAGCATCTCTTGAAGGCGCGCGATATCAGGATAAATGATACCACAGGACTTGCCGAAGCACTCGAGAAATGAACAAATCACCGCGAAATTTGGGTCACTCGCGCAAGAGGCTTCGTTATCGGACGCCATTTTTCCGCCGCTTCTCTCTGGGCCCGTCGCCGCTAGGCGATATACTACGCTAGGCGACCTAACAACTCGTATTGCATTTTCGTAAAATTATTTTCAGTTGTCACCGCTGCGTCACAGCTCGTTCATAAAAAAAGTTAATGCAGTTAAAAATGATAAAAAAAAATCTATGTTTAGAACATTCGACGCCGCTTCCCGCTTCGTTGCTTTCGTTACCTTGATGTTCTACCTGCCACTCACACCCGCATCAAAACCACAAACGAATACACGCGTCCGTGAGACAAATGAAAAAGATAGACAGAGAAAAGTAGGGTGAAAAAAAACACACGTACTGTGTTGTTGTCTTAAACTCCCACTCTGTTTTTGTATCGTGTACACATTGAAGAAAACGAATACTTTCTCGCGCGCCTCTTCTCTCCTTCGTTCACTTTACACTTTTCCACATATCACGGTGCTTACCACAAACACACCGACACATAGGCGAAGATCGTTGCGCCTCTCGAGATATACAAGTCGTAATGTGTGCACGCGCGCGCGCGCGCGCACACCTTCGGGCGCAATAATAACGATGCACGTAATCGTCGGGTATCGCCTTTCCTGGACACGTTATTCGTACCTCACTGTACTATCAGCGAGAATCGTTACTATCGAATCACAGGGTATATCGGCAGCCGAGAAATAATAACTACCACAACGACAATGAAAACAGCCCCCTTCTTTACAGCGCGGCGCACTGGACGTCGCCTTCGGGTCCGGGCTACGAAACATTTGGAGGGTTCTCAACCTGTCGTATGGCGCGGCACTCGAGTACCTGTAAGCTTTAAGCCGCTTTTATGAGACTATTCTTTAACCAAACTTTTATATATTCTTATCTCATTACACCTTTCCTTATTGTATTATGTCATCTCAAATCACCTTTCTGTTAGTATAAGTCGTTAATTTATACGTACAATTTCTTCGATGTATCTTTGAATTTCGATTATATCGAAAGAGCGCGAAAAGTTTACGGCAGAACGTCAAGCGCACATTTCAAGGTTTCTCTTGAACGACGCTGTCGCTCAATGACGTAGTTCTGCGTAGTTTCATATAATTTCGAACAGCGGGAGTAATGATTCGATCGATCAGGAGTAAGCAGAGGGAACGAATATTGTTTTCTATCTTTGATGTTCTCGCGGACACTCACGAATTTAATGTATTACTGAAACAAATGCGAGCTAATAAACACACACAAATGTGTACTCAGCTCCATTTAGATTTTCACACTGTTTATTATACTCTTTATATGGCCTTTTACTCTATGGCGCTATACATCAAACACAGTAAACACGCCGACGTTTCACAGCAGGCTGAGATTGTGCGACTGCTGCGATCGATCGCGAGAGCCAGAAACACGAGCAATGTATACCTATATGCAGGGAAGAGACAAGACTCCTTGTCGACACCATTACGTTAGAAGAAACTACTAAAATTTTCTTTTAATCGTATAGGCTATTTTTAAGTTGTATTTTCAGTTGATGATAAAAGAACATTCAGAATAATACTTTCGTTTCTTTTTACAAAGGATGAAACGGAAATCCATCGAACAGATCGATAAACAAAGTTTTTAAAATATGGAACTTCGTGATAGACAGTGCTGCCGCGAATGCTTTCAAATCGATAGCGCGGGAGACATTTTCACAAGATTATCGATTACATGCTTCTTTTGAGAATTTATGGTAAAAATTAGATTATTAACAATATTTTACTGTAATTAAAGACATTTCGTATTTTAAACAACTTAATTATTTTAAAAATTCTTTTTATATTATCTATTCAGCAATAAATGTTATAATAATACAAATAAATCGTGAAATATAAAATGTTTATTTTCGAATGAAAGTTTGCAACTTTGTATCAACAACTTCTATTATCATTATCGTATGTATAAACATTTATATTTACAACATATATTACTAAAAAAAGTCTTAGTATATGTAATTTGTTGGATTTAATAATATTTGACACTTATTAATTCTTCTTCATACATTATACATTCCGTCGTTTGTACCTGAATATACTACTTTCTTTTTGTCTGTTATACATCATTTTATTTACCATTTTTGAATTAGAAGTTTCAATTATTTAGGATTTTATTTGAATACATAGCACCATATAGATTGTTAGATAAGAAAGTTATTTTTTTTTTTACTTTTGAACCATGTTTAAACTGAGCTCAAGGTTTACTTTGTCAAAAATTATTGAAAAAATACTTGGAATGAAATCTTATTTATACGAAAATATACAAAACGACAACAATAGTTATCGAAATAATAGGTAAATCTATTCGTCAATTAAACTTTATTTTATATTATTAAAAGTTTATTTGAATCATTTTGCTTTCCACATTTTGTGCTTTAGACAGATTGTTCACAAAAAACATCGGCTTTACCGATATAATGGAAAGTTATTGTATTTAATTAATACAGCCTATTACAAATTGTTATGTTATTATGACTTGTACTTGTAAGCAATATACATAATAAACTTTTTTTGTCTATTAAGTGTTATTAACTTCTTATTTCAAAAAATATAAATAGTTAGGAAATATTCATTATTTCAATTTTTCTTCATAACATGTTTTAATTTTTATAGAAATCTCGTATTTGTTTTGTTTTTTGTTTTATGCAGTCCTAACTATTTAACGACGTTCTATGATCGTTTTATAATTATTATATAATCTTATAATATATTATAAAAATTCACTATATACAAAATAGATCATGTACAATTTAAAAACACACGTTTTCTTATACTATTTATTATTTAATTTTATTACTGTTTTCTTCTTTTGGTATCACCTAAAAATGTGTGTTGAATTCAGACAATCATATAATGTTAAAAATAAGGAATATGTTATTTACTGATAGCGATTTATAATAAAACTAATTAAAATAGTAGTGTGTTTAAAGATGATTGTATAATTTGATTTAAGAGATTATTTTAAATATATATAAAAGAGATTGTAATCTATTACGAGACATTATGTGGAAAGCAAATTAATAATTTGTTTATCTACATTTATTTTTTAAAAATATTTGTTTACTTTATAAATCAGACTCAATCCCATATACACACGCGCACACACGCACACAAGCATATATACATATATACATATATATATATATATATGTATATATATAATATGCAGCTTTTAAAAAGCATACATATGTTAAATAATATAGGATTATGCCCTGTAAAACGAACAATTCAATTTTCTGATACATATTAGGAGTATTAATAATACACAGTTGAAGAATCTTGTAGATTCATAAAATAACCTGTACAAAAGCAATTAGTAACGGAAAGCTCGCTTAAATACTACTATAATGCTTTGTGATTAAACAACGAAGGAAAATATATTAAAATATTAGAGTACAATTTTTAATCGACCTCTTTTAGGAAGCTGAAACGCTTAGGAAGTTTCCTTCTTGTAGAAAAAGCTTGTAAGGGCTGTTCAGAAAATTAAGCTTAATGCAAAATATATAGTTATGTAAAATCACTTAGATGCTCTTTGTGCCGTAATATTTTTGAGTTGTTGTTTATATATTTCCGCTTCTTCTTCTTTTTTTTGAAGTCGCTTACGATACTCTGCTGCTTGTCTTCGTGCTTCGGCTAATTGTCTATTCAGTAACGCAATGTCCATAACTGGTTCATTATTATGTACTGTATCATCTTCGCTAATTTCCTCTACATCATCGTCTAATTGTAAAATTATTGGTTCTGTCATTTTTGCGGGAGAATTAATAATCTTACTCTGTTAAAATTGTTAAATTTCAATACATTAAAAATTACAAATATTGACTTCAGTATTTTTATTTAATGTTTTATTCCATACCTCTGATGTAGATAATACGTTTTTAGATTGTGTAAGTGTTGATACAGGTGTAGTGCTGGAAATAGAAGAAATAAACAATTTTCCAGCCTTATTATCCATAGAAGATCTTTTTAATATATTAGGTCCTCTAGATGCGAGGGTAGGTGTATTATGACTTAAAATTTGATCTGCTCTAATTGCTATCACTTTCCTAGAAGTTCCTTTTTTTCCAGTTACATGAAGTCGTTTCATTCCTAATGAAGAATTTCTTGTTAAGTTTAAGGCAAGTTTACCTGCCTCTGTAAAAATAAATTACTAACATCAATAAATATAAATATAAATATAAATATAAATATAAATAATAAAAAAATGTATCTTATTAAAGTATTGTGTACCAGTTAAAACAACTGTTCTTCCACTTTCCATGGCATTTTCAACAATAGATGAATCATTATCCACAGGTATCATGGTGATTCCATGTGCTTCAAGTAACCTAAATTGTTTGTTTACTCCTCCAATAGCTGTAACATCTTTACGTTTTTTACTGTTATTAATATTATTTGTATCAGTAATTTCATCCACACCTTCCATTTCTTTTTCCCGATTAACATCAACATTTGATCCTACATGAATTTGTTGGAAGATCATTCGTGGTTTTTTTCCCACTTGCACTAGTTATTTAATAAAAAATAGCATTATTAAATTTTGAATGACAAAATTAAAAAAATGATTATGATAAAACATCAAATACTATACCTTGTGTAATTTTTCTTCTTGATTGCGATTCTTGCTGTGGAAGTTCAAATTTTTGTTGTTCTTCATCTCTTTCAGATTCCAATTGTATTAAATTATGGGTTGCTACTTCAAGTTCTGCTGAATTTGCTTGATTTTGTTGATGTGCTCGAATGCCTACAATTTCTCTTTCTTGTTGTAATATATCTACCAAGTCTAACCTGTCATGTTCTAATGCAAGACTAATTGGTGTTTTGTCAAATTTACTAGTTGCATTTGCATCTGCTCCATGTTCTAATAAAACATGCATTACTTCTATATGTTCCCTTTCAACGGCCCAATGTAAAGGAGTCATTTTTAACTGTAAATGTTTTTTATATTTATATGTATTAGAAAAAATTTATATATAAATTTATTTATATAATTTTTTTCTAATTACCATATCTCTACTATCAACGTCTGCACCATAATTAAGAAGTAATTGTGTCATCTGGTGGTGGCCTTCATATGCAGCCATATGTAAAGGCGTTCTATCCACTTTTGTTCTTGCATCTCTTGAAATTCCAGCTCTAAGTAAAACTTCAGCAGTTTCTGTATGATTATTTTGTGCTGCGAAATGCAATGCACTTGTACCCAACTGTCAAATAACAATATTATTATGATTATGGCTTATTATATCTGTAATGTCTATAATTTTTTATTAGAAATTCTTATTATAAAAACATATACCCAATCTGTAGTAAATGGTGCACCTCTGCACATCAAGTCACGAACAGTATCAGTATCTCCATATTTTGCACTAAAAAGTAATTGCTTTCCTAATTCGACTATTGATAAGGCATCTTGAGATCTTGCTCGATGAGATACATCGCAGGAAAGGATTTCAACCTTAAAGTTAAAGTATATGAAATAATGAATTTGAAGAATAACTATATGGAGCATACTTATGTAAAAATGTACATACAGGGATAAGGGTGTCCGAGTCCAGACCCTCAATATCATTAGTACAAATACTTTCAGCTTGCATTTTTGTATATTCAACTCAATCTCCTTCTTTTTGGTGCACACTAAAATCAAACGATCCATAACAATTGATATCATTTGGACTTGTTTAAAATTAAAAAGGGCTAGTTGTGACCATTCCATTTTTCACACTCAGTAATTCATCACTGTTGTTCGACCTTGAGATACCAGGATCGAAAGTAGGTCGTAAAATTAAAATTTTAAGTTCAATTCAATAGAATTAACACGATTTATTCGTTTTTGCCTACTTGTTCAAAAACGTAGTGTGTATATTTTTCAAAATTTTCTTCAGTACAGGATGTTTTTATTTTGCCATTTCAGATTGTGAGGAACTTCCTGTTCCTGTTCATTAAACGGAAGTCCCATGCCATAGGCCCCGTGTTTTGTACCCAAAAACGATTCAAGTCGATTGAAAACAGCATTGAAGGAAGATATACTTACGACCAGCACATTATTCTTGCTTTTTAGCAATTTTTCCAACAATTTTCGGAGGCACACACACACTTTGAGGAATTGTTCCTCCCCTCAGCCTTCTCGATTTACCGTCTTGGTAAAGTTTTGTGAAAATGGCGACACCTTGGCGCCATTCCTAATACAATTTATCGCTGTTATAAGTTACTTTTAATATCGAGGTCCTCGTATTTTTATGCATAAAGGTATTCTTTTATGTAAAATAGTTAATATTTTTCATAGCATTTTAATCGTTTTATTTGAAGTAATACTGAATAATAGTTAAATATGTTAAATAATAGTGTATTACAGCGCCACATTGTGGCACATGTGGAAGGTATCATACAATAAATAGGTTAGGTGTGTATTAAATTCGAGTAAGATTAGGTTACGTTGTAAAGTTTTGCTTGTAGAACATGTTTTTAAAGAAGTTAAAACAATGTAAATAAAATAATAGAGTGTTATTATAATCGTTAAGAAATATAATATTTGTTAGCTATATAATATATAAATGGAACAAAATCAAATTACTTTAATTATATTAATAACGTGAAAGTGCATTATTCATTACAATAAACAGAAATAAATATTTACACTGTGACAAACATTTGTAGTACGTACGTTTTGCATATGAGCCATAGCATATATTATTTATATATGTATTCTGAATATACGAATTTCTTTTATCCTTACTTACTTATGTTTGAGAAAGAAAATACAAGTAAAATTTGAGTACATAAGAAGTGTTATTGTATACATAGTATACGCATGTAGTATATAATCAAAAACGAAAGAGTATTCTTAACTTTTATTTTTACATCATAGATAATAAAGGTATACAATTTATACAAGTTGTTTCCTTTAAGAATATTGCTATTAATATTTCTATTATTTGAATAATATATTTACTAACGATTCAGAAATCGATCTTTTCTTCACCTTTTCTAGTTCATAACTTTTAAACCTTTTATTATTGTTTGCTGCTTCAGAATTTTTTTTTTATTGTAAAGCAGTAAGATATAGTACAATAAGTCTATACGCTATTATTATAGGACTGCAAGCTATAGAAGATGTATATATACGTATAAAGGATCGTTGTATGCGTTGCAAAAATAAATGGTGTGACTTGAATAGTTATCGATTGTTGGTTATAATTTGTTATCGCATTAGATAATATCAAGCTAGATGTTCTATACATTAACTAAATTATTCTAAAAATGTTAACTGTTTTATATATCTTCAAACTATGGATGATCAAGTAGGTGGAACTTAATTGATAAATATAAATAACGGTTTATGTACAAATTTTTAAGATTTGTGAATTTATAAATAAGAAAAATTTCTCTATTTTTTATTTATTTTTGTGTGAAAAATCATTTGTTCGTTTGGTTATTTTATTAATTGAAGCTGAGCTAGGAAACATCGTGTGGACTTCACTATCGAGTGCGTGCACCGCCACATCGCATTAACCGTTCTTTATATCGTAATCTAAGGAGGTGGTTGGCCGCACGGTCACGGCGGTAAGCTTGCATGCCTTCAAACAGAGTAGGTTAGAGAGTTCGTGAATTTCTCATGAAGGAAAATGCACGGCTGTTCGTTGTCGAAGCAGAAACTTTCTCTATCACGAAAAGTGACGGGAGTCGTCACAGTATTTCGAAGCTCGTCGAAGCTACATGACGCCATCTTCACTTTGAGAAGGTATTTAATGTTGCGGTAAACTTTCATATCGACGTTTTTTGTTCATTAAACTAATTTTGTTTAAAGGATTTCACTCTTCAGTGGTGGTGTACTTTAATAGGGGAACAATCAACACGTGTGTCTTGTTATTCCTAAGGTAAAATATTTTAATTTTTTTTTTTCGCATTTGGAATTTGGTAAGTACCCTCGAGCAGGATTTTTAACAGTTTACTACAGTTGTATTATACATTCTATGCTGGAACACATCGATTACAAACATTCGAATTAAATTTTGTTATTACAATTAGACTTATAAAATACGTATTTATTTTAAACAATATTATATGCTACTGTATTTTAATCTATAAGTAAATTAACTTGGAAGGTTTATTGAACTGGAATAATTGAAGTTATAAGAATGAAAGGGAACTAAGGAATTGTAAATATTAATTATTATACAAATAATTAAGAACAATCCCGTTTGTTTTCGACATCGAAATATTTACAGATTGTTCTTTGAATGAATTGTTTATTTATCGGTCAAAGTAGGATACTCTTTAATAATTAAAATTTTATATTAGATTGTCAGCATTTTTAAATTTTAATCAACAGTTTCTCAAAGTTGTCGGAGATTTTATGTAAGTTTTTTGACATGCATTGCTTGTATATTTAATACATGCTAATAAAACTTGATCACGTATTTGTGTGCCTATGTAGAGTTATGTTCGCGAATTTCACGAAACTGCAACAAGATGGTATAGAAAGTTTCGTGCTACGTATAGCAAAGGCTGATTATTATGGTGTTCCATACAGTGTTTCTAAACACCGCAGGATCTCAGGATCTCAGGAAGTGGTGTGCGGGAAATGAGGTTCTTGCGTGAATAATACTCCGCTGGTGACCGTTCTTTAGCTTCATGTTATGCGAGGAACGAGTAAGATCGTGATTTCACGTGGATCGTCTATTCGAGATGGCTACTTCTCTTCTTTTCTTCTTCACTTGTAGTCAATCGAATCCGTGTAACTTATAGATCAAGCTTTCTTTGCGCCAGATTGCAGAATTTCTATTTTTCCAATTGGATACGAATTGTTCCTAAATTGCTTCCCTTGGTTTATGGTTTGCAAGTTTCACTTTTACTCAAGTTTTACTTAAATAGTGTTCTCATTTGAGCATTGTCTCAAGAGGGATATGTAAATGGATACGTATTTGTAAGACTTGGCATTAAGGAATGGGTTAACTATAAAGATAATTATTTTTTCGTCTTGACCTGACGCTTTTTCTTTTTTTCCATAGGTCGATACGGCCCTAACTTCCGACGGACCATAACACCTCGCCACCAAGCTTGAATCTTGATTGCGCTTTTTCGTATGCACTCCTGTAGCTCCTTCTCTTTCTTCAGTGCTTCCTTTTCTGCTAGATACGTGTCTATGAACTCTTGATTGCGACGATGCTGCAACGTTGTTACGGTTTTATTTAAACACCATGGATGCGGCGATCGATTTGGTGATTAGGTTGTAGAAAAAGGACGAAAGAGGAGAAATATTACAAAAAAAAAAAAAGAAATTTCGTGCAGCTATTCACACATGTCGTTCTCGTTAATTTACTTCTGTAATGCGGAAAGGACTGAGTAATTTCCGAGGGACGAAGAAAAATTTTCTTTTTCTTTCGAAATTCCACGTGATTTAAAATAGCCGCAAACGGGTTCTTGACACGAGTTATCGATTTCCCAGTAGATTTCCCGCATTGCACGTTGATTCTACGCTTACAGAAGCAAGCTGTCAAGTTTTGATTTCCAATAGGATTAACGTGGCCGTGACGCAATAAATCAGTAGGTCACACAGAATATTTAATAAGTCGTGACATTGCATTTACATTCCTATTCGTTTGCATTTGCCGTATTTGTATTCCTTTTCTCGATTTGTTCCGCTTTCTGTCGAATAAATTTTGCGAATAAAAAAAAGAGGAAGAAAGAGCTGCGAGATTTACGCTGCACGACTGTTTTTGTTTCGAAGATTATGCTAGAGGAGAAACGGAGGAAAATAACAAATTTGCACATGGTTATGTCGAACGATTAAGCAAGGTTCGATAATTCCGATCGAGCAGTTCGATTAATCTAGTACTCGTTCCAAGGATAACAAGTGTTGAAAGAGTAGAGTGAAATAAAATTCTATTGTTTGAAATGGAAGCTGAGTTACCTCTTCTTTAAGTTCGTCCAACTGCTTTCGACGTGTTTCTGTCTCGATACGTAGCTGCCGGATTTCCTTCTCGTACGTCTCTTTTTCTCGATCGTATCGTTCCTCCCATTCTTTCGTTTTTCTCTCTAGTGACTGTGCATTTGAAAGAAAAAGTGAGCAGTTTCTTAAACTCTTTTCCATTTCTCTACATGCCAATTATTATATAAACAAGAGAGAAGTAAGGTTCACGAGAAGTATGAACATCGAAATGAGATGAAGATGGATCCACGCAAACGCAAAGAACACCATGCTCACCGCTGTATCCTGGATCAAAAATTTCGTTAGCTCAGCGTGAACACGGTCCTTATTTTTCTCACGCACGCGCCAGTTGTTTAATATCTCCTTCAATTTTTCTATTTCCATATCGCAGCGCAACGAGTTCTGCTCGCATTTCGCTTTCTCCCATTCCATAACATACTCCAGCACCGTGTTCGCGATTAGTTTCAGTTTTTCCATGCTACACTGTTGTTACAAACGCAAAATTAAAAATTTTCACGCGTCTTCGGTAGGAAACATGGCTCTGGTACCTGTTCTTCCGAGAGCTCGTTCAGTATTCGTCTCTTCTCTTGCTCGTTGGCTACCTTCCTCTCGGCGATTATTTTCCGCAACTCTGCCGCGGTTCTTCTTACCTCCTTTTCCTCTTTCAGCAGAGCTTCTACCTCTTTCTCGCGTGTTACGATTTTCTCGATCTCTTTTGATAATACCTCGAAAGTTCCCTGTTCACGGATCTCTTCTTTCAGATCTTCCATGATTCTCATCATGTATAAACTGCACAAAGTTAGTGGTATTTGTTATTATAAATTTATCAAAATATATGTACTTTGTTACAAGATATCAAATTTTTATAAATTTATCTTTTTTTTTTTCATGGCATGGAAGATAAATATGCGAAGAAAATTGCTCGATGTCGGAGATAAAGAAGATACTGACCCATTTAAGACATTGTACCCACATTTCCAGTCTCTGTGCTACAAGTGAAGCAATGAAAATTCTGGAGGCTTTAGAAGATTCATTTCTTATACACAAACGAATTATGCGGCAGTGCTATTTATGAAACCGACAAAGTTACACGAGACATATTGGGTCATATTGTTGGTCGATCTGGCGGTAGGAAATTGAAAATTGAAACATCGAAACAGTATGCTAAATGTAACTGAATTCGGATATTTGAAAGAGCATTTGATCTGCACGACATTTGTTGCACAAGCACGAGATTTATTTCGAATGGAAAATGATTTATAGCAATGTCTTCCTGTACCTGGCGACTTTAAATCGTAAGTTATGTTTGCTAAAATAGAATGAAGAATTTGACATCCATCTTCGATACCTAAGGTATCAAAAATGTATTTATCATGTGTAACAAGACCTTTCTGTTATCAGATTCCGTCGAGAGACTCTTTTCTTTGGCTGCGATGGAAAAGCAAATATGAAGAGGTACACAATGAATAGAATCTTGATCGAATTTTCGTTAAAAAGTAACAAGTGACGATAGACGATTGATATACTGAATCGGCAATCGAGGATTAGTCTCGCGAATCGATTAAATTAATTGTAAATATCAATCGGTCAATCGCGTTGATTGAAAATTACGATTGATCAATGCTCGATGCTCCAATTGATCAAATACGTCGTTGAAAGCTGAACATGTTGCTCTAACCTGTTCTGGTAAGCTTTCTTATCGGTGGCTCGTTCATTCGCATCTTGGATTTTCATAATCTTCTCGGCAAATGCTTTCAGGTGGCTGCAACAGACGCTGCGACAAATAATATCGACAAAGCCATTTCTTTCCACTAGTAGTCGAGCTTTTCGTTGGGTTATCAGGTTAACATTAAAATTTCGTTCAAAGTATAGTGGTGCAACGTACTCGGTATCGAGGGGCAAACAGTCGACGAGAATATCGTTATCGTGTTCCGTGGGCTTTCTCAGCGTGCTGTGGTAAATGGCCAGCGCGTTCGTGAACTCCTCGAGCGCTGCTAAAATTGCTGGCCGTTCCGCCGGGGAGAACCGTGAAGAACCATTCGCCGCGAGCGTGGCCATTGAGTGTCCGCGTTTTTTACCTCGTCGTGGTTTTCTTGCACCTCTCTTGCTCGCTTTTTACTTTCGCACATTGAATTTTGTCATACATTCGTGTTAATATTCATGATGTATTTCTAATTTGCAAGAATTTCTCTTAACCGAGCTAAATTTGATAATTCTCGAGTTTTCGAGATTTATTTTTATAGAGGAAATTTCCATTGAGAAAATGTATCTCGAATTTAGCTTGGTTTAAGTTATCCTTGTCTGAATCAATTATATAAGGTGTACATCGATGATATACCTCCTAAACGATTGATGCTGTGAAGAACTGCTACTATATTTACTATATACTTTATATTGGTAAAGAATAATTGTCATTTTACATTAGTGTATTTTATGTAATAAATAATATAAAATTACGTTCTACACCTTCTTCGTGGCGTTCATCGATGGACACTCTGTATATAAAAATTGAAGTTGCCTATTCTTAACACGCTACAGTCGCGATTCCATCTTACACCTTTCGTTCCTTGTCCGCTTCATTTCCATTCATCAAGCGAGGTAGCCTGTTCATCAGGGAACAATTGTTACACCCTTTTCTTTGATGACCGCGTGCCAGTCATCGGCGAAATGTTTTTACAGCGTTTTAAAACAACTCAAATTTCATTTAAATGCAAATCGAGCCATGCAAGTCGACTGCTTATTTTAAAGGGTAAATTGTAAGATAAAAATCGCAATTATCGTATCGTTCCTTTTCTTCTCCTTCCGTCCTTTTCTTATCCTTTTTTTCAACAGAACACGTTGCGGTTACTTACTTCTCGGCTCTCACCTAAATTAAAGTTGCAAACGTCGTCGGTGGAAAAAAGTTACGGATCCGGCGTCCAGTTAATCAAAATTCATGGGCAGAGAAAAATACGTCGAACACATGGCTGTAAAACTAATCATGATACGCCGTACTTTCGGGGCAACTAAATGCTGCTCGATAAAGATGGTTCGCGGAGCTTTAAAACACGTGATACGGTTTGATCCATCGGTGCACGTTGCCCGTGGAAACGAGCGTCGGGACGCTTTGTGGCTTGGCTGTATTTATACCGTTGCAATGCTGAAATTTCGAAACACTTTGAAATTTTTCTTCCTTTTCCACGATATTTCTTCTTTGAGATTACTATCTGCGATCCTCAATTATTCGAATAAAAATAACATTAAACGATTGCAAAATGATCTTGAGACGATTTTCGAATATCCCTGAAGTGTTCTTGAATTACCCTTAATGACTTTGAAGAGAACTTTAAATGATTTTGAGTAATGTTCCCTGAAATAATATCTATTAGTTAATGATTCTGAGTAATTGTCTTCCTTCCATACGATAAGCTACGATTAATTATTATTTTTGCATGCAGGTAGAATTCACCGTCTATGTTCCTTCATTTGTAAATAGATCTGAATTTTAATGCATATCGATAAGTACCTTTGAAACTCATCAGAGTCATATTACTTCAAAGCGAACGATTTTAAATCGCGAGAACTTTTGGGATGACCCAATATTATAAGAAATGTACATAAATGTAGAAGTATTCGAGGATCATTATTAATTGTAGCCATAGGTGGTTCATTTCCTTCTCTAGAAGTTTCAAGCACCGAAGAAAGGAAAGAGACTGCGGCAGGAGGTCGAGTTAAGAACTGTTAAGCAGTCGGCAATCGTTATAGACAGCCTTCCATGTTAAAGCTCGATTGAAGAATTCATTGGGAAAGATATCTTGTGGGCACTCGACAACTTTCTTCCTTCGTCCCATTCGTCGATTGTCTCAGTCGGCTGGTTGGCTGTCGAGAAAAGAAAGGTTCATACAAATACGTTCCGTTCTGATTGGAAAACTTTTTCGTACCTTGAACTTTAATCGACTCTGCATCGTCTAAGGGCTACATTGTAGGGACTTAAAATCACCTTTCCTCGAGAGCGTTCCTTTGCGTTGGGGTGTTTATGAATTTGTAACTTCCTATAAAACCTATAAAAATTCCTTTCGAATAAAATTGGGTTTAAACAATATAATATTCCGTTGAAAATACCTGGAGTTTACTTTAGGCGGGTATTACTTAGAAGTATATTTACCCTTTATAACTTTAATTTATTCCATGCACGTTTTATTATGCTTTTTTCTATTTTCGAGCATCTATTTCAACCTCACGGTATGTTTCAGCGATATGAAAGAATGTAAAATAAATACATTGTCCCGGCGTTTCTTCTTTGACTTTCTAAAGTTCAAGTTTTCACTCAAGGGACATGAAAGATAAGAGGGACGCAAAGTGCTTTTTGATATTAGTTTAATACCGATACACGTACAAGTAAAATTAGAATAGTAAGAATAGCAGCGACGAGTGTTTACTCTCCTACAACATAAATACCGCACATCAGTAAAACGATGCAAAGATATTTTGTGTGAGATAAGGCGAACATAACCGACGCGCTCCGTTATTGCACGCGCTAATTTCAAATTACAGGAAATTTACATTCTCATGGCTACTAAAACCAAGAAAATACCGTTTCTTAAATTCTGGTCAGATTTAATTTAGGATAACCTCTTAATATTCGAGCACAAATTACGTACATAGTAATCAAAGAAAAGAAAAAAAGCAGGAATAAAAAAAATGTAGAATTTACCGACCAAAAGTAGAGTGGAGCGGTTAAGGAGAATGTTTTCGAAACTGTATGATTCAATTTCAATTAATCATACATTCGAATATCGAAGCCACGAAAATGGTGGTGCCTTAAGCTCGAAGTCTGACAAACGTGGAGCGTAGAGCTTGATAAAGGTGACAGAAATATGTCGGAAACATTGTAACGGGAATGTAATGTGCTTCCGAAAGTTTTGCCGTGCACGAGAATTCTGTGTCTCGCTACGAAAGCTTGGAAACAGGTGCGGGATGAAATGCGTGCGCATGCGCATAGTCGAGGCGGCGTCGCGCACGCGCAGAGCCGCGACGAGTGTGGCGAGGCGCGAGGGCGGTGTCAGTGGTGGAAGCAGGGAAACGTTTTCTGCCCTTTGCTCATCGTCGTCGTCGTTGTCATCGTATGTCCGTCTGTCGTTTCATTGTGCACGCTCGTGGCGAACGGTGCAGTGAGTGGTATTTCCGCAGTCGTTGAGTCGATACGCGGTTCGGATCGTGTTCAAGCCTCCTGTACTTAGCATTCTTCGTAGTCGCGTATGATATTTCGAGCTGTCGACCTGTCGAGAGGGATTCTCGATCACGGTGGAATCAAAGGTTATAACCTGTCATCGTCGCCATCGTCATCGGCGTCGCCGACGTCGTCGTCGTCAGTCTCGATCAGCTGCTTCGCGGGTGAGTAGAGGATATTTCTGTTTCCTTTCTATGTGAATTTCGCTGGTGTTTGTCGAAGACCGTTCGTATCGCTGTGAATGTTAGAGTTAACCTAGTTGCGTTGCTTTTGGAACGCCCTCGTGTTTATGCCGCGAAAATGCAATACGTTTGAAATGCCGGGGGAAAGAATGGTCGATTAGAACGGTTCGCGTGTAATTTCAAGTATACGATTGTTTCTTCGGCTCGTTTGTTTCCACGATATTTGTGAATATAACTCGGTCGATACGGATGAGTGAAATTATCGATCTATTGGTGTTCTCGGTGCCTTTACTGATTTAGGAATCCCAAGGGGAATTCCATACCTATCAAGATTAACCTAGTTACGAATCTTTGAACCGCCCTTGCATAAAAGTGAGAAATGCGTTGCATATGACTGACGGTTTTGATGCCTGTGCATCGTGAAAGAAAAGAAAACAGTTTTAAGATAGACTTTTCGTTCCGTGTTAAGTAGTCTTGTAGTTTACAGTCACTTGTGTGGCGCTTAAATCTACCTAATTTAGCAACCGAGGATAACAGTCCTCGCTGAGTTCTCTTAGCGTGGACGGGCATAAAGGGTAAATTACGTAAATATTCGTATTGCGCTTTCTGCTCCCGCTGGCGGTTTCGCGGGTAAATACGGAGCTTAAGCCATTTCTTGCACGGCTTTACGAATTTCTGGCGTTGGATGTGCAGCGTCTTGAATCCTGACAGGGTTAACCTAGTTACGGAATCTTTGGTACGCCCTTGTGTTTATACCGCGAAAAGAAGGAACATTCGAAAGTTCGCAAGAAGTACAGTTATATTCGGATTATACCATGCATCGTACCCTCGTTTTTTTCGATTCTTTTTTTAATACTTCTCGATGCGCAACATCAATACTTGAACTTAATTAATGACATTAATTAGGTTGTTAACCTTCGAGTATACTCCAGATGAAAGAAAAAAGTTTAGATCGATATTTTTTGTCCATTGAGATCGACATGCTGTTTTCGTCAACTTCTATCTCGCTTAAAATAATTTGAATATTCATAAAAATATATTTCGGCGTACGAAATATTCCGCGATATTATTCGTAGTGATAACATGTGTCGATTGAAATTCTTTAATATGTTGTAATGAAAATATAAACGAATTCGTTAGACATTCTTCAATTTATCTGATAAAAGCTGCCATTTACCGGTTGTCCCGTTTGGTTTACCGATCACACGAGTTTTGCCCGGAAAGTATCCTCTTTTTCGCCGCGTTTCTAATTAACGACGGGCTCGTGGCCGAGTGGTTAGTTTACACACGCGTCAGGTACGGCCATTGCCGCGTATTAAGTGCGCCATTATTAAACGTGTAGCGCGGCCAACTTAAAAGGATTATTTTGCGCGATTCAAATTATTTTTTTCTCTTTCTATCGTTTTCTCATTCGTTTAAACATTTTGATTTATGAATTACGTTTCTTCGTGTTCTCGGACAATTTCATTTTACAATTTTATTTAAAAGAAACGAATTTCTTCTTCGCACGTCACAAAAAAAAAAAAAAAAAAAAAAAAAAAAAAAAAAAAAAAAAATTAAAAAAGAAAAGAAAAAAGGAAAAATAAATAAATATACTTAGAAATCAGACCATCCGTATAAAGAATGGGTAATGTCATAATACATAATGTAGGATTAAAGGATAAATACAATTTCTTATTTTTTAACTATCATCCCATATTTTAGCTAGCAAAGTAATATCGCATAAATTTTTTTCGAAGAATTTTGGTCGTGAAAGAGGTGTTTTTACCGCGAAATCGAATTTCCACCGTGAAGCGAGACAACGACATGGCGTATAAGATAAATAGATAAACGCGATGCATTAAAACCGACTGAAAAGCAGCGTTTTCCAGTGCGCGCGATTTTAAGCCGTATTCGCAACGCTTGCAATTCTCGCTTGTCGAATCGGACCTCGTTTTGTCCACGGAATTCCGTAATTGCTCGAATCTTGGCGAAGCGTTTCGAGTTTATGGAGATCGGCCTTGTTGATTGTGCCGGAACCAAGAAATCGGGGAAATTTCACGCGAACGATTAAATATTCCGTGATGTAGTAAAGGAAGACTGAACAGTTTCGTTGGATTACAAGTTTCTCGATCGCTCTGCACGGTATACGTGGTAAATATTAGGTACGAGTGATTGGCTGACTGTTCACGTGCCGTTAACCGTAATCCTCGATTCCCTAGGCGACGCTCGCGATGATTGGTTAAACGGCATTGTCGGATTTATTGCTGGAATTACTACTGACTCGAGTGGCGTGATATCATTTTCAGTTATTTATCGTCGTCCCATTGAGACGGAAGTGCCGATTTCGTTTGGCTATAGCGCAGATTTATCGGTGCGATTGCTGCTTGCTTAAAGAGACTCGTTAATTATCATTAATAATCCCTTCGAGATACTTTTATAATGAAAACACGAAAACGTCGATCTAATTTTTTCGCACATGCAACCTAATTGGCTTCCGATATTTATTTAACCTGTTAACTCAAAGCGACGAGTTGATTCGTCATTGGAAAACCCTTCTATAACCAGCTAAATTATCACGGATACTTGAAAGATATTAATGTTTCTACCGTCACTGCGTTGACACGATATCTTCATCTGCATTTGTTCGTACCGAGCAAGCGCGTACTTTCGTAAAAGCCAACTCACCGGTTAATGTACTAGACCACGGAGATGTAAAATAAAAAGGAAAGGAGGAAGATTATTGAGTACCAAGTAGCCCATTTTCACGAAACTAATTACCAAAAATTCCCTAGTCACGACCAACTGAACCGTTTAGAAGCAATTTCAAGTCGGGTCTCTAAAGGGTTAATCAGGAGATTGTCGTGCAATTACGCGGCCGTAAATCCCGACAACAATACGTTACAACGGCACGACTCGCTTTTCGAGACCCGTCCTTTATCAGTTCACGGGAGAAATGCGAGCATAAACGCAGCAGAAACGTTTCTGATAACGGTTTTATGTACTGTTTGAAATACACTCGGTGAAAAGGAAAACAAGCAGGGCTAGTTGTGAAGGTGGAGGCGGAGTAGGCGGTGGAGGAGGAACGTTGTACGAATGCTTTGGCCTGCGATGCTTGGGGGCTCGCTCGAGAGAAATTTGATCGATAAAGGCGCAACCGAATCGACGACATTTTCTACGCACAATCAAAGGGTTCCGTCCAAGCTCTGGTCTCGTAGCATTGTTTTACCGCCCGTTACGACTGACCTAATCTAACCCAGTTCCTTTTATCCGTACCTGGTGCACCCCTTTTTTCGTCTCACTCGACAACCTATTTAGGCGAAAGCCTTTTAATTTCTTTTTTTTCTTCCCGACACAATTTATGTCATGTGCAATTAACTTCGTTAGCCCATCAAGTTCTTTAATGTTGCTCGTTTCTCCGAGGAACTATCGGTTGTGTAGATATGCCGTGTAGATGCTCGTAGAATCGGATAGGGAGCGAATCTTCGTTGAAAATTCGTTGAAAACGAGACCGAATATAAATTTTCTCGTGTTAACCGAAAATTAGCTATTAGTTGTTAGTAATTGACGAAGATTTGCTTTATCCTCGACACACGTATAGGCAGAGTTCCACGTAGTGGCAATAATTTTTGCAAGTATCACGAAAATTGAGGCCTCGTGATAATTATTCTTTGGATAAAAGTCATTTTGGATTCTCGAATTCTATATCTTTCGTTAGGAAAAGTAGCATAATTATTGTAAGTTAAAAGTAGCATAAGTTACCTTTACAAGTAACCGTGATTTAAATTTCTTTCTAATTTTAAAATACAGCTTTCTTTAAATAGAAGGAGAGAAGATAAATTGATTTAGGGGAGAATCAATAAAGTAAACTTCCATCTAAATGAGTAATTAATTGCGATAAAAGTAATTCGATTGTTAGTCCTTTTCAAGCTTCACGGATATGGCGTGTTTAAAAATTTTCGAATCGAATTTTGCCACGCTAGATTTTATTAGATTTCGGGATAGATAGGGGCGATCGATCGGCTCGTATCGATTTTTAGACGATTCCCTTGGTCAAAAGAGAGAGAGAAAAAAACGTCGCCGATGTGACGGCCCCGTCACACGGATACACCTGATAACATTTTAATCTCCGTCTTTCGAATTCAAATTTCCTTCCGGGCGCGTTTGCAGGCAGCGTGGAAAGCACCACGCACAAACGGGAGAGCAATTGAAAGTTTAAACAGCGTCATGCTTTTGAAGAAATTGCAAAAAAGGGCCGTATGACATTACGAACACCTCTATTATGTATCTTGATTTGAATACTACGAATCATCTTGAATACGAGATAAGCTAACGACTTGGAATTCTCGAACGTAACATATACACGTATTTTTTGACACTGAAATCCTCGAGCAGGGTGAAATATTTAAATATACCGTGAGTTCGTATTTTCAAATCGTTTCAAATATGATATGCAACGAAGCATAAATAAATTTGCGTTAGAATAATCAAATTCTGACGGAGCAAGGCAGCTAACCGAATTAACCCTATGGTTGTTGATCGAACCAGCCAAAATGGTTTCAGACATGCACCTGTTGTTGGCCGAGTTAAAATTGATTTTTATCCAGATAATAGCCCACGTTTTGTACACGTGTTATAATTATTTTTGCAAAAATCGGACAAAAATTCCTGAATTTTTCTTACCATCGATTTAGTAATAGTAACTCGCAATGTTCAATTATATACCGCGATCACGATTACGGAAAAGCTGATATTTTAGAAAATACGAATATACACGGTTTGATATAAACTCGGTGGATAAAGTATGACCGTGTTAATACGGGATAAAGGAAATTTTACATAAAATCGGGGCCGTGTTAACACGGGGATAGTCGTTAAGGGACTGATTAATATTATCTATGCGCGGTATATTTAAATCCGCATGATAGTTCGAGTGTTAAATAATAGGTTAATTTGCATTTGTTAAAAGGACCGCATTTTTCTCCCAGTTCGTCCTAATCTTA